ATAGTCAGTTAACTCTTTTGCCTCGGGAAGATGAGGTAAGGGTCGGACGTTTATACATTACTATGAAATGAGGCCATCACATGAATTATATTATAACATATATTACAATTGATCAGCGGGTTTTCATTCGGGTTATTCAATCATTCCATTTTCTTACTTAAGTTTTCATGATCTACTTCAGTGAAGGGGCAAGTTGGGTTTAACACGGCTTTGAACAGAATTTCAGTTCTATTACTCGGCGAGTCAGCTTTATGTGGAAGGAAAACCCAAATAGATGCAGGTCTCAGACATTTACCACTTTGGTGAAATCCACGAGTGTGGGTGGTGCAGGTCTAAAACATTTACCAATTGATGAGACATACGAGTATTATCCGAGTGCATCTGGTATTCGAAACCTCCTGACACAATACCTGATACACCTAAATCACGCAACTCACCTTAGATGACTGGACTATTAATGCTCCCGGTCTGCTCTAACCATACAAAATGCTTGTTCCAAAAGAATCGTAGCGCTAAGGTGACCACAACTCCCATACTTCAACATAGACTTGCGACTGTCGTAATAATACCATCGCTTTGTGCAAAGGAGTCCATGGGACACTGTTTCTGTATGTCTGGGAACATCAACACTCTCAGGAGAGCTCTTTCTCAAACACTAACATTTCCAAACACTGCATGGTATGCAATTCATTACATACATCGCTGGTGTGGGGTATAACGTCGCATTCATGATTATTGCACCTATAGCGAAGAGCATACGTGTGAGTTGGTGAGCCTTCGTGCGTGTTCCACAGGACACAATATTTGTATGTCGACAAACATCAACACTCTCAGAAGAGCATTTAAAATAATTGAACATGTCAAAGCACAACGTGGTTTGCAACAAATTGCATACACCATTGAAATAGCATTTAACGTTGCGTTCAAGAATATTTCACTTATACAGCAACATGCATGCACGTGTGTGGCAGTTCGTACTTGTCCGGACCAATGCCGTTTTTATTGAGTTATCACACCGAGATACCATGCCGGACTTTGAACATTGACACTTATTGGGACTCGAAACGGCCAAATCCCCTTAATGTCAAGCCCCGGGCAGGCTGTAATCTGGTATTGGAGACGGATGAAGCGCTGGTAAAAGGTTAAGTGCTATCGATAGCAGTGAGCGAGTAGAATTTAGAGTTACCTCCCTATTTGTTGTAAATAAACCTGGCAGGCTTGATCGTTCATGAGGTTTCGGGATGGGTCAAAGGAAAAGAGGGCGATTTGAGGCCCTTTTTTCCTGCCAGCTTCCTACACTCTCCCGGATTCAAGGACCGATACTGGCTTGTTTCAAGACTTTCGAAAGTGACCCTGGACATTCGTGAGTGCACCTACCTATGGTAGAGCTGGTTACTTATTACTGCTGCCACTTAATTGACCCATTGGGTTGCATTTTGTGATTGTAAACCTAAAACTGTGTTCCAATATAATGTGTTGATTACTCATCTCATAATAAGGTTAACAACAAGTACGTCTTTTAAAATGACACGGCCAGGGCATTGATCTCACACAACATGTATAACCCACATGTATTTAATAAGTAGGTATGTAATTTTCTTAAAAACTGTCAGTACAGAATTGCCAAATGTTTGCACCTACTGCAATTATAAATAGAGATGGCCACATTCATTCAACAATGTCTGTCCATAGGTTTCCCCCATGTAAGCGTATTTAGCAGATATCTACATCTGAATAAATACAATTGTTGGGTTAATAATCTTATTGATGAGTCTTTTATCTAATCGGTACAAGAGTAGAAATGGGTATTTCCAGCTAAATCTCTGAAATGGACTTTGGTTTAAAGACCCACCCTGACTATAAATAGCCCACAAGGTGGAGGTGTTTCATTTTCGAACAAAAACTGACAAGGTAAACACAACAGTGTGTCAGAAACTCTTTGATAACAGCATGCTAACAAGATCACCAAAGACCATCAAACTTCGTCCTATAATAGAAAATTGTCATTTTTACAATACATATCATTGAGTGAGTGAGTGAGTGAGTGAGTTAGAAGATAAACATACTGTGTTTTCAATGTAGAGCCAGGTAACCTGTAGATTTAACCGCGCTAAATTAAATTTGGGACCGAACGCGCAGGTATCCCAGCTCTACATTGAAAACACAGTAGGTTTATCTCCATTCTAGGGCTGGGACGAGTCCCAATTTACTACCCGGGTACCCACCACCCTATTACCCGACCCTACCCGGGTACCCGCTGTAGATATTAAGAGATACGTACAAACTGTCCGATTTGGAAAAGTCTGACCGTAGCCCTAGCAAAATGTATTTAGAAACACGTGTAAAACGATCGGGTCATGCATACACTAAGTTTGCTGCATGAAGTTTTATCGTTATTCAAACATACAAAAGTCAGAAGGAATGGGTGCATTGTCAGAGAGAAATGGGAACATTAGTGATTTATAGCGTAACCATAGAGGTTTAGATAATTTTTGTCATTAAACAATATATCACGTGACTAACCACGGGTCCGGGTAGTCCTATGGTTACCCAGGTCCTACTCAGGACCCAACCGACCCGAGTACCCGAGTTACCCGTCCCAGCCCTACTCCATTCTACCATGACTAAATAAAACGCGAACTCTTTGGTGTTAGCAAATATACTGAGTGAAGCGGCACGGGTCAAGTGTTTTGAGTGGGTTATCGATATGAAATACGGAATCACCGAACAAAATATGGAGCTGTATATACTCAAACAGTTTGTTTACACCCTAATACTTCACTCGAACATATCACATGCATTGAAAGCATATAAGCACGGCAACTTGGTAAGCTAACATGAGGTGGGCATTCCTAAAGAAAGCAAAGCAAGCTTTGCAAGGCTTTCGCTCGACATCGCGAGTCCCCATTATGACGTCATGTAGCTCATTGTGACGCAAAAGATATGACGTCACAGTCGTATATAGAAAAGCGCCAAAATTCCAAGCTCTCTGTTGTCTCCAAAACGCAAATACATTTCCTTTGTAGATTTCTATCGTGTTTTCTGCACGAAATGTATTGCCACACATCCTTTGAAATAAATTGTAGTAACCGCATCTGTGCATGTTTGTAACCTTTAATTGTAGCTATAATTATTTAAATATGCCTACTACCGACAATGACTGAAAAAAGTACTATTCTATGAATATTAGCTTCTGCGGTGATGCGGCCGTCAAACCAGCTGTTTCAATCAGAGGGGTTTTATTGGGATTTAATAGCCTCTGATTGACCAATCAGAATCGAGTAAATGTCAAATTCATGATAGAATTGGGTTTAACGCCGCTTTTACAGTATTATAGTTATATCACGGCGTGTCAGCTTTAATGTGGGAGGAAAGCCCCAAGTGATGCAGGTCTTGGACGTTTACCACTTCGGTGAAACCCACGAGCACGGGTATGGTGCTGACAAACCTAGAAACATAATCGGGGCGAACCGGGATTCGAACCCACGATCATAGGTTTCTGGCGTGCCCAAGGGGCGCAACTCTGCACAGCGAATCGCGTCGCCTTAGACGCCCCCAATACATATAAGCAACAGGATTCTTTCAGTTCAATCCGAAAATGATGTAGAATCTAGATATTAGTTTGCCTTGAGCTTTTATTATATCACGTTAATCTCATATCGTTTTAATACTTCAAGTAACAGACATTTTTTTCCCAATAATCAACTCGAGTTTTGGAATAAGATCAGTTTGAAACACTGGAACAACACATGAATATAAAATGCGATCCTCAAAATCGTTGTGGCACTTCTTCAAACATTAAAATGATACAGTAGACAACTGAATTCAACCTCACTCACGGAGGGTCATTTATTTATGAAATGTTACATGGATGCCGTACTTACACACAGTATAATGACTTCGAGACGACCATTCCCTGTTTTATCCCGTTAATGCCCAGCACCAAACAGGGAAACAACAAAAGTACAATCTTTTGGTATGACGCGCCTGGAGATCACACAACTCACCTTCCGCTCTCCAGGAAGACACTCTATCCACTAGACAACAGCGGTCCTTTACATACTAATTCAGTGTCAAGCAATATAGAAGGGTTCCCATAAAGCTGGTAAGAGAAGGCTAACCGGATCGGAATAGAATAGTGAGTGAGTGAGTATGGTTTTACGCCGTTTTTAGCAATATTCCAGCAATATCACGGCGGGGGACACCAGAAATGGGCTTCACACATTGTGCCCATTTGGGGAATCGAACCCGTGTCTTCGGCGTGACGAGCGAACGCTTTAACCACTAGGCTACCCCACCGCCCCCGGAATAGAATAGGTCTTCAGGCAACTATGCTTGTCGTAAGAGGCGACTAACGGGTGAGGTTAGGTGAAATTGGGTTTAACGTCGCGTCCAAGATTATTGCACTTATATAGCGACGTGCATGTACGTGTATGTGTTTGTGTGGCTGCTTGTACTAGTCCGGACTGATGCCGATTTATAGTGCTAGCTTACTGAGATACCATGCCGCAGTTTAACATGAATACCCGATACAGTATACTGACTCCGAGCCGACCAGTCCTTGTTTTAGCCCCGTAATGCCGAGCGCCAGACAGGGTAACAACAAGTACCAGCGTCTTTTTGTATGACGCGGCCGGGGATCGAAGCCCGGACCTTCCGCTTTCCGGGCGGACGCTCTACCACTAGACCAAGGAGGCGGTTGGCGACTAACGGGATCAGGTGCTAAGGCTCGCTGACTTGGTTGATGCATGTCATCGTATCCCAATTACGTAGATCGATGCTCATGATATCAATCACTGGATTGTCTGGTCCAGACTCGATTATTTACAGACCGCTGTCATATAGCTAGAATATTGCTGAGTGCAGCGTTAAACAACAAACAAACCAGAAAGCTTATATACGGAGCAGAGCTCATTTGAACTCGGGTCATGACATGCACAGCGGCTGTATGTATTCACTTGTGACGGAGGAACATAGTCCATACAACACCTGAGAATTACTGACGATTGTTGACAATGTTTCTTTATTTATGTTGCTAGAGATAAACCCACAATCATAGGTTTTTTTCTGGCGTGCCCAAGGGACGCAAATCTGCACAGCGAATCGCGGCGCCTTAGACGACTGGGCCACCCGTGGTTCCTTCTACCACTAGACCATGGAGGCGGTCTTGAAGGTTCTTTGGATGTCATCATCAATCAGTTGCCATTACTGGTTTGTTTCAACTCATCAATCATCTATTATAACCACTTTCCGTTTTAACCTTTTTTTCACCACAATTCGTTCTTGGCTTTCCTGCCCTAACACAATACAATCTTCTACTTCTTCGTGTACTACAAAGTGTTCTACTCCTTTTTTTATCGCAATCTGTTTTTTGCTTTCCTGCTCTACCACAATACAATCTTCTTCTTCCTCATGTACAACAAAGTGTTCTACTCCTTGTTTACGAACAATCTGTCTTTTGGTTTCCTGCTCGACCACAATACAATCTTCTACTTCTTCGTGTACTACAAAGTGTTCTACTCCTTTTTTTATCCCAATCTGTTTTTTGCTTTCCTGCTCTACCACAATACAATCTTCTTCTTCCTCATGTACAACAAAGTGTTCTACTCCTTGTTTACGAACAATCTGTCTTTTGGTTTCCTGCTCGACCACAATACAATCTTCTACTTCCTCATGTACCATAATCTGTTCTACTCTTTCCTTTACCACATCCTCTTCTTCTTCTTCCTTCTGTACAATAAACTGTTCTTCGTCTCCTCCCTCTACCACCAACTTTTCTTTATATTCCTGCAATACTACTATCCAATCTTCTTCCATGTGCACCACATTCTGTTCTACTTCTTCTTTCACCACAAACTGTTCTTCATCTTCCCCCTTTACCACAATCTGGTCTTCATCGGCCTCGTGTACAACTAACTGTTCGTTGTCTTCCCACTTTACCACAATCTGGTCTTCATCGGCCTCGTGTACAACTAACTGTTCGTTGTCTTCCCACTTTACCACAATCTGGTCTTCATCTGCCTCGTGTACAACTAACTGTTCGTTGTCTTCCCACTTTACCACAATCTGGTCTTCATCTGCCTCGTGGACAACTAACTGTTCGTTGTCTTCCCCCTTTACCACAATCTGGTCTTCATCTGCCTCGTGTACAACTAACTGTTCGTTGTCTTCCCCCTTTACCACAATCTGGTCTTCATCGGCGTCATGGACAACTAACTTTTCTTCATTTTCCCTCTTGTCTTCGTCTTCATCCTGATCAGTCTCTTCTGCGTTATCGTACTCTACTACAAACCAATCATCTTCCCCCAACACATTCTGTTCTTGAACTTCCTCACGCACATCACCATGTTCTGTTACTTCATCCTCTACCAGAATTGTTTCATTTCTGTCATATTTTACATTGCCATCATCCCCTTTTGGTTCCTTATTTAATGCAGAGATATTCCCTTTCCCCATTTCTGAGCTTTCTTCGGGAGTCACAACCTTTCTTCTCTTCCTTCTATCCACTCTTTGATTGAGTTTTCCTTCCCCCATTTCTGAGCTTTCTTCAGGAGTCACAACCTTTCTTCTCTTCCTTCTATCCACTCTTTGATTGAGTTTCCCTTTCCCCATTTCTGAGCTTTCTTCGGGAGTCACAACCTTTCTTCTCTTCCTTCTATCCACTCTTTGATTGAGTTTTCCTTCCCCCATTTCTGAGCTTTCTTCAGGAGTCACAACCTTTCTTCTCTTCCTTCTATCCACTCTTTGATTGAGTTTTCCTTCCCCCATTTCTGAGCTTTCTTCAGGAGTCACAACCTTTCTTCTCTTCCTTCTATCCACTCTTTGATTGAGTTTTCCTTCCCCCATTCCTGAGCTTTCTTCAGGAGTCACAACCCTTCTCTTTCTTGGATTGGCATTTTTTATCAGTTTTCGATATGCTTGAGTGTTTTTGGGGGCTGGAACTTGTTCCCTTCCTTTTTGTCTGGAAATTAACTCCAATGCTTCAGAAGGATACAGAGAAACTACTTTTGGTATAAATGGTATAAATGGTTCAAATGGTTTACAATAATGTTTCCTCTCTTTCCTTCTTTTGTAAGCTGGTTCATGTACATAATATTTCTCTCTTCTAAATTCCTCCTGATGACAAAATGGTCCCTCCTGTTTTCTTTGAAGAAACATCTCTACTTCATCAGCACAGATATGTACCTTGACTGGTTTCAGGCGGTTGTTAGTGTAACAGCCTTCTCTGTCACTTCGTGTTTCACTTTCTGATATTGTTACTTTGTTTGGTGGTTTCACAATTACCATGGCTGGTGTATTCTCTACACTGCACCTGCCTAATGAATGTGAATTAGTCTGTTCATTGTCTTCCCCCTCTTCGACAACCTCGTCTTCATCTGCCTCGTGTACAATTAACTGTTTGTTGTCTTCCCCCTTTACCACAATCTGGCCCTCATCTGCCTCGTGAACTACTAACTGTTTGTTGTCTTCCCCCATTACCACAATCTGGTCCTCATCTGCCTCGTGAACGACTAACTGTTCGTTGTCTTCCCCATCTTCGACAACCTGGTCTTCATCTGCCTCGTGGACAACTAACTGTTTGTTGTCTTCCCCCTTTACCACAATCTGGTCTTCATCGGCGTCATGGACAACTAACTGTTCGTTGTTTTCCCCCTTTACCACAATCTGGTCTTCATCGGCGTCATGGACAACTAACTGTTTGTTGTCATCCCCATCTTCGACATCCTGGTCTTCATCTGCCTCTTGAACAACTAACTGTTCGTTGTTTTCCCCCTTTACCACAATCTGGTCTTCATCGGCGTCATGGACAACTAACTGTTCGTTGTCTTCCCCATCTTCGACATCCTGGTCTTCATCTGCCTCGTGTACAACTAACTGTTCGTTGTCTTTCCCCTTTACCACAATCTGGTCTTCATCGGCGTCATGGACAACTAACTGTTCGTTGTCTTCCCCATCTTCGACATCCTGGTCTTCATCTGCCTCGTGTACAACTAACTGTTCGTTGTCTTCCCCCTTTACCACAATCTGGTCTTCATCGGCGTCATGGACAACTAACTGTTCGGTGTCTTCCCCCTTTACCACAATCTGGTCTTCATCGGCGTCATGGACAACTAACTGTTCGTTGTCTTCCCCATCTTCGACATCCTGGTCTTCATCTGCCTCGTGTACAACTAACTGTTCGTTGTCTTCCCCCTTTACCACAATCTGGTCTTCATCATCGTCATGGACAACTAACTGTTTGTTGTCATCCCCTTCTTCGACATCCTGGTCTTCATTGGCCTCGTGGACAACTAACTGTTCGTTGTTTTTCCCCTTCACCACAATCGGGTCTTCGTCTTCCTCCTGATCAGGTTCTTCTGCGTTTTCTAACTCTACTACAAACAAATCATCTCTCCCTACCACATTCTGTTCTTGTACTTCCTCACGTACACCAGCATGTACTGTTACTTCATCCTCTACCAGAATTGTTTCATTTCTGTCATATTTTACCTTTCCATCATCCCCTTTTGGTTCCTTATTTAATGCACAGATATTCCCTTCCCCCATTTCTGAGCTTTCTTCAGGAGTCATAACCCTTCTTTTATTCCTTCCATCCACTCCAGGATTGAGGTTTTTTATCAGTTTTCGAAATCCTTGAGTGTTGTTTTGGGCTAGAAATCGTATCCCTCCGCGTTTTTTTGAAATACATTCCAATGCTTCAGAAGGATACAGAGAAACTACTTTTGGTTTAAATGGTTTATATGTAGGTTTCCTCACTTTCCTTCTTTTGTAAGCTGGTTCATATTCAAAATATTTCTCTCTTCTAAATTCCTCCAGATGACAAAATGGTCCTTCCTGTTTTCTTTGGAGAAACCTCTCTACTTCATCAGCACAGATATGTACCTTGACTGGTTTCAGGCGGATGTCAGTGTAACAGCCTTCTCTGTCACTTCGTGTTTCACTTTCTGATATGGTTACTTTGTTTGGTGGTTTCACAATTACCATGGCTGGTGTATCCTCTACACTGCACCTGCCTAATGAATGTGAATTAGTCTGTTCATTGTCTTCCCCATCTTCGACAACCTCTTCTTCATCTGCCTCTTGAACAACTAACTGTTCGTTGTCTTCCCCCTTTACCACAATCTGGTCTTCATCGGCGTCATGGACAACTAACTGTTTGTTGTCATCCCCATCTTCGACATCCTGGTCTTCATCTGCCTCGTGTACAACTAACTGTTCGTTGTCTTTCCCCTTTACCACAATCTGGTCTTCATCGGCGTCATGGACAACTAACTGTTTGTTGTCATCCCCATCTTCGACATCATGGTCTTCATCTGCCTCGTGTACAACTAACTGTTTGTTGTCTTCCCCCATTACCACAATCTGGCCCTCATCTGCCTCGTGTACAACTAACTGTTCATTGTCTTCCCACTTTACCACAATCTGGTCTTCATCGGCGTCATGGACAACTAACTGTTTGTTGTCATCCCCATCTTCGACATCCTGGTCCTCATCTGCCTCGTGTACAACTAACTGTTTGTTGTTTTCCCCCTTCACCACAATCGGGTCTTCGTCTTCCTCCTGATCAGGTTCTTCTGCGTTTTCTAACTCTACTACAAACAAATCATCTCTCCCTACCACATTCTGTTCTTGTACTTCCTCACGTACACCAGCATGTACTGTTACTTCATCCTCTACCAGAATTGTTTCATTTCTGTCATATTTTACCTTTCCATCATCCCCTTTTGGTTCCTTATTTAATGAACAGATATTCCCTTCCCCCATTTCTGAGCTTTCTTCAGGAGTCACAACCTTTCTTCTCTTCCTTCCATCCAGTCCAGGATTGAGTTTTGTTATCAGTTTTCGAAACGCTTGAGAAGTTATTTGTTTGGTAAATTCTTCCCCTCTATATTTTCTGGAAAGACACTCCACAGAAGAATACTGACATACTGCTTTTGCAAAGTGATGGGTTTTTTCTTTCGAATTTGGGTCATATTCATAATATTTTTCTCTTCCAGCTTCCTTCAGAGGACAAAATGGTTTTGAACACACAGGTCTCTCCTGTTTCCTGTGAAGAAACCTCTCTACTTCATCAGCACAGAGATGTACCCTGACTGGTTTCAGATGCATGGTAGTGTAACAATATCCACTGCCACTTGCTCCTTCTGCAATTAAGTTGTTAAATTTCATTAAAAAATACTTTTATTACTCAAACATTTAATCAAAGCACAAGTGAAAAGTGAGCTTTTACCAATATTCCAGCAATATAATGGTGGGTGGACACCAGAAATGGGCTTCACACATTGTACCCATGTCAGGATTTGAACCCAGTTCTTTGGTGAGATGAGCAAACGCTTTTACCACTAGCCGACTAGAAAAGAAATTGTTTTAGAAACATAACAAAATGCATTATAAGGGACCAGTCATTTATATCTGGGGTTTGGGATGCAAAAGCAACTAATGTCATATAACATGTCCATTTTCATGACCCTCCCCAAATGTGAGCATTGTTTTTATTACCCTTCCCTAAACTGTCTTATGTTTTGGTGACCTTCCTCTGATTCCCTCTGACCCCCCTCCTTCTCCTCCTCACCTCCCAATAATAGATGACCACTCTAAGCGTTTGCTGTCTGAGCTACCTTTATCGTCATCTTGACCCAATTTCAGGGTTATATGGCCATGTATCACTGCTTTTTGAAACTACTATTTTTCAAAAAGTTGTTTGTGTTTAACGCTGCACTCCGCAGCATTGGAGCTGTATGACTAATTAATCGAGTCTGGACAAGACAATCCAGTGATTGACATCAAGATCAAATGTATAAGCAACGGTCAAATCTTATAATAGAAACGGGCTCCATCCGTCCGTCTGGTTTCCGGAGCATAACTCATAAACCGTTCAATATTTTTTTCATGAAACTTTGCAGGTCTGTCAAGTACATGCTGAACTGGTGCCTTTTGCTATTTAGAAATTTTAGAATTTTTTTATTTTTTACGTTTCCATGGCAACAAGATGGACTTAGGTTCTGTGAGGGTAGGGTTCATTTCCGGAGCATAACTCATAAACCGTTCAATATTTTTTCATCAAACTTTGCAGGTCTGTCAGGTACATGCTGAACTTGTGCCTTTATTTTTTACGTTTCCATGGCAACAAGATGGACTTAGGTTCCAAACTCTTCTTTTTTTTACAATTTCCATGACAAGTTCCACCTCGGTTAAAAAAAAGGTTAGGGTTTGTTAAGATTTGATTATGTCATAAATTCTGCAACAGGGGCGGAGGATATAGCCATGTTAGTGGCAAACTCTTGTTTACTTTATGGCTGCCATGCCTGTAATTGATGGAAGGATTCCGTACACAACGTAAGTATCACTGGCATCATATACACTGAGGGGTGGCAGGGTAGCCCAGTGGTGTAAACATTCACTTGTCATTGCAAAGGTCTGGGTTCAGTTCCCAACATGGGTACAATGGGCGAGGCACATTTCTGGTGTCCTCCATTGAGACATTGCTGGAATATTGTAGCGTGAACCTTACGCAAAACCCTTTTTTCATATCAAATATTTCTAAACCAAAATACTGATTGTATATCCATTCATATCTTCTTTCCCATTTTTGGTGTCCCCCACCATGATATTGCTGGAATATTGCTAAAAGTGGCATAAATCATACTCACTCACTCATTTATATGTTCATAATGTTTAAAAACAGTGGGGTGGGGTGTCTTCTAGGGATTAAGCTCATAACATATGGAACACAATGACATGAACACAACACAAATGCCTTCATATCACAGTCAAACACCATTGTGTCAAAGTTGAAGGGACCTACGTAAAGACCTTGAGTTACCCGATGTTCGCCACAACCGGTAATGATGAATAAATGAGGATTAAGCAGGGACTAAGCTTTAACTTTGAGACAAACGTAAGTTTGATATATCAAAGTTCGACACAACAGTGATTGAAATCCATGTCTGATTGACAAGTCTATCCCCCAACTGAAGACTAAAATTTAAAATGCCAAATGTAAATATTTCTCTGGATCGGTCTCAAATATAACTCTTACTAGTACTTGCCATAGTCATGATGACTCCTTCGACTGAGTCCCACAAACTGGCGAGGTGCACCCTCCTTTAATCCCCTTCCTGTAGCTCTGAAGGAAGTCTCTGCCTGGTCCATCATTTCAGTGGCCTTCTTCTGGGCCTTTGAGATAAAAATTGATGGACTCATGTCTGTCATTTCTCTCCTTAATTCAACTCTTGGTGTCTCTTGGCATTCCATCGCTTCAGCTCCTGGTTTAGTGGCCTTTTTCTGGGCGGCTGAAATATAAATTGATGGAGTCATGTCTGTCAGCTCGCTCCTCAATTCCCCACTTGGTGTTTCTTGTGGTTCCTTCACTTCAATGACTGGTGCAGAAAACTTTTTCAGGGTGGATGAAATACAAATTGAAGGAATCATGTCTGTGAACTTTCTTTTTATTCCACTTCTTTGAGTCTCTTGTGCTTCCTTCATTTTAGCTTCTGGTTTAGCTAACTTTGTCCGGGCAGCTGAAATATAAATTGATGGCGACATGTCTGTCAGTTCTCTCCTTAATTCACCTCTTGGAGTCTGATCTGATACCTTCACTCCAGCTGCTGGTGCAGCAAATGTTTTCTGGGAAGTTGTAATAAAACTTAATGGAGTCATGTCTGTGATCTTGCTTTTTATTCCACCCCTTGAAGTATTATCTGGTTCCATCACTTCAGCCGCTGGTGCAGCAAACTTTTTCTGGGCAGTTGAAATAAAACTTGATGGAGTCGTGTTTGTGATCTCTGTCCTTAATCCACCTCTTGGATTTATCACTTCAGCTGCTAGCTTAGGAACCTTTTTCTTGGTGGTTGAAACAGAACTTGATGGAGTTGTGTCTATTACACCTCTTGGACTCTTATCTGGTTCCATCACTTCAGTTGCTGATTCAGCAAATGTTTTCTGGATGGATGAAACAGAACTTGATGGAGTCCTGTCTATTACACCTCTTGGAGCCTTAACTGGATCCATCACTTCAGCTGCTGGCTTAGCAACCATTTTCTGGGTGGATGAAACAGAACTTGTTGGAGTCATGTCTATAACATCTCTTGGAGCCTTATCTGGATCCATCACTTCAGCTGCTAGCATAGGAACCTCTTTCTGGGTGGTTGAAACAGAACTTGATGGAGTCATGTCTATTACACCTCTTGGAGTCTTATCTGGTTCCATCACTTCAGCTGCTGGCTTAGCAACCATTTTCCGGATGGTTGAAACAGAACTTGTTGGAGTCATGTCTATTACACCTCTTGGAGTCTTATCTGGTTCCATCACTTCAGCTGCTGGCTTAGCAACCATTTTCTGGATGGTTGAAATAGAGCTTAAAATAAAACTTGAAGGAGTCGTGTCTGTCAACTCGCTCCTCAATTCACCTCTAGGAGTTTCTTGTGATTCCTTCACTTCAATTGCTGATACAGCGAACCTTATCTGGGCAGCTGAAATAAATCTTGGAGTCAAGTCTGTGATCCTGCTTTTTATTCCACCTCTTGAAGTATTATCTGATTCCTTCACTTCAGCCGCTGGTGCAGCACACATTTTCTGGGCAGTTGAAACATAACTTGATGGAGTCAAGTCGGTGATCTCTGTACTTTCTCCCACTCCTGGTAAAATCTCCTGTGATTCCTTCACTTCATCTTCGGGTTCAGCAACCTTTTTCTGGGTGGTTGAAACAGAACTTGATGGAGTCAAGTCGGTGATCTCTGTCCTTTCTCCCCATCCTGTTTGCATCTCCTGTGATTCCTGGACTTCAGTTTCAGGTTCAGCAACCTTTTTCTGGGTGGTTGAAACAGAACTTGATGGAGTCAAGTCGTTGATCTCAGTCCTTAATCCCCCTCCTGGTAGAATCTCCTGTGATTGCTTCACTTCATCTTCGGGTTCAGCAACCTTTTTCTGGGTGGTTGAAACAGAGCTTGATGGAGTCAAGTCTGTTACACCTCTTGGAGTATTATCTGGTTCCATCACTTCAGCTGCTGGCTTAGCAACCATTTTCTGGGTGGATGAAACAGAACTTGTTGGAGTCATGTCTATAACATCTCTTGGAGACTTATCTGGATCCATCACTTCAGCTGCTGGCTTAGCAACCACTTTCTGGGTGGTTGAAATAGAGCTTGGAGTCATGTCTGTGATCTTGCTTTTTATTCTACCTCTTGAAGTATTATCTGATTCCTTCACTGCAACCCCTGGTGCAGCACACGTTTTCTGGGCAGTTGAAATAAAACTTGAAGGAGTCGTGTCTGTCAACTCTCTCCTCAATTCACCTCTAGGAGTTTCTTGTGATTCCTTCACTTCAATTGCTGATACAGCGAACCTTATCTGGGCAGCTGAAATAAAACTTGGAGTCAAGTCTGTAATCCTGCTTTTTATTCCTACTCTTGAAGTATTATCTGATTCCTTCACTTCAGCCGCTGGTGCAGCACACATTTTCTGGGCAGTTGAAACATAACTTGATGGAGTCAAGTCGGTGATCTCTGTCCTTAACTTTCCTCCTGCTGGAATCTCCTGCAATTCCTGCACTTCAGCTTTGGGTTCAGCAACCTTTATCTGGGTGGTTGAAACAGAACTTGATGGAGTCAAGTTGGTGATCTCTGTCCTTTCTCCCCCTCCTAGAATCTCCAGTGATTCCTGCACTTTAGCTTCAGGTTCAGCAACCTTTATCTGGGTGGTGGAAACAGAACTTGATGGAGTCAAGTCGTTGATCTCTGTCCTTTCTCCCCATCCTGGAATCTCCAGTGATTCCTCCACTTTAGCTTCAGGTTCAGCAACCTTTTTCTGGGTGGTGGAAACAGAACTTGATGGAGTCAAGTCAGTGATCTCTGTCCTTTCTCCCCCTCCTGGTAGAATCTCCTGTGATTCCTTCACTTCATGTTCGGGTTCAGCAACCTTTTTCTGGGTGGTTGAAACAGAACTTGATGGAATCAAGTCTGTGATCTCTGTCCTTTCTCCCCATCCTGTTTGCATCTCCTGTGATTCCTGGACTTCAGTTTCAGGTTCAGCAACCTTTTTCTGGGTGGTTGAAACAGAACTTGATGGAGTCAAGTCGTTGATCTCTGTCCTTAATCCCCCTCCTGGTAGAATCTCCTGTGATTGCTTCACTTCATGTTCGGGTTCAGCAACCTTTTTCTGGGTGGTTGAAACAGAGCTTGATGGAGTCAAGTCGTTGATCTCTGTCCTTAATCCCCCTCCTGGTAGAATCTCCTGTGATTGCTTCACTTCATCTTCGGGTTCAGCAACCTTTTTCTGGGTGGTTGAAACAGAGCTTGATGGAGTCAAGTCTGTGATCTCTGTCCTTAATACTCCTCCTGTTGGAATCTTCTGTGATTCCGTCACATCCACAGTGAGGACAGCTGTATTTTTCTGGGCACTGGAAACAGTAACTGATGGAGTCACGTCACTGGTTTTGCTTGTATAACTTCTTCTTTGAGGTTGTGTTGGTTCTTGCTTTGGCATAGTGTTTTCCTTCTTTTCACTCTCTTTGGTTGGCAGCTCCTCTTTACCTTTCAAGGTTGTAAGAAAAAATATGACAGTTATAGGAAAAGGTGAGGTGAAATGGAGCTCAACATCGCATTCAAGATTATTACACTTATATAGTGATGTGCATACATGTGAGTAAGTGAGCAGGTGTGCATCTTCCACAATATACTATATACAGTAAACTACAGTTATAACGAACTCAACCACTAGTCTGTAAAAACCGAGGTTCATTATAAGCATTTATCATCCAAAACTGTCTCCTACAGGAGATATCACATGCGTGAGATCAAGCAATATCTACATGGTAGATATCCCTGCAATGAAATTGCATCACAATGCTTTGCAGACCATTGTGACATCATTGGTTACCATGATGTCACAATCAAATGACATCACTAATGGCTCTGCAACTGAAGCTGTTAGCAGTACTTTTTACACTTAACATGCTTAAGACACTGCTAATTACTGTCTACAAGCTGAAAAAGTTGGAAGAATGATGTTGGATGATAAATAAAATCTCACCCTCATGTCTTTAGATCTGAAACATATCAACACTCATTGATAAAAGTGGAAAGACTTGCCAAGGATTTTTTCCACTTTTATCAACTCGTGTTGATATATTTGATATCAAAAGACACTCGGGTGAGGTTCTATATACATAAAGCATATATACAACAAATAAGTGGAACTAAAAAATAAGTTTGTTATATCGGTCAGTTTGTTATAAGCATGTTCGTTATAAATGTAGTTTATAGTTTACTGTATGTATGTGAGTGAGTGAGTGAGTATGGTTTTACGCCCCTTTTAGCAATATTCCAGCAATATCACGGCGGGGGACACCAGAAATGGGCTTCACACATTGTACCCATGTCGGGAATCGAACCCGGGTCTTCGGCGTGACGAGCGAACGCTTTAACCACCAGGCTACCCGACCGCCCCACTGTATGTATGACTGTGAATATCAACATTCTCCACAGAGAAAAGACAGAAAAAGAAGTTGGAGTACTAAGTAAGGATAAGTTATATGGATGAACAACGTTTTGGTGTGCAAGTTCTACATGCTGCATGGTTGCAATAAATTGCATAGATCAATGACGGACTTATGACGGGTTTAATTGCTTGCCCATTGAGATATAAACATCCCTCGCTAGAACGTGGGTCTTGGGGCATGGAGGCGAGGCAGAGGTGAAATGGTGTTTAATGTCGCGTCTAAGATTATTGCACTTATATAGAGACGTGCATTCACGTGTGTGTGTGTGTGTGACTGCTTGTACTCTTCCTGACTAATGCTGATTTAGCAGTGCTAGCCCATTACAGTCAAAAACTACATCCTCTCGCTTCAAGTGAACAAACAAGAGATATGAAACTTTGTCAATGAAAATGCGAAATTTGCGATTTAAACATCACGATGACATGTTGATTTACCATCTAATTATTTCATGTTGTGTTTGACATTGTTTCACATGAAATTGTGATAACTGTGTGCATTAGTGTGTCGCAAACAAAGCCAGAAATAGCAATCAGCTGTACACAGATTTTCTCCCAATCTACTGTTGATTCAGTTAAAAAATACCCAATAACATAACTTCAGAGAATTTTTAGTGCAGCTTTTACTTCATATTTATGTACAATAATTATAACCATAACAAGCGATATGTGAGTCAAATTTACTAGTTCTACCTCTTTCTGAAACAGCCATATATGGGTCATATTTACTAGGTCTACCTCTCGTACTTCCTTAAACAGCAACATATGTGTCAAAATTACGAGGTTTAATCTTGCTCTTCTTTCAAAAGGTCAACCTCTCTCTTCTTTCAACAGCTACATATGCGTCATATTTACAAGGTGTACCTCTCGCTCTTCCTGCAGAAGCTAAATATGCGTCATACTTACGAGGTTTAACTTTTTTTTCTGTGCCTTCAAGCAGAGACCCTGTGGATTCTTTACTGGGTTTTTCCTCTTCCACGGAAGCTGGGTTTTCATTTGGCCTGCCTTTTTCACTTCCTCCATCTAAGCTGTCTGGTTTACACCCCAACAAATCTGCAAACGTAAAATTAAAAAATTACACATGCGTCCACAAGCACTTGGTAGAAGAAAAAAAGATTATTTCAATACTAAAAATAATGCATTGTCTCTCTGTACTCCCTTGGCATGGACATGGCGGACAATGATAATAAACATTATTTTTGATAATTTCAATTCTTTCATTTGAGCAACAATGCCGAGAGTCTCAGAGCCAATCAGTCGAGCGGATCTGCCCAACCCTCAAAGTCTAGACGATCATTTTGTAAGTCGTGGCTAACGACCTTCACTTGGTTGACAAACAATGAAGATTTGCAGATTTTATTGTTTTCAGTAGCTAGTCGTATACTGAATCTTGATTGACCGCCATTTTGCTTTCTCGGACGATCGATATCAATTTTTTTTATGGTCAATAATTAAGTACAGATGAAAAAAGTATTCAAATAACTATTGCTCTCAACGATATTTTAGTATTTGTGATAAAATTATCTTTCTTGTTTTAAAAAAATCTTTAGTTTAAAGAAAACCTTTTCCCGTGAGGTCACGTGATAACCAAATATGGGATAATAGTCTTGATCCAAATGTTTCAACGAGTACACTTGAGCAGACTCATGAATATAACTCATGAATATTAATTAGACCGTTTACTACGTTAACAGATCGTTATTATAACAGAAACAAACGTATGTTTTCCATGTATATCTAAAATTATATTATTTGTTATTAATTGTCCGGTGAATTAAACAATTTAAATTGAAACAATTCATAATTCATCATATTATGAATACGTAAACTTGTAATGTGTGTGAAAGTCGTACTAAAATACGCTATTTGAAGGGGGCGTGGCCTAAATGCAAAAGTCCGATTGGGATTTTAAATTTTCCAGACCCCTGGCCGAGACTAATGGGATCGGGTGGTCAGGCTCACTGACTTGGTTGATGCATGTCATCGTATCCCAAATGCGTATATGCTCATGATGTCAATAGCTGGATTGCATGGTCCAGATTCGATTATGTACAGACCGCCATCTTATAGCTTGAATATTGCTGAGTGTGGCGTTAATCAACAAACAAACAAATAAACAAACAAACAAACACTCAACACTGACATGGCAGAAACATTATCTTTGATATTTTCAATTGTTTTAATGCACTTCCAATCATTTGAGCATAAATGCCCTATTCAAAAACATGAATACTCCAGTCACAAAGGGAAGAGTTGCTATGGCTGAAATAATGCTGATGTGATGTTAAAGTTTATCACACTCACTCAATGGAAAGAAGCTTAAGAAACGGGGTTTAACGTCGCGTTCAAGATTCTTGCTCTTATAAAGAAATGTGCATGCATATGTACATCAACATACAAGTATGGACTAAGGTTGGTTTTACAGAGCTAGCCCCCAGACATTCCATGCTGCAGCTCAACATGGACCCCCCACTTGGACACAGTATTCTGTTTCTGAGTAGGAATTCCATGTCAAGTTGCATCAAGGTATGTCTGTGAATGAGTTGGGTTTTACGCCGCTTTTAACAGTATTCCAGTTATATCGCGGCGTGTCAGCTTTAATGTGGGAGGAAAGCCCGAAGTGATGCAGGTCTGAGACGTTTACCACTTCGGTGAAACCCACGAGCATGGTTATGGTGCTGACAAACCTGGAAACATAATCGGGGTGAACCGGGATTTGAACCCACAATCATAATTTTCTGGCATACCCAAGGGATGCAACTCTGCACAGCGTATCATGGTGCCTTAGATGACTTGGCTACCCGTGTCACTCACTCACTCACCTACCCACCCTGTCAATCAGCTAAGCTAAAAATAAACATTGTACATAGATACCTTGCTGCTCTTTTTGGGCCTCAGCTCCAGCTGTTCTGAGTCTCTTTAATTCTCTGTATTTCTTCAAATGCTATAAGTACAAGAAGTAGAGTGAAGCCTCATTCAGAGATACTGGACAATATAAATAACAGTAAACAATATTTATAATGAACATGCTCATAACGAACTGACCGATATAACGAACTTACTTCTTAGTCCAAGCCACTTGCTGTATATATGCTGTACATATTACGAACTTTGGTTATTACAAACTAAAATTAGTGGTCCCTTTGAGTTTGTTATTAATCCATAGTTTACTGTATTGTCAAGTTATTCCAAACAAGCCATGAGCAAGACTAATTCTAAAACATTTTGTTTCATTCTCATGGAACAAAAGATTCCTTCAATTGTTTTCCACTTTCGCAAATACGAAAGAAATTTTAAAAGAAATGTCCCAACAAATACCTTGATTTTGTATTGTTTATGTTGTTCTTAATCAGCAAAATATGGCATGTCGGAAAAAGAGGTATAGCTGTTAAGGTGAGATATCAATTGCATAGCGGCAAATGCCAGCGTCGGTGATGATTCGGGGTAACTTCAGCAACCCATGCTTGCCATAAATGCATCAACACAGTGATGGGGGGGGGGGGGGGGGGGGGGGGGGGTACTTAGTAGGATCCAGGTGCCAACAGGACTACCCGGACCCATGATATATTGTACCCATGATATATTGTAATGACAAAAATTATCTTAAACTCCATGGTTACACTACAAGTCACTATTGCTTGCATTTCTTTCTTACTATTTATGTATTTCTTCTGACATTTTGATATTTGAATAAAGAAAAAGCTCAGGGTATAGATGATCATATTGTTTCAGGGTGTATCTAAACACTTTTTGCCAGGGTTCCAGTCAAACAACTCTAAAACACATATTGTATACCCATCTCTTGAGATCTCCAGCAGGTTCCCGGGTACGGTCAGGTAATATATTCTTGGGTACCCAGGTTGTTCATTTGGACTCGTCCAAGCCCTATTCTCGACATTTGTAACTGCACTGACATTTACATTAAAGCATATTATTTATTGCTGCAGCAACATATTTTACCAATTGTATTGCCCTGTGTGATGAAAAACACAATCCAGTCTGTTTCAACATAATTTTGTCAATTATTCATTGATCATGTGTGGTTATTTACTGATTTCACAATTTAGTTCTGTATGTACCGATTTCTAGGTTACCCTCTGCGATTCAACTTGGAAATCCACTCATAACAGTGCAATACAAGTCACCTTTACACAGTCATAACATAAGATACAGTAAACTAACAAACACGCTTCCAGGTGTATATATGTTTTAAATATGCTTATAACAAACTACGGTTATAACAAATTAAATTTAGTTGGCCCTTTGAGTTCATTATAACCGTAGTTTACTGTATAGCAAAACTACCATGAATTGGGAAATTGTTACTCCCTGAGTACCTAAGCCTCAGTGTACTCAAGTTTATGAGTACCTCAGCCCCTGAGGACCCAAGTTTATGAGTACCTAAACCTTCAGGTACCCAAGTTTATGAGTACCTAAACCTCTGGGTACCTAAGCCTCTGAGTACCTAAGCCTCTGGGTACCTAAGTCTCTGAGTACCTAAGACTCTGAGTACCCAGGTTTATGATTACCTAAGCCTCTGGGTACCTAAGCCTCTGAGTACCTAAGCCTCTGGGTACCTAAGCCTCTGGGTACCTACGCCTCTGAGTACCCAGGTTTATGATTACCTAAGCCTCTGGGTACCTAAGCCTCTGGGTACCTAAGCCTCTGGGTACCTAAGCCTCTGAGTACCTAAGCCTCTGAGTACCAAGCTTTATGATTACATTAGCCTCTGAGTACCTAAGCCTCTGGGTACCTAAGCCTCTGAGTACCTAAGCCTCTGAGTACCCAGGTTTATGATTACCTAAGCCTGAGTACCTAAGCCTCTGGGTACCTAAGCCTCTGGGTACCTAAGCCTCTGAGTACCTAAACATCTGAGTACCTAAGCCTCTGAGTACCTAAGCCTCTGAGTACCTAAGCCTCTGAGTACCCAAGTTTATGAGTACCTAAGCCTCTGGGTACCTTAGCCTCTGAGTACCCAAGTTTATGAGTACCTAAGCCTCTGGGTACATAAGCCTCTGAGTAAGCAAGTTTGTGAGTACCCAAGCCTCTTGGTACCTTAGCCTCTGAGTACCCAAGTTTATGAGTAACTAAGCCTCTGGGTACATAAGCCTCTGAGTAAGCAAGTTTGTGAGTACCCAAGCCTCTGAGAACCAGATGAAGACACATATAACGGTAAATGTGAGATTGAACTTACGAGTCCTTTCTTCCATCCCCGCTTGAGAGGCATCGTTGTCTGAAGAGAAAAGAACACAGCTGTTAAATCTTTTATAGGTAGAAAATAGAAGCAAAGCTAGTGAACAATGTCAGTTCAGATATTTAGATATTTACAAGTTTAAAGTTTGTCAAAAGTAAATTGTGACAATCACTTTTAATAACTTTATGTCACACATCATTGTGTTTGTTTGTTTTCTGAAGATGAAGTCAAATGGTCACATGAAAATAGTGACATAGCACTGTCTTTTACATGAGGATGTAGTCAACAAATCAAAACAAAAACAACCATCTGACAAAAATGTTAGATATTAAAAATTTTCCTTCATAAATACTTATACTTAAAACTAACACCAAATTCCATGAGATTTGCACAAATTATTGATGTCAGCATTTATATTCAAATATTTTCTGCATATACTGAGCACTATAAAGTTAAAGGGAAGCGGTGGGGTAGCATAGTGGTTAAAGCGTTCGCTCGTCATGCTGAAGACCCAGGTTCAATTCCCAACATGGGTACAATGTGTGAAGCCCTTTTCTGGTGTCCCCTGCCATGATATTGCTGGAATATTGCTAAAAGCAGCGTAAAACCATACTCACTCACTTGAAGATGGACATCTAACATGCTACAGTTCTGGTACATCGGAGAGTCAGTTTCCGAGGAGAGGTAGTTTACAGGGCCGATATGCCATTGAAGAATTTAAGAGCATGGTAATAACAATCAGAGGCCGCATAAATCAAACTTTCTAATCAGTCAATCACCACCGATGCTTCAAATTTTGGCCTACCTTAAGAATACAGTACCACAAACTTTTCAAACACATGACAATACCCGATGACGTAATTTGTAGTATTTTGTTGCAAGTCACACTGGCGAAACAATGCCCTGTGACGTCAGGGGTCAATGAGTGTGCATTAACTCCTCCCAGTGATCTATCATCTCTACACGCAATGTCTTTGAATACGCCCAGCGGTGTTGAGAGCTTTGAATATTTGTTTACTAAATATAGCCTACGGCAGCCATTTTATAGCAAGCGCTAGTTTACGAAAGCACTTTTATTTTTTATATATTTTTTATTTGGTTATTCTCATAATTCAAGTGGCTAAAATGGTTATAAATGGGAACCAATATACATATATTATTTTTTTTCGGTTCATTAATTTTCATTATTATGCACAAGAATGCAGTTTATTAGGGATATTATATTGGTGCTGAACACATCCAAATGTCACCAGTGTTAGGGTAGGTTGCCCCAAACTGTATCCTTAGCCCTTGGATCCCCTTTACGATCAATCACTCCATTTTTATCATTAGGGTTTGGTACCCGTTTAGTGGCTATTAGATTACCTGAGCTCTATCCTTAGCCCTTGGATCCCCTATACGGTCATTAGGGTTAGGTAGACCTATCCATTTAGTGGCTATTATAAATTCTATAGCGGCTCCTAATATTCTTCACACAAAAACGTCGAGTAAAAAGGATGAAATGGTTTTGTGTCGAATACTTTGGCTACTAGAAACTGTCCTGGAACATTCACACAAGCCACTTTCACCGGTTACATTTTTTCAGTACCGATTAGCGAACTCACTGTTGTGTCGTCACTAGCTATGCTCATGCCTCCCTCGTTCCTTACTATTATCCACATCATCATTACAGTGTTTCCTACCACACTTTTCTGTCACAAAATCCACCTGACAAATTATTAAATACCAATCCATTCATGTGTACACGCGGGTTCGACGTCTGACGTCTGGAGTTGTTTTCAGTTCGCGCCATATCGGATCATTCCTCGCCACTCTGTATCTTGTAGATTACAGAATGGGACGAGTGTGCCAAGTGGCATTGGGATCATTTGTAAGTGTCCGTAGACTAAAGTCATGAGACACCATACCTACCCATAACCTTCTTAAGTGCCGTCATCTATTCAACCATTTTCGTTCAGTTCCATAACGTCGTAGGCATGAACAGGTAAATTTTGCACTTTGTTTCACAGTGTGGACGTAGCTCAGTTAGCTGTCGGGCTAACAATCCGAAGGTCGCAAGTTATGAAAAAAAAATGGTTGCTGTCTTTGAGACATGTGACCTACGGCAGAGATCATTCTCACGAGAATTTGTGGTACTGTATTCTAAAGGTGCTCCCAAATTTCTTAGTAGGAGTTCTGATTTCTGTACCTTGAAAGCAAATTGAAAAGTTCCCGACATTAGAAATTTTAGAGATTGTATGAACAGGATGTAAATTTGGATGATAGATTCATGTTGATTGCACAGCTGGGATACTGGTGGTACAAGCATATGATTCAAAGTGCAGAGCTGTTAGATTTTCCTTTCTTTTCTTGCCGTTGTTCTGCATGCTAACAACTACGCGCTGAAGTGTGAAAAATTGAAAAAGAAATTAAAACAAATCTTGAGGGTTGCGGCCGTCACGTTTGCAAACACAACAGCAGGAACATCTTTTAATGGTGTGCATTGAAATGTCAACAATGTCCATATTTGGTCATATATCATATTCATGTGCCACCAGATTTGCAACCGCTTTAGGATTGGTCCGTAGGTGTGTAATAAATATAATAACACTCTCATACATATTGATACAATTTCACAAACACGTCAAGTCTCTACGATATATGATCATGATCAGTTCACCTGTTCACAGTGGTTTCCGCCTACCGATGTTCGTACCGCATCACGTGATCAAACCAAACACAGGACCTAACATTTGCGTCGTATGTATTTCCCAGCGGTCAATATAATGTATTATATATCCGAGGATATACAGGCCTATATCGGTACGGAACCGTAGTCCATTTCTTAGTTTGCTCTTTGTTCATTTAATCTTGTGGTCTAGAAATGCAATAAAGAAAACTAGAAATTGACAGTTAACTACCGAGAATGTTGCATTTCAACACATGCAATACATGTAACCACCTTTTTACAAACGAACAAGCGCGGTCTAGCATTCTGTTTTTTAACGGAACATGGAATATTGTTTACGGAAGTTCCTGAGGTAATCTGGTTGACGGCTCTATCTGCGCGTCGTAAACATGCGCAACATGTGATATGGATAGACGGAGACCAGTTTAGTTCCGCTTTGAACATTTCACGCATGTGCAATGTGTATATATTTCGGGCCGATGAGAAGGATTTTAGGGCCGCCTCTACGCCTCCTGCGTGTATTTGGCAGAAGTATTGTTTCAAATAATGTTGCTGTATCATTGTGTATATTTTAAACCAGAAGCCTACAACATTCACTAAAAACAATTGACCGCATTCGTGGTCTAGTGGATAGAAGGACGACCGGAGAGCGGAAAGTCGGTCGTTCAATCACCGGACGCGTCAAGCCAAAAGACGTTTAAAGATGGTACATGTTGTTACCCTGCCTGGCGCTCGGTGTTAAAGAGATAGATCAAGGTTTGGTTGGGGGACTGTGTCTGAGTGTGGTGCCCGTGTTAAACAGCGCCATGGTATTTCAGTGGGCACACAAGCAGCCACACATGCATACCTTGAACGCGACGATACACCCCATTCCATCTCACCTCTCTTGGTCTCAGATGATCGGCTTTTTTAAGAAATCAAAATTTATTATGAATACAAATAAGTATAACACAAGAATAATGGGTATTGTGCGGGTGGTGAAAATCAATAAAGGTAACAAAACAGTGACAGAAAGGATGTATGGAGGTGGACACCGGGTGATCAAAGTCACGCGGCGCTGTTGTGTCCCTATTAGATCCCCAGGATTTCAAGGGGGTTCGGGGGTTGGGGGATTGGGGTGGTTGTGGTGGGTGGGGGGGTGGAGGATGGTGTATAAATTTTATTTTAACAACCAAATGATGGTATAGGAAGGGCGCGTACAAAAACTGTCAGCAGATATAAAACAAGGGGGGTTGCCACCCACCCACCCTTAAATCCACCACAGCTTTCGTCACAACCCAAAGCATGACCGTCACGAAGGATGTGCCAAAATGTGTTGGCCGTTGACTGGAACCCAGACTCACTCCGATTATTTACCTTGGTCCTTCAACACGCGAGTTTCCACCAAAACTGTTACAGAGCTGGTGTCATGCAGCAAAGTCCAACGGAAGTAATAGCTGCTAAGTTGAGATTTTGCCAACCACAGAGGGAAACCTTTGTCTCAGTTTAACGCTCCTAAAATACACACGGAAGTTTGAGTGCCAAATATAAGGTAATTTTAAATGCTTCCCAAAACTAGTTAAGGTACCACAAATCAAAACTGATGGGGACTGGCACATAAAGGTTATCACGCGAGTGTGCTTGACCAAGGCTCGCTTAATACAATGTTTATTCCGAATACAGGATATTTACCATACTCAAACACACAAGCGGGATGTAATATGATGTCATTCTTCACAGCGATAGTACGTTCCCGGAGCTCTCTATGTTATGTAGTGTGTGCGTAATTGTTTCCAGGGGTGCACCTCACAGCAAAACGTCACCGATTTCTCGGGCTAAAACGGCACCTCTATTTTTAATAACGTTATGTTGTAGTATATGTTTTCCTTTGGTGGGGACACGATCTGTTATCCGACGAAACATCCCTGGCTGCTGGCAGAAAGGGGAAATAATAAACAAATAATAAGGTGCCGTTTTCGCCAGGCAATAGTAGCCGTTTTCGCCAATCGCCATTTTATATGTTGTGTGTGATATGTTGAAATTATCCGCTTGCGATCAAGATTGTACAGAGTTTGCCTTGCCCTGTAAACTTCTCCTTAGAAACCACCGGACTAACGAAGCCGAAACATCACTTTTTTGTGATATATTAAATTTTGACCTATGAACTTTTTGAGGAAATATAGCACACGTGTAGTTGGGCTTAACACGTGTCCCATTTTAACGATATTTTAAATTTGAACCATGCTCCTAAAATGAATGTCCTCAAACTGTAAATGCCATCTCCGCAAAAACAACTGGACCAAAGAAAATGAAAATCAACTTGCTTGTTTCCCCAATGTTAACACCTTAATTTGTTCAAGAGGTCAAAATCCGATTTTCACTATGTCCACCACGGGACATGTTATTTAAAATATTCATTACATGCTCCAAGTGAGCCACAGTGACATGGCACTATTTTCTCTTTTCTTCTCAGAATCTGTCAACTAAATATGCTCAAACTCGTGACAAATGTTTTTCCATTTTGTTTCACATTACACACTTTGGAACTGTAGTCAGTTGTTTCCTATGTATCACCATCTGTGCAGAAATACTTGGATAGCAATGCTGACAGCAAGCAACTTGTCAAGTGTCGGTCCTTGTAGTTTTCATTTGTTGACTAAAACCTGTGTAGATCCGGGGTAGAATAGGTCTTCAGGGGACTCATGCTGGCCGTGAAAGGCAACAATGCTTCTCGTTAGAGGCGACTGAAGGGATCGGTTGGTCAGGCTCGCTGACGTGGTTGATGGATATCATCGTATCCTAATTGTGCAGGTCAATGCTCAGGTTGTAAATCACTGAAATGTCTGATCCAGACTCGGATTATTGGCAGACCATCATATTGCTAGAATATTGCTGAGTGCGGCGTTACACAACACACTGTACTAGCCACATAAAGAAACTGTGCACGGAGATAATATAGATATAAGGGCACACCGGCCATATATGAAAGATAGGTTTGAACACAGCAATTATTAGAGACATTCAAACGCTCATGCACGTGCCATGCGATATGACGTCATTGACAGGGGCCTATGGACGTGCAATGTGTTACTGCACGTGCATCCTGTGCAGCTGTACACAGCATGTGCAACTCAAAATTCGCTGTCACTTTGGAAAGCATGATCTGTGGTCATTCAAAAATTCAAAACTTCTCAGGCGCAGACACAAGCATATATCACAAGCAAATCATGCCAAGATTGACAGCTGCACAGCGTCATGAAGCCATTGGAATGATCCGAGCGGGAATGAGGCAACAACAGGTGGCAACACATTTCCAATGCCATCGTAACATGATATCGGCATTGGTGAGGCGTTATCAGAACACAAATGACGTTGCCGACCACCTACGTTCAGGACGTCCCCGAGTAACGACGCCAAGACAGGACAGATGGATTCGACACAGGTTCCAAACGGCAGTAACGACGTCCCAGACAATTCCTGAACTGCGCCGCATCCATCCCAACACTGTCAGGAATCGTTTACGTCAGTACGGGATTCGACCACGACGCCCTGCCATACGTCCCATCCTGACACACCGTCATCGAGTCAACCGTCTAAGATGGTGTCGAAATCATGTTCGCCAACCTCGAATATGGTGGAGAAATGTTGTCTTTACAGATGAATCGAGGTTCAACATTTCCCACAGTGACGGGCGACAACGTGTCTACCGGCGTTTGGGAGAACGTTATGCACACAACTGTATTGTGGAGAGGAATCGTTTTGGAGGTGGCTCTGTGATGATTTGGGGTGGGATAACAGCACGGCACCAAACCCCTTTGGTGGTTGTTCAGGGCAATCTCACCGGTGTTGGCTACAGAGATCAGATTCTGAGGCCTGTGGTCATTCCTTTCCTGCAACGTCATGGCCCGGGATTGACATTTCAACAGGACAACGCTCGTCCTCACACGGCTAGGGTCGCAATGGATTTCCTTCACCACAACAATGTCATGTTACTGCCATGGCCTGCAATTTCTCCAGATCTCTCCCCAATAGAGCATGTGTGGGATGAAATGGAGCGCCGTCTGCGTCGTTTTCCACCTCCTCCAGATAGCGTCCGTGACTTGGCACAGGATTTGAGGAGGATATGGCAGGCCATTTCCCAGGCCTTCCATGCCCATTTGGTGGACTCCATGCGTCGCTGATGCACTGCTGTGATTCACGCACAGGGTGGTCATACCCGTTATTGACTTTGTGACTTTGTCGTTTGACCCCCTACTCCATTTTGATCTTCTGACGTCATCGTAACAGATGTTGTTCAGGTCCCGTTGACATTTTCTTATGGCCCGATCATTCAGCTGCTACAGCGTCTGCATCATTTTGTTCTTGCTGTGTTGTATTTCAATCCAGAATATATTTTCTCCGTGCACAGTTTCTTTATGTGGCTAGTATACTTACCACACATAAAGGTAACATTATACTCAATCCTTTGATAATCCTTTGAGTAAGTTCCAGGGCTTTTCAAGGAATTTTGTCCGAATTCCAAACCTTTTAAGCTAATTAAGTATTTTTTTCACGTAAACGTTCAGTTCTATTTTTTTACAGGCCTGTTTGGGATGCTGTGGAACTCAACTTGCTCAAAATGATATGTATGACGATGTTAAGATACATGGAGTTAGAGATGGTGAGTGGTAGCTACAGCTTGTAAATAATGGACCAACCCAAGCAATTGATAGCATGAGTAGCAATCCATGCGTGGTGAGTGAGTTTGGCTTTACTCCACTTTTAGCAATATTACAGTCATATCACTGCCTAATGTGGGAGGAAAGCCCGAAGTTTAGAGGATGTTTACCACTTTAGTGACACCCACGAGCATGGGTATGGTGCTGACAAACCAAGAAACATAATTGGGGCGAAATTCGAATCCACAATCATAGGTTTCTGGCGTGCCCAAGGGACGCAACTCTGCACAGTGAATTGCAGTGCCTTTTATTCAACGGATGCCAGTCAAGGTTCATGACTGGTTATTGGTTCCACGGGATTAGACAGACATATAGCAGACTGCTCCATCTACACATATGCAAACACACAAATAACCTTGATCATAGTTGATATTTATTTATGTCAGTATGCTTCATGTAAGTTGTAAGACATAACAGAGCGCAGTGTTTTTCAAACAATATTTCAGCTATATGATTGCAGCCTGTAAATATTCCATTCTTGACAAACCAGTGATTACTAGCAATGTCAAACATCCTTATGAACAATGACAAATAATCAACCATGGCCATTGAGTCTGACCACCTTTTTTGTTTGTTTGTTGGTTAACACTGCACTCAGCAATATTCCAGCTATATGACAGTGGTCTTTAAATAATTGAGTCTGGACCAGACATTCAGTGATTGATATCATGAGCATCAATCCACGCAATTGGGATATGATGACATGCATCAACCAAGTCAGCGAGCCTGACCACCCGATCCTGTAAGTCGCCTCTTACGACAAGCATAGTTGCCCTGACCACCTATTCTGTTTAGTCGCCTCTTTACACAGGCATAGGTTGCTAAGGTCCTACCAAGAATCCCACAGGGTAATCGCCTCTGGTACATGATACAGTAACATTGATATATCAGGCTAACAAATACAGCATATTACAGTGATTGAAATCTCATTCACAAGATTAAATTGAGTGAGTGAGTGATTCTGATTGAATGCAGCTTCGACCATAACTTCATTTAGGTCATACCATTTATACGGTTTTACCACAAACTGTTTTTCACCTTCCTCCTGTACCAGGGGGGTGGTTAGATAGCCTAGTGGTTAAAGTGTTCGCTCGTCACGGTGAAGACCCAGGTCAGCTGGGAAGAAGGCTGTGTTATGCAGATCTTAATCCTTGCACACCAAAGGGACTCAACTTTTTAACTCCCAGTATACTCAAAAATCTGTCTGTAATGTTTTAATCATTTATCCGTCCTTCTCCCTCTGACTTTACTACATTCTGTTCTTCACCTTCCTCCTGGACCAGACAATGTTCTACCTCCGGTTTTGCCACAAACTGTTCTTTACCTTCCTCCTGCTTTACCACAAACTGTTCTTTACCTTCCTCCTGTGCCACAATATGTTTGTGTACCTCCTTCTTTTCCACAAACTGTTCTTTACCTTCCTCCTGTTTCACAATCCACTCTTCAACCTGCGGCATAACCACAAACTGTTCTTCATCTTCCTCCTGCTTTACCACAAACCGTTCTTTACCTTCCTCCTGCTTTACCACAAACTGTTCTTTACCTTCTTCCTGTGCCACAGCCTGTTCTATGACCTGTGGCATTACCACAAAGCGTTCTTCATCTTCCTCCTGTGCCACTATCCGTTCTTCTACCTGTGTCATTACCACAAACTGTTCTTCTACCTCCCGTTTTACCACAAACTGTTCTTCACCTTCCTCCTGTACTAGAGTGAGTGAGTTAAATTTTTCATCACATCGGCAATATTCCTGTACTAGAGGGGTGGTCGGGTAGCCTAGTGGTCAATGCGTCCACTCGTCACACCGAAGACCCGGGTTCGATTCCCGACAATGGGTACAATGTGTGAAGCTCATTTGTGGAGTTCCCCACCATGATATTGCTGGAATATTACTAAAAGAGGTGTAAAACCTCACTCACTCCTGTACCAGAATCCATTCTTCTACCTCCGACTTTACCACAAACTGTTCTTCTACCTGCGGCATCACCACAAACTGTTCTTCACCTTCCTCCTGAACCACAAACTGTTCTTCACCTTCCTCCTGAACCACAAACTGTTCTTCACCTTCCTCCTGAACCACAAACTGTTCTTCACCTTCCTCCTGAACCACAAACTGTTCTTCACCTTCCTCCTGAACCACAAACTGTTCTTCACCTTCCTCCTGAACCACAAACTGTTCTTCACCTTCCTCCTGAACCACAAACTGTTCTACCTGTGGCATTACCACAAACTGTTCTTCACCTTCCTCCTGAACCACAAACTGTTCTTCACCTTCCTCCTGAACCACAAACTGTTCTACCTGTGGCATTACCACAAACTGTTCTTCACCTTCCTCCTGAACCACAAACTGTTCTTCACCTTCCTCCTGAACCACAAACTGTTCTTCACCTTCCTCCTGAACCACAAACTGTTCTTCACCTTCCTCCTGAACCACAAACTGTTCTTCACCTTCCTCCTGAACCACAAACTGTTCTTCACCTTCCTCCTGAACCACAAACTGTTCTTCACCTTCCTCCTGAACCACAAACTGTTCTTCACCTTCCTCCTGAACCACAAACTGTTCTACCTGTGGCATTACCACAAACTGTTCTTCACCTTCCTCCTGTGCCTAAATCCAATCTTCTACCTCTGGCTTCACCACAAACCGTTCTTCACCTTCCTCCTGTGCCTCATTCCAATCTTCTACCTGCGGCATTACCACAAACTGTTCTTCTACCTGTGGCACTACCACAAACTGTTCTTCACCTTCCTCCTGTGCCTCAATCCAATCTTCTACCTCTGGCTTCACCAAAAACTGTTCTTCACCTTCCTCCTGTGCCTAAATCCAATCTTCTACCTCTGGCTTCACCACAAACCGTTCTTCACCTTCCTCCTGTGCCTCATTCCAATCTTCTACCTGCGGCATTACCACAAACTGTTCTTCTACCTGCGGCATTACCACAAACTGTTCTTCACCTTCCTCCTGTGCCTAAATCCAATCTTCTATCTCTGGCTTCACCACAAACCGTTCTTCACCTTCATCCTGTGCCTCATTCCAATCTTCTACCTGCGGCATTACCACAAACTGTTCTTCTACCTGTGGCACTACCACAAACTGTTCTTCACCTTCCTCCTGTGCCTCAATCCAATCTCCTACCTCTGGCTTCACCAAAAACTGTTCTTCACCTTTCTCCTGTGCCTCAATCCAATCTTCTACCCGCGGCATTACCACAAACTGTTCTTCACCTTCCTCCTGTGCCTCAATCCAATCTTCTACCTCCTGTTTCACCACAAACTGTTCTTCACCTTCCTCCTGTACCATAATCTGTATATGTTGTACTTCCTTCTGTGTAGCAGTCCTTTTCTGGGTACTTGAAATAAGACTTGATAGAGTTAGGCCCCTCTCTCTACCATCCCACCTTGGGATGTCTTCTGATTGCTCTACTTCAGCAGCTGGTGTAAACGTCCTATGCCTTGAACTTGAAGGGATAGAACCCCTGCAAAAACCATTTAACGAAGGATCTATTTGTTCAAACATTCTTTGGGCCACTTCTGAATGTGATGGTTTGCCCTGGCTTGACTTTAAATATAAGGGTTCATATGTATACAATTTCTCTTTTGTCTGTTCATATCTTCGGATAGGTATCAGAGTAGATTCTTTGCTTGGTCTTCCCTTGTGTGTTGTACTTGCAAATCTTTTTTTTTTTTTTGTTGTGTCCCTATTTGGGGTAGGGTCTTCGTTTCCATAAACCTCGCCTCCAATTATTTCTGGAAAGAAGTAGTCAAATTTCATTACAGCAGTCTGAAAATATGTTTTCTTACTCAACCAACAAACCAAAATCAACTGTTCAAAACACGATAAGAAGATTCATATAGAATACTAAGCGAGCTCCCATGAAATACCAATTTTATAAATCGAGTGAATAGTTCTGGTATTTGACGAGCGAACCCGAACTATTCACGAGTTTCATAAAATTGGTAGGGAGCGAGTTTAGTATTTTATTTATTACTTGCCATTTATAACTTTTTTTTAGAATTTCACTGTTGTGTATGAGGCAGACACCTCTACAATCCACAATGTAATCCAATTGAGTTTAACAGAATAAAACTTCAAACACATCAAACGTTGACACATATTAATTCAATACCATACAACGGCCCATCTTTAGAATTCAGGCATCCGTTCCACAAAGTTATCATAGCGATAAGGTTATCCTAACTCACATACTTGAACAGAACTTACGACTGTCATTGTGCTACAATATGATCGCCTTGTGGAACGGACCTGCACCACAAAGTTTACAATCACGTCAATCACTCAATGACGTGATTTGTGGAATTTTGTGGCAAGATCCAACGGTGAAACAAATTCAAACAATGCCATGTTACATCACCCTAGCAATAGGGTTGCTCGGGTCATTGAGTGTGCATAAGCTCCTCTCAGTGATCCATCTTCTCCTCACACAATGTCGTTGAATAAGCCAAGAGATGTTGAGAGCTTTCAATGTTTGTTAGTGTAACTTGTTCCCGCAGTCCACAAGCATACACTTTGAACAGTACCGGTAATAAATAAATCTATCTCATAATGCATCATTAGCACTTGTTATCAAAGAGCCATTCATGGTGACCTTGCCCCGGGACCAAATTGAAGGTGAAGGTGAAATGGGGTTTAACGTGGTGTTCAAGATTAATGCACTTATATTGCGACGTGCATGAACGTGTGTGTATGGCTGCTTGTGCTAGGGCTGGTCCCCCGACAAAACATGTCGCAGTTTAACATGAATACCCCACTCAGAAAAAGTGTCCTTGTCGATCAGTCCTTATTTAGACCCTTAATGCAAAGTGCCAGACAGGGTAGCAACAAGTACCATCTTTTAATGGGATGACACTGCCAGGCCTTCCCCTCTCGAGGCAGACGTTCTACCACTTGACCACGGAGAGGGGCCTCCTCAATTTCATTTTACTCGGGTTACAGGATGGAATGACTAGAGAAGGAAATGGCTGTCTCTTATCAAAATGAAATATTCAGCTTAACCAAATAGTAGTTTTCAAAGATAGTCAGAGTACTGCATACAGGCACACCTGCTGCACCATAGAAATAATCTTCAGTAGTCCTACCCTCATACAGAGGTCACTGAATACCACAAGGTTCAGGATAACATGTCCCAATACCATCATGTTAACCAAACATTTCAAACTACAGTTAACTACAGTTTTAAGGACCCAAATGGACCACTAATTTCACAAATACAACATCTTTTCAGCAAATGGCCGGGACCAAAAATTATGTTTGTAATATCCATCAGTATGTTATAAGCATGTTCATCATGAACGCATTTTAGCGTAATAGGTTTCGTTTGGAAACACACATCTCATATGTCCCTCGTCAATATATCTAAACAATCAACATAAGTTAAAATACATCAATGTAAACTAAATTTTATAACTTATACTTGCCATAGGTATTCCGTCTTTCACTACTTTCCGACTGGTGATGTACACGACTTGAAACAGGGATTCTCCTTGTTCCATTGCTTCCCCTAGTCTGTTTTGCTACTTGCACTCCTGCAGGGGGTGTAACCTTTATATAGGTTATCGACCTGGCACTAGAAACAGGAATTGTCTCTGTAGTCAAATCTCTGGTTCTCTGTAATCTACTACTTCTTGGACCCACTTCTCCAGGTAGTTTTACTGCCTTAATCTTGGTGCTCATAAGGTCAGTTTCTCTTCCTGCTTCAAGGACTCTTCTGGCCACTTCAGGACCTGATTCAGTGTCTGGTCCAGTTATAATTGTGCAAGATGCTTCTTCATGTTGTTCCTCTTCTGACTGCTGTTCTTCCCCAGTGTACTCTGATATGTGTTCGTTTACAACAATATTATACAGTGTGTGTTTTGCTTGATCATTTATTCGGTATGGACTCTTTTTTTTCCCCGGACCTCTGGCAAGACAAGACTCTGCTTCATCGGGATACATATGTACCATTAGGACTCCCGACTGAAAAGGCTGGTCTCTCGTCTCACTCCTCCTCTTACACTCTGGCAGAACATCTGGCGTCAGGTGACAGGATCCGCTTCTTTTTCTCCCTGATCCTGAAGTTTGAAGAAATTGTTTCTCTGGACTTTTCTTTCCACATTCTGCTTCTGTCTTTTGTGTTTCCAGATTGTGTGTTGTGTGTACCCGAGAGCTACTCCTACTCCCTGTACGACCTGACCGTGTGTTGTGTCCTAAAAAGAATGCATTGTCTCTCTATACTGACTCAACACGGAAATGACAGGACAATGATATTAAATATTATTTTTGATAATTTCAATTCTTTCAATGAACTTGCAATCATTTGAGCATCAATGCCATAGTCAGAAATACTAAGTGCAGTCTGAATGAAAAGACACAATAGTGATGGGTTGAACTGAATATTCAATTACTGGAGACTTTTACTGGATCTTAACATTTCCCTTACTCAATGAAAAACTTCTCCCACTTGATATGGGACCAAACATCCATGGAACCAATATGTGAGGTGAAATGCAGTTCAATATTGCATTCAAGATTCTAACACTTATATAGCAACGTGCAAGCACCTGTACTAATATATCAATGTGCAAGCACCTGCACAGGCATACATTAGCAATGTCATCATTCTGTTTCCTTTTTCTGTGAACCGTGAAGATTTGGTTAGAATAGGTCTTCAGCAAGTCAGTCTAACTCTTGCTCTTTGTTCAACAGCTACATATGTGTCATAATTACGAGGTCTACCTCTTGCTCTTCATTCAACAGCTACATATGTGTCATATTTACAAGGTCTACCTCTTGCTCTTCCGGCAGAAGCTACATATGCGTCATATTTACAAGGCCTACCTCTTGCTCTTCCTGCAGAAGCTACATACGCTTCATATTTACGAGGCCTACCTCTTGCTCTTCCTGCAGAAGCTACATATGCGTCATATTTACAAGGTCTACCTCTTGCTCTTCCTGCAGAAGCTACATACGCGTCATATTTACAAGGTCTACCTCTTGCTCTTCCTGCAGAAGCTACATATGCATCATATCTAAAGGTCTACCTCTTGCTCTTCCTGCAGAAGCTAAATATGCATCATATTTACAAGGTCTACCTCTTGCTCTTCATTCAACAGCTACATATGTGTCATAATTACGAAGTCTACCTCTTGCTCTTCATTCAACAGCTACATATGCATCATATTTACAAGGTCTACCTCTTGCTCTTCCTGCAGAAGCTACATATGCATCATATTTACGAGGTCTACCTCTTGTCCTTCCTGCAGAAGCTACATATGCATCATATTTACAAGGTCTACCTCTTGCTCTTCCTGCAGAAGCTACATATGCATCATATTTACAAGGTCTACCTCTTGCTCTTCCTGCAGAAGCTACATATGCATCATATTTACAAGGTCTACCTCTTGCTCTTCCTGCAGAAGCTACATATGCGTCATATTTACAAGGTCTAGCTCTTGCTCTTCCTGCAGAAGCTACATATGCGTCATATTTACAACGTCTACCTCTTGCTCTTCCTGCAGAAGCTACATATGCATCATATTTACAAGGTCTACCTCTTGTTCTCCCTGCAACAGCCATACGAGAGTCATCCTTATGTGGTCTACATCTTCCTGAAACAGCCATATATGAGTCATGTTTATGAGGTCTAAATCTCGCTCTTCCTGCAACACCTACATATTAACAAAGTCTACCTCTTGCTCTTCTTTTAACAGGGGGCACGGTGGCCAAGTCTTCTAAGGCGCTGCGATTCGCTGGGCAGAGTTGCGTCCCTTGGGCACGCCAGAAACCTATGATTGTAGGTTCGAATCCCGGTTCGCCCCGATTATGTTTCTAGGTTTGTCAGCACCATACCCGTGCTCATGGGTTTCACCGAAATGGTAAATGTCTGAGACCTGCATCACTTGGGGCTTTCCTCCCAAATTAAGCTGACACGCCGTGATATAACTGGAATACTGTTAAAAGCAGCGTTAAACCCAACTCACTCACTCACTCACTCTTCTTTCAACAGTTACATATGCGTCATAATTACGAGGTCTACCTCTTGCTCTTCATTCAACAGCTACAAATGTGTAATATTTACAAGGTCTACCTCTTGTTCTTCCTGCAGAAGCTACATATGTGTCATATTTACGAGGCCTACCTCTTGCTCTTCATTCAACAGCTACAAATGTGTCATATTTACAAGGTCTACCTCTTGTTCTTCCTGCAGAAGCTACATATGCGTCATATTTACAAGGTCTACCTCTTGCTCTTCCTGCAGAAGCTACATATGCGTCATATTTACAAGGTCTACCTCTCACTCTTCCTGCAGAAGCTACATATGCATCATATTTACAAGGTCTACCTCTTGCTCTTCCTGCAGAAGCTACATATGCATCATATTTACAAGGTCTACCTCTTGTTCTTCCTGCAGAAGCTACATATGCGTCATATTTACAAGGTCTACCTCTTGCTCTTCCTGCAGAAGCTACATATGCATCATATTTACAAGGTCTACCTCTTGCTCTTCCTGCAGAAGCTACATATGCGTCATATTTACAAGGTCTACCTCTCACTCTTCCTGCAGAAGCTACATATGCATCATATTTACAAGGTCTACCTCTTGCTCTTCCTGCAGAAGCTACATATGCATCATATTTACAAGGTCTAGCTCTTGCTCTTCCTGCAGAAGCTACATATGCATCATATTTACAAGGTCTACCTCTTGTTCTTCCTGCAGAAGCTACATATGCATCATATTTACAAGGTCTACCTCTTGCTCTTCCTGCAGAAGCTACATATGCGTCATATTTACAAGGTCTACCTCTTGCTCTTCCTGCAGAAGCTACATATGCGTCATATTTACAAGGTCTACCTCTTGCTCTTCCTGCAGAAGCTACATATGCATCATATTTACAACGTCTACCTCTTGCTCTTCATTCAACAGCTACATATGTGTCATATTTACAAGGTCTACCTCTTGTTCTCCCTGCAACAGCCATACGAGAGTCATCCTTATGTGGTTTACATCTTCCTGAAACAGCCATATATGAGTCATGTTTACGAGGTCTAAATCTCGCTCTTCCTGCAACACCTACATATTAACAAAGTCTACCTCTTGCTCTTCTTTTAACAGGGGGCACGGTGGCCAAGTCTTCTAAGGCGCTGCGATTCGCTGGGCAGAGTTGCGTCCCTTGGGCACGCCAGAAACCTATGATTGTAGGTTCGAATCCCGGTTCGCCCCGATTATGTTTCTAGGTTTGTCAGCACCATACCCGTGCTCATGGGTTTCATCGAAATGGTAAATGTCTGAGACCTGCATCACTTGGGGCTTTCCTCCCAAATTAAGCTGACACGCCGTGATATAACTGGAATACTGTTAAAAGCAGCGTTAAACCCAACTCACTCACTCACTCTTCTTTCAACAGTTACATATGCGTCATAATTACAAGGTCTACCTCTTGCTCTTCATTCAACAGCTACAAATGCGTAATATTTACAAGGTCTACCTCTTGTTCTTCCTGCAGAAGCTACATAAGTGTCATATTTACGAGGCCTACCTCTTGCTCTTCATTCAACAGCTACAAATGTGTCATATTTACAAGGTCTACCTCTTGTTCTTCCTGCAGAAGCTACATATGCGTCATATTTACAAGGTCTACCTCTTGCTCTTCCTGCAGAAGCTACATATGCGTCATATTTACAAGGTCTACCTCTCACTCTTCCTGCAGAAGCTACATATGCATCATATTTACAAGGTCTACCTCTTGCTCTTCCTGCAGAAGCTACATATGCATCATATTTACAAGGTCTACCTCTTGTTCTTCCTGCAGAAGCTACATATGCGTCATATTTACAAGGTCTACCTCTTGCTCTTCCTGCAGAAGCTACATATGCGTCATATTTACAAGGTCTACCTCTCACTCTTCCTGCAGAAGCTACATATGCATCATATTAACAAGGTCTACCTCTTGCTCTTCCTGCAGAAGCTACATATGCATCATATTTACAAGGTCTACCTCTTGCTCTTCCTGCAGAAGCTACATATGCGTCATATTTACAAGGTCTACCTCTTGCTCTTCCTGCAGAAGCTACATATGCGTCATATTTACAAGGTCTACCTCTTGCTCTTCCTGCAGAAGCTACATATGCATCATATTTACAACGTCTACCTCTTGCTCTTCATTCAACAGCTACATATGTGTCATATTTACAAGGTCTACCTCTTGTTCTCCCTGCAACAGCCATACGAGAGTCATCCTTATGTGGTCTACATCTTCCTGAAACAGCCATATATGAGTCATGTTTACGAGGTCTAAATCTCGCTCTTCCTGCAACACCTACATATTAACAAAGTCTACCTCTTGCTCTTCTTTTAACAGGGGGCACGGTGGCCAAGTCTTCTAAGGCGCTGCGATTCGCTGGGCAGAGTTGCGTCCCTTGGGCACGCCAGAAACCTATGATTGTAGTTTCAAAATCCCGGTTCGCCCCGATTATGTTTCTAGGTTTGTCAGCACCATACCCGTGCTCATGGGTTTCACCGAAATGGTAAATGTCTGAGACCTGCATCACTTGGGGCTTTCCTCCCAAATTAAGCTGACACGCCGTGATATAACTGGAATACTGTTAAAAGCAGCGTTAAACCCAACCCACTCACTCACTCACTCTTCTTTCAACAGTTACATATGCGTCATAATTACAAGGTCTACCTCTTGCTCTTCATTCAACAGCTACAAATGTGTAATATTTACAAGGTCTACCTCTTGTTCATCCTGCAGAAGCTACATATGCGTCATATTTACAAGGTCTACCTCTTGTTCTTCCTGCAACAGCCATATGAGGGTCATCCATATGTGGTCTACATCTTCCTGAAACAGCCATATATGAGTCATGTTTACGAGGTCTAAATATCGCTCTTCCTGCAACACCTACATATTTACAAGGTCTACCTCTTGCTCTTCATTCAACAACCATATGCGTCATATTTACATGGTGTACCTCTTGCTCTTCTTTCAACAGGGTGCACGGGTGGCCAAGTCATATTTATCTTGCTCTTCCTGCAGAAGCTACATATGAATCATATTTACAAGGTCTACCTCTTGCTCTTCCTGCAAAAGCTACATATGCGTCATATTTACAAGGTCTACCTCTTACTCTTCGTTCAACAGCTACATATGCGTCATATTTACAAGGTCTAACTCTTGCTCTTCATTCAACAGCTACATATGTGTCATATTTACAAGGTCTACCTCTTGTTCTTCCTGCAGTAACTACATATGTGTCATACTTACGAGGTCTACCTCTTGCTCTTCGTTCAACAGCTACATATGCGTCATATTTACAAGGTCTAACTCTTGCTCTTTGTTCAACAGCTACATATGCATCATATTTACAAGGTCTACCTCTTGCTCTTCCTGCAGAAGGTACATTTGTGTCATACTTACGAGGTTTAACTTTTTCTGTGCCTTCAAGCAGAGACCTGGTGGATTCTTTACTGGGTTTTTCCTCCTCCATGGAAGCTGGGTTTTCATTTGGCCTGTCTTTTTCACTTCCTCCATCTAAGCCGTCTGGTTTACACCCCAACAAATCTGCAAACATAAAATTTTGAAATTACACATGCATCCACAAGCACTTGGTAGAAGAAAAAAATATTATTTCAATACTAAAAAGAATGCATTGTCTCTCCACGCTCACTTAACATGGACCTGGCGGACCATGACAATAAACATTATTTTTGATAATTTCAATTCTTTCATTTGAGCAACAATGCCGGGACTAACGGGATCAGGTAGTCAGGCTCGCTGACTTGGTTGATGCATATCATCATATCCCAAATGCGTAGATCGATGCTCATGATGTCAGTAACTGGACTGACTGGTCCAGATTCGATTATGTACAGACTGCCATCATATAGCTGGAATATTGCTGGGTGTGGCATTAAACAACAAACAAACCAACCAAACAACCAACCAAACAACCAACCAAACAACCCTGTACCACTGCTTCAAATGCCGATATGACTAAGAATATTATGTACAGACCACCATTATATAGCTGGAATATTTCTGAGTGGGATATCCATGTTAAGTTTCATCATGGTATGTCTGTGAGCTAGCAGTGGAGCACTGTAAAAATAAACCCCTCAGAAACAGAATACTGTCTCCAAGCCAACCAGTATTCGTCTATGCCCTTATACCGGGCGTAATTACCTTCTCTTAACCTTCTGGTCTCCAGGTAACAGTAAAGATGACATTGTAAATATGGTCAAAATAGCAGAAATGTATGAGCAATGGTCAAATCTTATTTCATTTATGGCTGCCATGCCTGTAATTGATGAAGGATTCTGTGCACAACGTAAGTATCACTGGCATCATATACACTGAGGGGTGGCAGGGTAGCCCAGTGGTGTAAACATTCACTTGTCATTGCAAAGGTCTGGGTTCAGTTCCTCACATGTGTGAAGCCCATCTCTGGTGTCCTCCTTCCAGAAACCGCTGGAATATTGCACACACAAAAACAGCATAAAGGGTCCCTCAATCACTCACCCACCCTGTCAATCAGCTAAACTAAAAATAAACATTGTACATTGATACCTTGCAGCTCTTTTTGGGCCTCAGCTCCAGCTGTTCTGAGTCTCTTTAATTCTCTGTATTTCTTGAATGTCTGTACACAATGCTAAATGAACAAGAAGTAGAGTGAAACCTCATTCAGAGATACTGGACAATATAAATTGCAGAAAACAATATTTATAACATTTGTATAACGAACATGCTCATAACAAACTGACTGATATAACTAATTTTTTTCTTAGTCCAGGCCATTTGCTATACACCGTCTTCGACATAATAAGCGCCCAGGGCGCTCTCAAAATTATAAATAGCGTCTCTTATTTGAATATAATTTTGGTGAATAAAAACAGTTGAAAGAATGTAAATTTCTAGGTTGATGTACCTGAAATGATACAAAAGAAAAGTATCTCTGTATGATACATGACAGACTAGTAAAATTCTAGATATTTTTTTTATCAAAAAAACTCCTTAATGGGTGGGTCCCTTTAGTCGCAGTAATCTAGGATAAGTATACAAATATAAAAAATATCTAGGATTACTGGTCCTGGGTGTCTGCTGTGAGGGTGGATCAGCAGGTTTGGCCAATCTGGGAGTGGCAGCAGGTTGGCGTCAGATAGCTCTCTGAGGTTGACGAACCAAGCCCTCACTGGCCACCAGGGCGCGACCCAATTTAGATCGAGGTTCTGTGTCGATCTCATCTTCTGGACGACTTTGGGGACAAGTGGTGTAAAAGCGTACGCCTTTAATCCTTTAATCCGGGACCGGAGATAGGTCAGGATCTGGTAGTTGTGGCTGGTGGTGAATAGGTCTAAGTTGGGGAGACCGTGGTCTCAACAGCAAAAGTGAAGGCGTCTGGGTGAAGCTTCCACTATGTGGGAGCGATTTTGCCTGGCTGAGATAGTGCATCCGCTAGGATGTTTCGGCAGCCCGGAAAGTGTTGAACCTGGAACTGAATCACCAGATGATCCACCAGGCGAAACAATCGAAACATCTGTTGAAGGAGCAAGGTCAAATGAGTCGTTCCCTGGTTCCGTAGACACCATATGACGGTTATGTTGTCCGTCGAGATGGAGAGCTGGGCGTGTCTGAGGGCCTGCTTCCAATGAGCGATGGCCAAGATAAGCACCTCCAGTTCAAGGTTGTTGATGTGCCATAGTCGCTCATCGGCAGACCACAGCCCCGAGGCAACCGGTCCCTCCAGGTGTGCGCCACATCCTTGCAGGGAAGTGTCTACGAATAGGTGCAGAGAGGTCATAAGCCCTGTCAAGGAGACGCAGCCTTAGACATTCCATTCCACCGTCCACCATCGGAGATGCTGCTTGAGGTGATCCGGGCGGACAATGGATACTGAGGGAACTTCGAGCCTGATGTAGGGAGCCAGGAACCTGAACCTGTTGTCCTGTGAGATGCCAACTGAGACTATGATTCTGCCAAGACCAGGGTCTGCTCTTGGACTGACAGCGGAAAGCACCTCTTTCCAAACATCTAGACTACGATCTGTCAAGGCGTAAACAGAATCTTGATTCATCAGACATGTCAGAAAAGATGGTGGATCTCCAATGCCACTGTTGATGACATCTTAACTGCTGTGCCCATTGTTGTCTAAGGTGCCTGTATACCAAGGTCAGACGCATTCCTCTGGAAGAATGACTTAATTTCAGCTTTGCAGTTCTCAACCTGCTTCGTATCGATGAGGTCTAAATGGATTTCTGAAGTTGTCCCAAAGTGCCGGTGCAGAAAAGAAATCTGTTCCTCAACGCAGTAATGCATACATATCAATCCTAACAGGAAGTAGTCTTTATTTGAATCAAGATAAAGCTCAGGGTATAGATGATCATATTGTTTCAGGGTGTATCTAAAGACATTTTGCCAGGGCTCCAGTCAAACAACTCTAAAACTCATATTACATACCCATCTCTAGAGATCTCCAGCGGGTTCCCGGGTACAGTCAGGTAATATATTCTTGGGTACCCAGGTTGTTCATTTGGACTCGTCCAAGCCCTATTCTCGACATTTGTATCTGCACTGACATTTACATTAAAGCATATTATTTATTGCTGCAGCAACATATTTTACCAATTGTATTGCCCTGTGTGATGAAAAACACAATCCAGTCTGTTTCAACATAATTTTGTCAATTATTCATTGATAATGTGTGGTTATTTACTGATTTCACAATTTAGTTCTGTATGTACCGATTTCTAGGTTAGCCTCCATGTTTCAACTTGGAAATCAACTCATAACAGTGCAATACAAGTCACCTTCACACAGTCATAACATAAGATACAGTAAACTACGTTTCTAATGAACTTGCTTACAACTGATGGATATAACCATATTTCTCAGCGGTAGAAACTAACATTTTTGGTCCACTAGTCCTCATAATGATAATATATAGCAAAACCCCTAAAAATGGCAAATATCTACTAGTCCTTATGATACCTTAACTATTGGGCAGATTGGCAAGGACTATAGGACTAGTGCCAATTTCTAACCCTGTTTCTTGGTCCCATCCATTTACTGTATATATGTTGTTAATATGCTTATAATGAACTACGGTTATAACAAATGAAAACCAGTGGGCCGTTTGAGTTTGTTATAACCATAGTTAACTGTATAGCAAACATGAATTGGAGATTGTTACTCCCTGTTTTAGAATTCTTATTGATATTTACCAGAGACTTCAGGCCAAATAGTAACAGTATTCCAGTTATATCACAGCGTGTCAGCTTAATGTGGGAGGAAAGCCCGAAGTGATGGAGGTCTCAGACGTTTACCACTTCGGTGAAACCCACGAGCACGGGTATGGTGCTGACAAACCTAGAAACATAATTGGGGTGAACCGGGATTCGAACCCACAATCATAGTGAGTGAGTGAGTGAGTTGGGTTTAACGCCGCTTTTAACAGTATAACAGTTATATCGCGGCGTGTCAGCTTAATGTGGAAGGAAAGCCCAAAGTGATGGAGGTATCCGATGTTTACCACTTCGGTGAAACCCATGAGCACAGGTATGGTGCTGACAAACCTAGAAACATAATCGGGGGGAACCGGGATTCAAACCCACAATTATAGGTTTCTGGCATTCCCAAGGGACGCAACTGCACAGCGATTTATGGCGCCTTAGATGACTGGGCCACCGTGCCCCCTCAGGCCAAAGATCAGCCTCTGAGTTTGTCTACGTAAGTCTCTGGGAAGGGGAGGAGATGAAGACACATATAAAGGTGAATGACAGATTGAACTTACGATTACTTTCTTCCACTTCCGCAAGCGTGGCATCGTTGTCTGAAGAGAAAAGAACACAGGTGTTAAATCTGCCTGTTTTATAGGTAGAAAATAGTAGCAAAGCCAATGAGCAATGTAGCTCAAATATTTAGATATTTACAAGTTTAAAGTTTGTCATAATGTCAAAAGTAAATGTCATAAATACTAAGAACTTAAAACTAACGCCAAATTCCATTAGATTTTCACAAACTATTGATGTCAGCACTGTTTACATTCAAATAGTTTCTGCATATACTGAGGACCATAAGTGAGTGAGTGAGTATGGTTTGACGCTGCTTTTAGCAATATTCCAGCAATATCACGGCGGGGGACACTACAAATGGGCTTCACACATTGTACCCATGTCGGGAACCGAACCCGGGTCTTCGGCGTGACGAGCGAATGCTTTAACCACTAGGCTACCGGACCGCCCCACTGAGGACTATAAAGTTGGAGACGAACATCTAACATGCTAAATTTTAGAGTTAGTTTACAGAGCTGATATGCTTTGATAACTAGGGCTGCAACGAATACACTATGAGGCGAATATGACTCGTATCACGAATATGTGGTAACAAATATGAATATTAATTCACGAATACAATAACATAAATTATTTGACATGGTTTGTTAATTATTAATATATTATACATTTATATACCGGAACTGCACTTATCCAGGTACTAGTATCTGCTCAAAAGCGAAAATGACCAGTGACCACAATACTGTCAAATTAAATATTATAAGAGTGTTGTTTTTGAAGAAATCTATGGATATAATATGTTCTTGTGGACATTTTTAGGTACAGGGTATGTAAATGCACAAGATTGCATATTCATAAATATTCGATTCTAGTGGCCGCGAATAACAAATTCAATTTATGCGAGTGAATTGTAACAGCCCTAGTAATAACAATAGGAGGCCGCACAAATCAAACTTTCTAATCAGTCAATCACCATCGATGTTTCAAATTTCTTAGTAGGAGCTCTGATTTCTGTACCTTGAAAGCAAACTGAAAAGTTCCGCATTACAAATTTATATAGAGATGTTACGAACAGGATGTAAATTCGGGTGATAGATTCATGTTGATTGCACAGCTGGGATACTGGTGGTGCGAGCATATGTTTAAGATTCAATGTGCAGAGCTTTTCCACTTTACTTTCTTTTCTTGCAGTTGTTCTGCATACTAACAACAATACGCTGAAGTTATGAAAAGTTGAAAAAGAAATTAAAACAAATCTTGAGGGTTGCTGCTGTCATGTTTGCAAACACAACAGCAGAAACATCTTATTAATGCGCATGCATAGAAATGTCAACAATGTTACACTCTCATACATATTGATACAATTTTACGAACACGTCAAGTCTCTACGATATATGATCAGTTCACCTGTTCACAGTGGTTTCCGCCTACCGATGTTCGTACCGCATCACGTGACCAAACCAAACCCAGGACCTAACATCTGTGTCGTATATATTGCCCACCGGTCAATATAATGTATTATATATCCGAGGATATACAGGCCTATCTCGGTACGGAACCGTAGTCCATTTCTTAGTTTGCTCTTTGTTCATTTAATCTTGTGGTCTAGAAATGCAATAAGGAAAACTAGAAATGGACAGTTAACTACCGAGTATGTTGCATTTCAACACAGTTCATGTAACCACCTTTTTACTAACGAATCAGACCTGTTTTGTAACGGAACGGTATATTGTTCACGGAAGTTCCCGAGGTAATCTGGTTAACGGCTCAATCTGCGCGTCGTAAACATGCGCAACATGTGGTATGGATAGACGGAGACCAGTTTAGTTCCGCTTTGAACATTTCACGCATGTGCAATGTATATATATTTCAGGCCGATGAGAAGGATTTTACGACCGCATCTACGTCTCCTGCGTGTATTTGGCAGAAATATTGTTTCAAATAATGTTGTTGTACTTACTTACTTACTTACTTACTTTGGAGATTTAACGTGCGCTTTCCGACTGATGCGTATTTCGCACACGGGCCCGGCCAGGCCATTTAATGTGTTTCCGAAAGGGGCGAAAGTGGTCTGTGCAACCCGAGAGGGGGGTTTAGGGGTTGCTTATATAGAATTTGGGAATTTTGAGATTTGGAATAGATGCCGATGGGGTTGGGGAGGAGAACTAAGGGAGCTGGGTATGGTGGATGTTTGTTTGTTTCATGTGATTTTGATTTGGTAGGTTATTGTGTTTTTAGATGCGTTTTATTAGTTCCGTTTTTATTAAGAATACGCCTAAGGCCTTGAAGTTTTCTAGTTTATTTTGTGGGTTGAGTATTGCTTCTAGAGTGAGAGCCTTGTTTAGATTGAGGGTGGTTTGTAATGCGGTTCGATGTGTTAGGTAGTGCAGAGACCATATACCGGTATATGGTCTCTGGGTAGTGTGTGCAGTGGATGAGTGCGTGTTCTGGGGTTTCTGGTTGTTTGCAGTGTGGGCAGTTGCCTGTAGTGTGTTTTTTTTATTTGTTTTAGGTGGTTATTTAGGTTGGTGTGTCCTGTTTGGAGTTTAGTGATTACTCTGTCGATTTTTTTTTATGGCTGGAAAATGTTTGGTTTGGTTAGTGGTTTGCTGAGCACTTTTTTGATTTGGCTATTTGAGTTTAGATATAGGTTATGCCATTTTTTTGTGATTTTTTGCTTGTTTACACTTTTAATTTCTGATTTTGAGATGGGTAGGTTTAAGCTTATTTCTGGGATTTTGAGGGATAGTTTAGCTGCTTTATCGGCGTTTTCATTACCGTATATTCCTACGTGGGCGGGTATCCACAAGAAGGTTATTTGTTTGCCTGCCTTAGTTAGGTCGTTGGAGCTTTTAAGTATTTGATTTATTAATTTAGGTCGGTTTTTGGTATTTTTGTTTTGGAGGGCTTGCAGTCCACTTAGGGAGTCGGTAAGCATTAGGATTTTTTTGGTGTTTTTTGGATTCTTGATTATGGAGGGCTGAGGCCATGCCCATTAGTTCTGCCGTGAATATTGATTGGTTGTTTGGGAGTCGGAGGAATTGTGTGGTTTTAGTTGGTTGTGTGGTATGGACTCCGAAACCTGTGTGTTTGGAGGTCGGATCTGAGGATCCGTCCGTGTAAATGTGACACCAATTTGGCCAATTTTTGTGTATGTATGCTAGTGTGGTAGTTTTAGCTATGTTTGGGTCGGTTTGTTTATTTATTTGGCTAGCTAGTGTTGTGTCTATTTTGGGTATTTTAAGTTTAGGGGTGAAGATATTTAATTGTTTGCAGTTTTGTTTAAGATTTTTAATTTGGTGTTCATTTAGGTAGTTTGTTATTCTTTGGGATATTGGGGTAAGTAAGGGGTGTTTACGAGCTAGACTGGTTTTTGGGGCTGATATTTTGGTTTATTAAGTTTTGGATGAGAGGGTTTGGTTGGGACGCGGCCCAGAAATTTAAGCTTAGCTGTTCCCTGCGTAGACTTAGTGGCATTTCTCCTGTTAAGGCCTGAAGTGAGGTGTAGGAGGTGCCATGTTGGGTGCGTGTAATTAGTTTGAGAGCCTGATATTGTATTGAGTCAAGTTTTTTAGATAGAGAGTTGTTTAGGGTGTTGTATATGGCGCAGCCGTAGTCTAGTTTTGATCTAATTAGTGATATGTAGAGAGAGAGGAGGGTATCTTTGGAGGCTCCCCAGTTAGAGCCAGTTAGGCATCTTAGGGTGTTTTAGGTCTTTACTGCATTTAGTTGTTAGGTTTTGGATGGGAGCATCCCAGGTGAGATGTTCATCGAAAATAAGTCCTAAGAATTTGGTTTGTTTTTGAAATTTGATTGTTTGATTGTTTAGCTGGAGGATTGGGGAGGCGGGTTTCATGTTTTTATGTTTGAATACTATTCCTGTTGTTTTTTTCTGAGTTAAGGGAGAAGCCCCATTTGTCAGCCCATTGTTGTATTTTATTAAGAGATTTTTGGAGTAAATTTTGGACCATTTTCAAGCTTTTAGTGCGGATCCAGATGGCTCCATCATCCGCGAATTTTGATGTGTTTACTTTAGGGGATAGGCAAACGAATAGATCGTTTATCATTATATTGAAGAGGGTGGGGCTGAGGATACTGCCCTGTGGAGTCACCCGATCCAGGAAATATTACCTACTACTAGCACAGAGTTGTTAGCAACTATGACCTGCTACTAGTAGGTACAAAGACGGTCTCTACGTCTCTGGAGACTAACATTTACTGCTACTACTAGGTAACGGCAAAGGCGCATGTCTAAAATGATTTTCATTGGTCAACGAGTCTACGTCGACGGTATGCAAGCCAGGCTCTGTCTCAACAGAAAAATAAATAGATTACCGCAGAGCAACTTCAGCCTGTAACCAGCTAGCTTTCTAGATGTAGAAGTAGCTTCGTAATGGTGAAATGCGCCATGCAAACCTTTCAACCACCATTCCAGTATGTTCCCAGTCACCTGGAATTACAAATAGAATCTACATTATCATGAAGAAAATTATACGGTAACCATTGATAATATTACATCACCAGCTGGTCACATGACCTCGTCATGCATCATCATCCGCCGCCATTTTGTGTAAGGTCACGTCATTTGTTCCACTCAACTTAGGCCTAGTTTAGGCTAGTTAATTGTGTCTTTTCTCTAAATAGAGCACAACAAACGTGGGTGTTTTCATACCAATAAATACTCTTCAATATTCCTACCATTGCCACAAATGGGAACGTAATGTCGTGCGTGTTTTCTACAGGTAGCCTTGCATTCTTTGCGTCCCTAGAAACAACGTCGACGTGCACAAGCAAGGTCACGCATCATAAATGCCGTTTATTCTAAAACAAAGAGTGCTTTACCGAAACAGTATGTCCTACAGTACTACCTATCGTATATTGTATTGGAGTTGTTGCCTGGTATCAAGCGCCCATGTTTTGACGCGAATCACTTGCATCCAAAGACGATTGGGTCACGTTCCTTTTCAGAATCGCTCGTTTCTTTTAGTCCAACTGGTAGTAATTACTAGTAATTAGTACTTACATATATATACTATTATATGTCGTATTTTGTTTACATTTCAGCAGTATGCATCGGAGGCAGAAAATTTATTCAAGCTCTGAAGTCCCAAACAACTGAAAATGCTCCAAAACACCATCACGTGACCCTGGTATTCTCAAAGTGCTGGTGAAAGTGTTTGTTTTGTAGGCCTAAATGTTTGTTGATAGTAGAGAGGCGGACTGATAGACTTTATAACAAGTCATGATCAACATTCCCCAACTGTTAGTTAATTACACTGGTCAGTCTACATCTGTATTGTTTCTTTGCAACCTGTCAACAAACTCAAATTTATCCATTTATACCTGAATAATTGTGTTGTCATATTTTAAGATGATGACTAGGCCTACAGCATCTAACTAACTGTAATCCTCTGATAACTAAATGTCTGAAGGCAAAATACCATTTTATTGATGAATATATCTCCATTTAACTCATACAGATTAGTGTAGGGTGTAATGTTGGAATGTTTTTGTTGACAGTAGCAGGCACTACATCTGCCTATGAGCAAATGGACAGAACTGAGAATACCTTATCATGAACCGTAGTGAACACTGCTGGAAACATCCTGTTTTAGTAAGTATAATTGAATCCCCAATTATAATGTCATTGTACATACAAAAAATGACATAGTGTTGTTTTTAAATAGTGATCTGTTTGGTAGTGTTTTATATATTGTATATTTTTCTTTTCACTTTGTCTACTGGCCTGCATTTGTCCTTGTCATTTTCCTGTTATTTCTGATACATTCCAAAATAAGATTTGTCTGTACAGTACCAGCACACTTTAATAAGGACTAAGAGCAAATGTGCCTAGTTCTCAGTGTTCTAGACAATTTGTGTTGTACCCAAATAGAGGGAATATTGTTACTGTAGTTCTTGTCATTGTCTTGGCAGCAAGTGCCACATGTTCATGGGCACTACTTCAGCATGTTTAGTTGTACACATTTACCAGTGAAGATCAGGGTCAGAAAAGGTCTTCAGCAAACCATGCTTGCTTTAAGAGGCGACTATCCTTGTCATAACGTGGTTGAGGGGTCAGGCTCAGAGACCATGTTGATGCATGTCATCGTATCCCATTTGCATGGATTGATGCTCATGATGTCAATTACTGGATTGTCAGGTCCAGATTTGATTATTTACAGGCAGCTGTCAAAGCACGAATATTGCTTAGTACAGCATTAAACAACAAACAAACAAAGTTATACAGTTCAATTTTTTAAAGTATCTTATACTCTAGTATTATAATGTGCTATTTTTATTGATTATTATGAATACAGACTGTTTGTATCAGTTTGTAAGAGACACAAACCAAGGTTCCCACAACTATCTGCACATGCTTTGTCGTAACACAATTAATACGGTATCTTCAGGTTATGTATGTTTGTAAAATGTGCTAGAAAGTGTCCACTTAAGTTGTAAAATCAGTATCTTCCTCACAACAGAGCTAATGTGCACTACCTTGTTGTGGTATTTTTTGTTGAACTCGTCTCTGTCTTTCTCAAGTTATGTTTGTGCAAGGTGCCTACCTGGTGTATTGATAATATTACCTGACAAGAGTCAAGTTTGCTCATCATATTCTGAAATAAGTGTCTCCAATCTAATAGAAATGGGAAAAGTAATACAAGCGAGTCACCATCATTTTAACCGGCGCTAGGGATGTCAGCATAAAGTATATGTTTTTTTATTAATATTATAAATATTAAAACTCTTTGCACCTGGATTGGAAGAATTGAACATTATAAGAAAACTTCTATGTTCCTTTTCAGCTGACAGGCTGTTTGTGGAAGATGTAAGGTCAAGTGCTAGGGCCCCCTGTTTATTTTAGACCTACATTGTAAATGTTGTGCACTGGACCATGGGGCCTGGTCACTACAGGGTTTACCCAAGCCTCTTAAAACTGGGGACAAATTCAATTTCTAATCTTAAAAATATCATCTTGATTCTCTAATCATACTGTTAAAATTATGTTTTACATACTTATCTAATCTCTGTGGAATTCCTAATCCAATTAAATAGTAATGTCCAATTTTTTTAAATATATTTGCAGATAACAAATTGCTGTAGACTAATAAGGCAACTGCCATATTATATTCTGACTCTTTACTGGACTCAGCAGACTCTGCACTGTATACTATTGAACACAATGAAGTATCAACGTCTTTTCATTTCGGAATTCAAGTAGCAAGCGGTAGCCTGTTGTCTGGTACTTTAAAGTATACTATAATGCATGTACTAATTCTTTATACTGTAAACACATAACATGTTTTGCTTGAGCAATTCTTCCTGAAAAGACCCCAAATTTGAAACGCAAGTCTAGTAATATTGTGCTCGATGTAGTAAGTCCAATTAATGATAGTCAATATGACAACACTAAAATCCTGTTCGGGCTAGTTGACCCATCATTTTGGGGCACAGACTGCTCATGTAATTCAATATATGGTGACAATGTTGCACGAGGTTCTGTTGTGTGTATTTCAATAACTTGCACATTTATGAACTTTAACTTTAATGTAATCCTTGAATCCATTGATGCTTTATTTTTACATTTCTTTAATAACCTACAATTGTTATGAAGCTGTCATTTTTTGTGTGGTTCCAGGAATAAAGTCACCAGAAATGTATTCAAAAATTTTATCTGAGTTTGAGCATAACGAACATGGCAGATATGTTTCAAATGTTGTTTTCTTCCACTACTCAGACGTGTAAGTTATTGTACAATAAGTCATCTATAGTGTAAAAACATGTTGATTCTTTTGTTTGCATATTTAGCTATTCCAGAACTGTTAGATGATATTAAATTGCTGTAGAAGGTATTTATTTCCATCTACATGTATAATGTCATTATGGTATACCAGTGTGTATGACAATTGTTTTGAAATTCATCAATATCTTCAAATATGATCTATTGTATCCAGTGAATGACATGTAAGAAAGAAGGAAGTTAGGCAGCACCCAATCAGAGAGCGTACCATTAGACACATGTGATCAAAGGGGTTCCAATTCAACACATTGCCCTTACGTATGATGGTCACTGTCAAACGTTTTTCATGGATCTCTGTGTTTGAAAACCAACTCATCCTGATAATAGGTTTCTGATTATATTGCCTATTCACTTACACAAGATACACAATTTTGAGTAATAAACAGCTGAATGTAGAAATCTGTTAATGTTGACAGGAAGAGAACAATCATTACCTTAGGGTTATGTTAAATATCATTAACATGATTAAGGCTTTAATGACTTATTGATAAATAAGAAATATACGCAGCAAATTCTGTCATTGTCATTGTAGTATTTGTCTATACTATTACTTAAACGCTACATTAATAGCCATAATCACATTCAATTACAGGGATCGTTTTCTTCACATACAAGCCCCACCAGTGCAGGTAAAAACATTGCTGGGTCCACTTGCACAGAACAATCTTAGCACTTCAATTATTGTAAATCCTTAAGATCACGATCTTAGGCTTCGGCTACAATCGCTGTCCAATTGATCAAAGGGATTGTAGGCTATGATCATTGTAAGCTACAAGCGAAACTTACAATTGGTCCAAACCAATCTTAAGTAGCTAAGATCGTTGTGGTCCCTGAATAAACTTGACAAAATGGCGTGCAGGACCTCATCTAATTCACATAAATATTCTGCCTTATGTTCAAATATTGCCTCGTTATTTTGTTAACTTTATGATTCAAATCAACACTTTAATTTAAGATTTAATGTCAGAAATATCGTTAATTGCAATAGTGAACCACTTAACTATCGAATCGATAGCTAAAAGTAAAAGTACTATACCCACCGGACTCAATGCTGAAAGAAGTGTGAAACAACATACCTTTTCACTAATCAAGGGAAGGATAAAAAGTTGTATGCAAGCGATTAGTAACGTCCGTGACCTTTTCGATAACTCAAGGGCAGCTAATCATAGTTTATACTCTCTATGAGAGTGGTTTCCCTTTGTGTAAGCATGTAGCGTAGAATCTACCTTGCCCAGTGTATTAATGTTGTAGAATCGCTGAGCTCCCCATGTTATTCTTTTCGGTCCCATTCGTGTCAGTTATTTTGACTTAAGTTCATCATTAAATTAATTTACAAATTAATATTAGATGAAGTCAAACATGTTTAAATCTAAAATCGAGTTGGCAGGGGACGAGGGATTTTAAAATCTGAATTAAAAAGAAAAGAAACAAGCAAATACACATGATGAGACATTTGAAATTTGTGTAAAATATCCCATAAATAGCAAAAGTAAAATTTACACCTTTTAAAGATAATTATCAATGTAATTAATACCAAGTGAATATATATTAAACAACTGCTTTCTCGAAACATTATTCATTATTATTATTTCCCATGCATTCTTGAAATCCTGCGTCTTCCTGTGTTTTGAAAAAGTACTCATAACATCCTTTGTCACAGCAACGAAATGAAAGCATGAAGGATATATTTAGTATTTTACGAAAAGCTCCCCCGTGTTATGTTATAAGGAAATATTTTTAGTATTATTGTCCCCCGCCGCGCGGAGCGGTGGATATAGTATTCACGACCATCCGTACGTCTGTACGTCCGTCCGTACGTCCCACTTGTTTGTTGCCGCGATATCTCAAGAACTAAACACTGGATTGTCTTCATATTTGGAACTATGGTGTATATACAGACTCCGCAGACACCAGTCGGTTTTGGTGACCTTGACCCCATTTTCAAGGTCACAGCAGGCAAATCTGCTTTTAGAGTTGGAAAACGGTGTTGCCGCTATATCTCAAGAACTAAACACTGGATTGTCTTCATATTTGGAACTATGGTGTATATACAGACTCCGCAGACACCAGTCGGTTTTGGTGACCTTGACCCCATTTTCAAGGTCACAGCAGGCAAATCTGCTTTTGGAGTTGGAAAACGGTGTTGCCTCAATATCTCAAGAACTAATCGCTGGATTGTTTTCATATTTGGTACTATGGTGTATATACAGGCGGGGGACATTTCGTCACTTTGTGACAAATACTTGTTTATTTTAATTTCATAATGATTGTGTCACTAAATAATATATTTATTCGTATTTCAATACTTTTGATAAAAAAATATGAGTAGGTATTTCTCAAGTTGCAACAGATAACTGTTGAATTCCTAAATCATGACACTATTAATGCCGACAAAAATATATGCCATCATCCTAGTAATCGTTTCCTTCAAATAATTGGCACATTTCTTGAAACTGTGCAAGGTGCCATGGAGGGAGGTACATGTTGTGACGTGAACAGTTCCACTTATTGTATACGCAGCAAGTTATGCGCGTTTGCAGACAACTGTAGACAGGAGTCGAGTTTAAGATATTCGTACCTCCACCGTTGAAGATTTCAATCTTAGATGAGCCGTCTTACAATCGCGTTAAGATGGGTTTGTGCAAGTGGAATAGGACAATTGTATGGTGATTGTAAAATTGATTGTAGCCGCCTAAGATTGATTGTAGCTAAGATTGTTCTGTGCAAGTAGGCCTAGGTGTCGGTAACTTTTAGGTGAGGTTAGGTTGCACCCAGTGCAGGTAACATTTCCAACCATAAGTGGAAAACTGAATTCTTTTAGAACTGGCTGCAAGTCTTTTCGAATCCAGGAAACAAAGGTTCATGAAAATAGTGAAATACACAGGTGGTCTGAATGCATTGAACTTGCAGGACTCATTCTTCACATTTACCAATAGAACAGTCACTCATGAGGTTACAATCACAACAGACACTTTCAGACTTCTGTTTAAGGTTGTTTACTCGATATCATGATATGAAAAGGCATGTACAGATTCACCTCAAAATAAATACTTGAGCACATTCTCAAGGGTTTTTTTTCTTTGAATTTATTTAAAATTCAAAATAACAGAAAATTTTGGTGGTGCAACCTGCTTAGTTCACTTTGTTGCACCTGGTGCAGGTGGTAAGACAGAATGAAATTGTACCCTGAATTATAGACCAAGGCCCCAATGACGGTATGACTATGGACTAGCATTGATTATCATCGTCATATTTTTTATTTCAGTTGGCACACAACAGCATCCCTCCTGATCAAATGAAAAGGAATCCTATGACACCGCTTGATCTTTGTCTGACATGGAAATCTGCAAATCAAATAAGGTGGAAGAATAACATCTGGTTAAAAAATTTATGTGGAAAAGTAAGTTTTTCAACATTTTGGGTAAGATTAAACTTCCAAATTTCATCAGGGGTTTGAAAATTAAAGGATGATAAATTCCTCATGGCTTGTTATGTGTTATTTATCCACTGTTTCCTTTGTTTGGACTTTTATTTTTATAAAATATACATTAAATGTAAAACTAGGCAAAAAGTCAGCAAAATCAGTCAAAATCAAGAAGGTCCGAAATCGCAAACATAACTGCATTGAGGTGGGTGTCTGAGTTGAAGCAAATATTGATCTGAACAATAATCTGTCAGCAGGTCAGAAATCACCCACGTAACTGCTGTTATCTGAACACAGTTCAGGTTTGAGATTCACCATGAACTTTTCAGGTATTGAGGGGCTGTGGGGTCCAAAAGTCATCTGAAAATGATTAAACACATGAATAATGGACATGAAATTTAAATTACAACATAAAATAGAATGGTCATGTGTGTAAAGACATGTTATGTTCAATAGTCACTTTCAAATTTATCTTCCTTTAAGGTGGGCGAAAATAACATGGCTGCGGAAAAAAGACACAAAACATAGACCAATGTTGATATATTTTAAACAAATTCAGTCTGTAGATGTGTTATGTGTTCAGGTACCAAGTGTTGAAGTCAGCTAATGTTAGCTTGCATCAACCTTCAGTTGTTTAAAACTTTTACTTTAATGACAATCCAAGAAATCCAAGAATCACAAAAATCCGTCCATCGTGGTGATTCTGTGTTAGAATACGTCCACTGCAACCTATCCTTGTTATAAGGGACGAGTTAAGTGATTGGGTGGTCAGGTTCGGTGACTTGGTTAGTTGCTTGTTATTGTAACAAGATGACAGTGATAATATCTAGATTCTAAATATGTCCACCATGTCCACCATATTGAATTTGTCGTCGATGCTAAATTATATTACATTGTAATTTGGGGCATAGTATTATTTTTTTAACTGCTGTTACTTTAACTGCACATACTTCACATGTGCCCCCTTATCTACATTTACTGCATTTTCGTTTAGTCCTTTTGGTTTTATGCATGTACTGGTAAATTTGAGTGATGAATGGAAAATATCAACACTGTAAATGTTGACACAGGGGTGTATTAAATGTTATGAATTGATCTAAGTGTTAAAATGAAAATGATATTGAGAAAACAGCCACATAATAAAATATATAAGTACCCTTTATCAGAGCGGCAAATCAGTTCAAGAAATGTGAATTTTATTGGGATTCCAAACTGTATATTTGTTCAAGATAAGGATTTGAAATATCTGATGTTGGTTCTTTTTGCAATGTTGCAACATAAACATAAATACAGTCATCCCTTGCTAAAACACCCTTCATGAAATACCACAGATTGGGTTAAACTTCAGGTAAAATACATGGGTCCCATACATTTAAATACTTCCCCCACAAACGCATTTTTAGGTCATCAGAAATAGCATATCAACAAATCTGCTCTGAAATTATGCACGTTAGTCCTGTTGTAAGGATGTACAGATGTTCTTGAGAAGTGTTCATTGTATACATCTAGACTTAGGACATATGTTTGCAATCTATTTGATTAAGTTTAGTCATATTTTTAATTTGAAACACTATGTGCTTCTTAAAACACTTGCCTTCAACTATTTGTTCTTATGTTTTTGATCATGCAACCTTCTATGTACTTATTGGGTTGGAATTATCAAAAGGGTAGCAGTTTTGGGGCACCATTGCTGAGAAATATGCCAGAAAATAAATCTTGAAAGTGTGCTTTCACTAATTGTTGTTAATAAAGTGTATAAATGGGCTGAGAAATGTGTGCATTTGAAATATTTGAAATATTTTATTTGAGTTTTGAGATAAAATGCAAATTTTACAGTATTTTAACAGAGCTCCAGATAAGATTTTTGATTCAGTTTTTTGTGGTTTCAGATATCTGCTTTAAAGTGATGTCATGAACTGGATGCTGCACTCTTGATTCCAACACTAATATTGTCATGACCAAATGTTAAAGTTCATATTCAGCAAGTTGAAGATAACTGACACCATCTTTAAGTATAAGTTGCACAAATATGGTATTCAGAAGTTTTTTGTTTACACTACTGATGTATATATAGTATAAAAAAATGGATTTCTGTAATAGAATAAAGTATTGGAATACATGTGATACTAGTTGTGTTTCCGTCACCACAATCTCATTAAAATCAGACCTTAGTTCTCGCTACCACTAAACAAAGACCTGAAGACATCCCATTAGGAGTCACGTCAGAACGACCTTTCATTCGACCGATCAGAGCGTCGCTTACCAGATCATGAAAGTGACAGTCAGAATGTGATTTCTAATTATACAACCTCGAAAACCTTTAACACGGGGTATTCCGAAAGATAGTTACAGGTTTAACGACTGAATCCATACAATCTAGACCATCTATTAGACATTCCAGAATGTTCTTTTGTTTAGTTTTCAAATTTGTAATCGAGAATTTGTCCAAATATGTTTCAAAGCGTAGTCGCCAATTTGAAATTAGTGCCGTAAAGCACGAGAAAGCTGCCTTCTGATTGGTCATTCTATTGGTCGGTAAATGTTCGCACAAGGTCGGTCTGACGTGACCCGTACTGGGATGTCCTCAGATCTTTGTTTAGCAGTAGCAAGAACTAAGGTCTGATTTTAAAGAGATTGTCGTCACCATAGTGTGGATGTTTTATGCTGTTTGAGAGAAAAGTTGGCCTAATGGTCTTAAATGCTTCAACACTGCAGAGTTGTGTCGATTGGTTATGTGAGGATCCATTCTGATCACTGGTTTGGAGAATAGTGACCTTAAGCTGAACAGATGGACATGTGGCAGTGTGATTTGAAAGTGAGACACAAATTTATGCAACACATGAGGTATTGTGGTGCTGAAACGAAGGTTCATATTCTGGATTTGAACCCATGACCAGTACATCAAGTTCCATCAACCATGACAATTGGGACACCTGTACACCCAAGTTTCTCTCACTCTACTCCAGCAAAATTGCAGTACCATAAAGGCAGAAATTAATAAGTAGGGTCTGTGTGACTAATAAAGCAGTTTCTTGTCACTTTTCGGCCCACTTTTATATCACAATTAGACATATATTGGGTAGGAACACTAACCCTAGAACCTTACGATTCTTGTTCTTTTGAGATTCCGTAACAGCTGCGTCTGATTCAAGAATAACCCAGTTTTACATCATTGTCGGACATACATTGGGAAGAAGCCCAAACCCTAGCACCTCACGATTCACGTTTCTGTTGAGATACGATAACATCAGCGTCTGTATCAGGAATAACCCAGTTTTACATCACAATTAGACAAATATTGGGTAGAAACCCTAACCCTAGCACCTCATGATTCATGTTTCTGTTGAGATACGAGAACATCAGCGTCTGTATCAGGAATAATCCAGTTTTACATCACTGTCGGACATATATTGAGTAGAAACCCTAACCCTAGCACCTCATGATTCATGTTTCTGTTGAGATACGAGAACATCAGCGTCTGTATCAGGAATAATCCAGTTTTACATCACTGTCGGACATATATTGAGTAGAAACCCTAACCCTAGCACCTTATCATTCATGTTTCTGTTGAGATACGAGAACATCAGCGTCTGTATCAGGAATAATCCAGTTTTACATCACAATTAGACATATATTGAGCAGAAACCCTAACCCTAGCACCTTATCATTCATGTTTCTGTAGAGATACGAGAACATCAGCGTCTGTATCAGGAATAATCCAGTTTTACATCACTGTCGGACATATATTGAGTAGAAACCCTAACCCTAGCACCTTATCATTCATGTTTCTGTTGAGATACGAGAATATCAGCGTCTGTATCAGGAATAATCCAGTTTTACATCACTGTCGGACATATATTGAGTAGAAACCCTAACCCTAGCACCTTATCATTCATGTTTCTGTTGAGATACGAGAACATCAGCGTCTGTATCAGGAATAATCCAGTTTTACATCACTGTCGGACATATATTGAGTAGAAACCCTAACCCTAGCACCTGATCATTCATGTTTCTGTTGAGAAACGAGAACATCAGCGTCTGTATCAGGAATAATCCAGTTTTACATCACTGTCGGACATATATTGAGTAGAAACCCTAACCCTAGCACCTTATCATTCATGTTTCTGTTGAGATACGAGAACATCAGCGTCTGTATCAGGAATAATCCAGTTTTACATCACTGTCGGACATGTATTGAGTAGAAACCCTAACCCTAGCACCTTATCATTCATGTTTCTGTTGAGATACGAGAACATCAGCGTCTGTATCAGGAATAATCCAGTTTTACATCACTGTCGGACATATATTGAGTAGAAACTCTAACCCTAGCACCTTATCATTCATGTTTCTGTTGAGATACGAGAACATCAGCGTCTGTATCAGGAATAATCCAGTTTTACATCACAATTAGACATATATTAGGTAGAAACCCTAACCCTAGCACCTGATCATTCATGTTTCCGTTGAGATACGAGAACATCAGCGTCTGTATCAGGAATAATCCAGTTTTACATCACTGTCGGACATATATTGAGTAGAAACTCTAACCCTAGCACCTTATCATTCATGTTTCTGTTGGGATACGAGAACATCAGCGTCTGTATCAGGAATAATCCAGTTTTACATCACTGTCGGACATATATTGAGTAGAAACCCTAACCCTAGCACCTGATCATTCATGTTTCTGTTGAGATACGAGAACATCAGCGTCTGTATCAGGAATAATCCAGTTTTACATCACTGTCGGACATATATTGAGTAGAAACCCTAACCCTAGCACCTTATCATTCATGCTTCTGTTGAGATACGAGAACATCAGCGTCTGTATCAGGAATAATCCAGTTTTACATCACTGTCGGACATATATTGGGTAGAAACCCTAACCCTAGCACCTTATCATTCATGCTTCTGTTGAGATACGAGAACATCAGCGTCTGTATCAGGAATAATCCCGTTTTACATCACAATTAGACAAATATTGAGTAGAAACCCTAACCCTAGCACCTGATCATTCATGTTTCTGTTGAGATACGAGAACATAAGCGTCTGTATCAGGAATAATCCAGTTTTACATCACTGTCGGACATATATTGAGTAGAAACCCTAACCCTAGCACCTTATCATTCATGTTTCTGTTGAGATACGAGAACATTAGCGTCTGCATCAGGAATAATCCAGTTTTACATCACTGTCGGACATATATTGAGTAGAAACCCTAACCCTAGCACCTTATCATTCATGCTTCTGTTGAGATACGAGAACATCAGCGTCTGTATCAGGAATAATCCAGTTTTACATCACTGTCGGACATATATTGAGTAGAAACCCTAACCCTAGCACCTGATCATTCATGTTTCTGTTGAGATACGAGAACATCAGCGTCTGTATCAGGAATAATCCAGTTTTACATCACTGTCGGACATATATTGAGTAGAAACCCTAACCCTAGCACCTTATCATTCATGTTTCTGTTGAGATACGAGAACATCAGCGTCTGTATCAGGAATAATCCAGTTTTACATCACAATTAGACATATATTAGGTAGAAACCCTAACCCTAGCACCTTATCATTCATGTTTCTGTTGAGATACGAGAACAGCAGCGTCTGTATCAGGAATAACCCAGTTTTACATCTATGTTGGACATAAATTGAGTAGAAACCCTAACCCTAGAACCTCATGATTCATGTTTATGTAGAGATTTCGTGATATCTGCGTCTGATTCAAGAATAATCCAGTTTTACATCACTGTTGGACACATATTGGGTGGAAACTCTAACCCTAGCACCTCATGATTCATGAAATACGATAACATCAGCGTCTGTATCAGGAATAACCCAGTTTCACATCACCGTTGGACATATATTGGGCAGAAACCCTAACCCTAGAACCATGTGATTCATGTTTCTGTTGATATTTAGCGACATTAGCGTCCGATTCAAGAATAACGCAGCTTTATGTCACTGTCGGACAAATATTGGGTAGTAACCATTACCAAAGCACCTCGCGATTCATGTTTCTGTTGAGATAATATGGTGACATCATTATTTTGGTACTGTCTAACTTTTCATCTGTTTGGATGTAAAATCATAACCCGTAGCATGGATTGCCAGGATTGTAATGTAAGCTATAGCATGGTGGCTGGTAAATGTATTGTGGACAAGGCAAATCAGTGGCTGACAAGATCAGCAAAACCCATGCAATTGGGCACATTAACACAATCAGCCATTTGACATCATGTCGTTCGGTGATGAATACATGAACACATTCATGCCTACATAATACTGTTTATCCTTGTCATAATCAATCAACTACAAACAAAATTCATCATTTTGCTAGTTCTTTATTGTTGAGGAAACAATAAACATAAATGTAACACATGAAAAAAGTTTTGCCTCAAAATGCTGAAAACAGTGTCAGTGAAGAAATTCCATGCACAGTATATTTGTAAGATGCTAAATTCACCATATATGATAATTGATATTTTGAATGAAAAAAACACACCTCACATTATGAAACAATATATAATATGAATCATATGTTTAGATGTACAGTACTGTCCATGAGTATAGGGAGAAACACTGTCCCACCACACAGTAGCGAACTGATGCTACTCCCTGCTGATCTTTTCACTACTCAGGATGTCAATGCTGACTTCAACACAGAACTCTTCTTCTAAACACTTCTTCTTTCCAGAAACGTACAGGGCATAGTTGCTCTCCCTTCTCAAAGCACACTGTATTGGGAGCTGTATATGTAGTTTAGCGTTGGTGTAAACTGATACCATCAAGTTTCATTACAGCATGGTAGTTGCCCTGAAAAGGTTGAAAATATTCACATAAGTGATGTCATCACCATTGATTGAACATTTTTCATGGAAAAATAACTTATGATTTAACTTCAATATAAATAAATCCACGTAGTACACCTTATTTTTACATTTATACCCACATTAATTTAAAATTATATTGGAGTCAATTCTTTTAAATAAATATGTCAATTTTAACAACTTCATAGACTCCTTCTTTAATTACTTACATAAACAAACAGGAAGACAACAATAGAAAATCAGTGACATTGTTAAACCCAATATAATGAAAAACAAGCCCCTCCCATTCTATTATCAGCCAATCAGGAAACAGTTGACCGTTTGTGGGTATAGCATACATTTATTTTAGGTTCATGGCAACATCAAGTTATGTTCCATTAAAAATGCCTGTAAAGATATTATAGTTTAATATCATGTTGTCTCACTTAAATTCAAAACTTAATGGGAAGTTATAATTTGCAGTTATCTCAACTGGCAAGGAATTTTTCTCAAGCCAGTTAAATGTGTCCAGGATACAAAATTAAGATGGTGTTATTACCACAAATATTTTCTTGAACAAAAATGAAAATATCTGATGATAATTTGTGTACTTTTTGTAATTCACATCCAGAAACTGATATGCATTTATTTTTTGGTAAAAGATTTCTGGCTTCTGGACACAGACTCATAATTTGTATCTGGATATTCGTGTGAAGGAAAATGTGATAACAGATGATAATTATAACTGATTTTGTTATTTTCAAAGTATGTAAGTGTAAGGTTCTTAAAATACAACCAAATTTCTAACATTTTGTGAGGGAGATGACTGATACAGTTAGACATGAATTTCGAAAAAATATATACTTCAACAAAAACCTGCAAAACAAATTTTATACACAGTATACTGACTCCGAGTGGACCATTCCTTCTTTTAGCCCTTACTACCGAGAGCAAGACAGGGTAACAACAAGTACCATCTTTTAACGTCTTTTGGAATGATGCTTCAAGGGATCGAATTTCTGACCTTCCACTCTCCGAGCAGACACTCTACCAGTACACCATAGAGGCAGTCAATCAGACTTGGAATTTGATGAATTTCAATGAGTTAAAGTAACTAAGTTGACAATCCATCAGTTTATTGTTATTTTCTGAGAACTAACAATCAACAGTACTTTTCTTATGTTCACCATTTTGTTACTTTTGTTCATTAGTGTAGAAAATTCTGGACGGGAAGCATTTTATCTGGACAGGAATATTTGCAAAGTTGCCCTTCCGGGAATTTTATACGCTGCTGTTACATAGCGACATGCTTAACATCAAATCACAATTCTGACATCATTGCTGGGATGATTCATGCCAAGTTTCAGCTTCATAGGCTTTGTAGCTCTAGAGGAGATGTTGAAAGTGAAATCGTTAACGACATACATACTAGCAGAAAAAGGTAACTTTTCTTAATAAAAAGTCCAACATAACTCAATCTCATTAAAATCACATCTTAGTTCTCGCTACCGCTAAAAAATGATCTGAGGACATCCCATTATGGATCACGTCAGCATGACCTTTCATCCAACCAATCAGAGCATCACTTACCAGATCCTGAAAGTGACAGTCAAAATGTGTTTTCTAATCATGCATCCTCGAAATATTCAACAGAGGGTATTCCGAACGACAGTTACAGGTTTTATGATTATATCCATACAATTTAGGCCATCTATAAGTCATTCCAGAATGTTGTTTTGGTCAGTTTTAAATTTATTTAATCGAGAATACGTCAAAATATGTTTCGAGGCGTAGTTGCCAGTTTGAAACTAGTGCAGTAAAGCTCGAGATAGCTGTCCTCAGATCTTTGGTTAGCGGTAGCGAAAACTAAGATCAGATTTTAATGAGATTGAACAAAACTAAGTTTAATCTGAAATTAAATAATGCATCTTTCAATATGCATATTGATGAAGACATCTCAGTTTTAAGGTCGTGATTCACAATTCGCATGTAAATGTTTATGGACTGCGCATAATTTGTGTGTTTGCATGTTTGTTGGGAGCAAGGTATTTACACACGTTTTCATAATGTAAACAGCACACAATGATTGTTTAGCTCTCTGGGTCTAATAAAATCTTTTTTCTTTTTGTTCAACCGTAATTAATAATGCTGTCACGGCTTGCAAATACAAAATGCGCAAAACGAAGTTGCCAAACATTTTTAATGTTCATCGAATCACAAATATCATCTGCCACATTAATAATCGGACAATTCTTGGGTTAAGACGAATTAGTGGCAGAACTGTACATTACCGGTTGTGAGAGCACAACATCCGGTCCCAACATTCAGCAATATGCCTAATTTTGCTTACACAGGACTATCAGTCACACTTGGTGTAGACAGCATCTGAGGTTCAGAAGAAAAAAAGGGACAGTACACTGTTCACAAATGAGTGAGGGTTTCATCTGAACAGCTCTGATGGTCGTGCAAAGGTCTACATGTCATACATGCATACATGTTTTAGCAACTCTTGCATTACTTATCATAATCAGTTTTGGGGTGGAAGTGTAATGGTATGGGGTGGCATCACAACTCATGGGAAAACACAACTCATCATTGTTATGAGGACATCGTTTGAGATAATGTTCTTGCCTTTTTTTCCATTAGTATAGATGAACACAGCCATGACATAAGCTTATTTGAACCTTCGCTTTGTGTAAGCTACAAGTGATCATCATCATTTCTACAAAGTTAAGTTTCAGTTTCCTGGAGAGTGTAGTTTCTCTTCTTTTATTTTCATTCTTAATTGTTTTTCAAGAAGCAATTTCAGCCCCTCCATTTCTCCAATTTGAATCCCCACCATTGGAGAATTGATTCCAACCAAATATGGTTGATATCTATCTCTTAGTTCCAGAGAGGAAGTCGTTTAAAGCAATATAGCCAAATTACTCCTATTTGGCCATGACCCTTGGGGGGTCAGCCCTCTCCATTTGTACAATTTTTAATCCCCAGCATTGGAGAATGCTTCCAACCAAATATGGTTGATATCTATCTCTTAGTTCCAATAAAGAAGTTGTTTAAAGCAATATAGCCAAATTACCCCCATTTGGCCCCGCCACCAAGCCCTTTGGGGGGTCAGCCCCACCATTTGTACAATTTTGAATCCTCACCACCTAGGGATGCTTCCAGTCAAATTTCGTTAATTGTCAATTTGTGGTCCCCCCCTAAAATTTTTGGGAAAAATTGTTGTCATACGGACGACGGACCCCACGGTATGCCATAAGCTCACCTTGGTGAGCTAATAGTTGTGTCAGGATGACAAACACCAGACAAGCAGGCCATGTTGTTTGTATTCAAAAAGTATTTTGTTTTATTTTGTATATTTGTCTTATCTGGAAAAATAGTCTATGCTATATTACCATGATTACAACCAGTTTGTTTAAGGACATGCAGACATGAATCCTACGTTTCGGGGCGATCAATGTTACCTTTGTTGGGTGCAACTGGACCAAACAAGCTATTTACACCAGGCTTCTTGTAACTGGACAGGGAAACCTGTGAACATGGTATACGAAGAATGAAAATCTTCATAAGAATAAACACAACACATGACACCACAGAACTGAATGAACAAATTGTAAAATAAAACACTGGGACAACCACATAACTTAATCCGAGTCCCATTGTGGTGCTACACATGCCAGGTGTCATTAAGTTTTAGTTTCCTTGGTTTCTGAGAAGAAAGTTCTTAAAGTTGAACAAATCACAATTGGAAGCTACAAAAATACCTTTGCAAATGAAGGTTAAAAAAGTGTAATAAACATCCATCAACCTCTTCACGACAACATTGCTAAGGTTATCTAGGATAAACAAAAATATGCCTCACTACGAACCGTTTGAATGGGCCTGAAACTGATAAGAATTTATTTTTAGGGAATTTAATACTGGTAAAGGTCATCATAAATAGATTAACAAGATTATGCAGAAATAAGTAACAAATGTTCAGATACACCAAATGATATGAATATTTAATAATGATTGACAAATGAGGAAAAACAAGTGAATTGTTTATGACCACTTAAATTAATGGTGCTTGGTCCAGGCAGGCAAGAGGTTGATAGCACTAACAACTATCCATGTAATTGGGGTGTAATGTCACCAAATCAGCCAGGTCACACATAACTGACATTCCATATAGTTGCCCTTTGGGAATGTTAAGAATCAAATTCTGTGACTACGTTTGTGAGACTGAATTACTTGGATCATGTCCTTAACAATCCAAACAGTGTTAGTATACCTGTAATCTAGATACAAGGGTGCATGCAAAGGGTATGACCATGGCATGATAATCTGAACCTGAAATCTGAAAAGAACAGTAGATCTATTTTATACCATTGTTGGAGTGCATGATAACACACATATATAACCAATCATAGATTCACTTCCAAAAAGATTCATAGGAAATATTGCAGGTACAAGGTTATTACACTTACTGGTACATTCCATTATTAGGACACAAAAAGGTGAAAGATGATGGCATGACCAAATGGAACATATGATCACTGAAACATAGCACATTGGAGATTGAAATATAGTATTACAGCCTGTTAAATGAATAACACCATGATACATGAGTACCTGGTCAAAATAACATTCAATATGGCTGCAATGTCGTCACCCCAAAAAATCACAGACACAGTTTACCAGATTTAACCTAATTGAGGCCAGATGTGCCCATTGTATTGGTGCCATTAAACTGACTCATGTAACAGAGCTCCAGATAACTTTTTGAGCAATTCAGTTTTTACTTTAGGGTTTCTATTTTAATTGGGTTATTACACTTTTCATTGGGTTACCAATATTTTTTCACTCATCTATTCATCACTCTCTTGGGTCTTTCCCAAAATTAGTGAACATTTTAAGATTTCAAAAAAATGAAATAATGTTCTAAATACATAGGTTTGACTCAGAAAGTAAATTAACTTGTAATTGTGTTTCAGAAATTAGCTCATTTGTATGCATGCTGAAAAAGCTTCATTGGGCATTTACGCGAGCTGTTTTAATAATTTGAGTTTTTCATATAATGCATGCGTTTCTGTACACAAGTTAATGGAAAGTAATTGGGTTTTAAATAATTTTGGGGGGGTATTTTACACAAATACGCTGCTTATCTGTAGCTCTGATGTAATAATGTTTCCCTTCATTACCTTTTGGCTGTCCCCTCACATGACTGACAGAAATACTGTTCGAACAAACTACCCTGGGTATAGGTGTTAAAATGGCTCTGTAGCTTATTATTACAACAAAAAGGCAATACAAGGGTATAATAAATAAGCAAAAGAAACAAAACTATTTATCTACAGAACAGACTTTCTCACAGCATCTTGACCAATTAAAAGGATGACAGTATATGCAAGAAGACAAATTCACCATTATCCCCTAAATATTAAATACTTGCTATGGAAACTAAATATCCCAAATTATCAAAAGGCACCAGTTCAACACTAGACCTATCTATGTGCCATGCTTGTTAAGGAAATATTGTAAGTTTTTTCTAATCTGCCCAGAAAGGAGCACTACCCTCATTTTCAGTATGAGTCAAAGTTGTGGCATCTCAAAATATCAATTTTTAAAAAATCCTAAACTACCAAAAGGCACCAGTTCAACACTAGACCTATCTATGTGCCATGCTTGTTAAGGAAATATTGTAAAAAAAATTAATCTGCATAGAAAGGAGCACTACCCTCATTTTCAGTATGAGTCAAAGATGTGGCATCTCAAAATATTAATTTTTAAAAAATCCTAAACTATCAAAAGGCACCAGTTCACCACTAGACCGATCTGTGTGTCAAGTTTGGTGAAGAAATATTGTAGATTTTTAAGGTATGTTCCAAGAACGATCACTACCCTCCTATTTCAGTCAAAGTTGTTGCCATGGAAAATAAAAAGATACATTTTACAAAAATCCAAAACTATCAACAGGCACCAGGTCACCACTAGGCCTATCCATGTACCATGATTGGTGAAGAAAATAGTAAACGTTTTTTCAAAATCTTACACAGAAGTATGAATGCAAGGACTTACCATGTCAATTTTAATACCCCCACAAAACATGTTGTGGGGGATAATAATTGGTAATGAGACAAGTCAAAGAACACATTCATCATGACTGCTGCAGCAGCCCATGAAGACAAAATGTTGCAGTTCCAAATATAAGAAAAACTTGCAAAATATGACCCTGTTGTTGGGTTTACCAAATAATTACTGTATATCAAATTTCATAATGTAAATGCAGAAGTGGCTTTCTAAAGGGTGAAAAGTATATGTTCAATATGGTTGCCATGTCTTGACAGCTTGAAGTTGTATTGGCATCATGTTAGTGGGATCAAATACACAAAATCTCTGCTTATTGAAAATATGATTTTCAGAGAAGATATTGAAAACACAAACAAACTTCATAAGGTATGTGAAAGTTTAAGGCCATAGAAGGCACAGGGGATACAGGCATCCAAGAAGCCACCTCAATTTGCTGGGCAGAGTTGCATCCCTGTCTGTCTCACAGTCCTTGAACCATATTATTTTCCCTTCCGCCCAGCCCATCTCACTGGGTCTACTTTTAAACTAAAATGAATATAAAATGTTTCTATCAATATTTTACATTTTCAGAGACTAAGCTGCATCCCTTTCATATGCCAGAAATCTATGACAATGGGTTCAAATCCCATAATTACCATGATTATTTTCCTTGGCTTGTCAGCACCATTTCCACGCTGGTGGGTCTCATCAAGTGGTAAATATCTAACATGTTCCTCCTAGATCAAGCAAAAAATACACCAATGTAAACCCCATAACACATATCAAGTTTCATAATGCCACATCTGAAATGGCTGTGTAATATGCAAAAGTGATATTTTGTAAATGGCCTCATGTTTTAGAATATCATTGCTGAGATTTCAGTTTCATAGGCCTTGTAGATTCAGAGGAGGTTTTGAAAGTGTACAAGTTAGTTATGGACAGATGACAGATAATGCACCATGACATAACCTCATTTGACTTCAAATTGGATATTCCTGTATTCATGATAGCCTGTAGTTTGATTACAGTATACCAACTCACACCTCATAACTTAATAAATGGCCCAAGGTCTGAGGGAAAGTAATACTTTCACAATTGCCATAATCAGGTCAGTAAGTTTGCATAGTGAATGGTTGAGTTGAGTGTTTCAGTAATATCACAGTGTGTCAGCTGATGATCCAGTGAGGAAAGACTGATATAATGAGGTACCGATAATACTACAAATGTGGTATTTCATATCATGACATCCATGATTTAATTTGATGTATGATGATTCCTCTATTGTTATCCCTGACTTTATCATGGGGGTGCATAAAGATAAATGTTCACAGCACCTGTGCTTAGCTTGTGCTAAATCTATACAACAGTAAATTAGCCTTAGTATGATAAAATAAATTAATGTAATTCCCAACATGTATAGGGGTAGAATACAACATACCTGATTTCCTACAAGGGTTGCACCTCAAATTTCCTGAATGTGGCAGGACACAGCCCACTTGGATACCCTGGGAATAAAAAAATGTGTAAATTGGTACTGATATCTTGACATATTGGTTGCAAAGGGAGGTAATCAATGATACATGTATAGTTTACTATAAATTTGCCGGATGCACAATAATCTTTATGATCCTTTATTAATCTCATATGTCTACATATTCCCTCAGTGTTCATCATAACAACAACAAACAAAAAAGAGGGCATGTAGACTAGTGAATTAGAGCGTGGGCCTTATCTGGAGCGAACGCCAGAAATGGACCTCACTTTGAACCCAGAACACAGACCTTTCAGCAAAACAAGTTAATTAACACTAATAATCTAGATGAGATTTGATGCTTCCCCGATAATATATCTATGTTAGTCCTACACTCATTCTAGGCCTACAGACATAGAATACAAACATGCGTCATGTGCAGGGTCAGCAGGCACGTTGACGTTCTCCATCTCAGTATCTGAAAATAAAAAGTACCATAGTGAATGGTTGTAGACTGTAAATTATGTTTGCACAAAGACTAGATAACATTATGACCAACGAACAAGTAAGAACAGATAAACAAAAAGCAAGATCTAACCGATAAATGTTTGATCGAAAACCGATCGCTATGCCGGCCAAGGGGGATAACTCTTTCTGACCACGTCGGGGCGATTTTTCCGAAGACAAATTTTGCCAATATATTTTGTAACGATCAGTTCTTATAAATATGTGTAGTTCTATCAAACAAATACACATACAATGGCATGTATTAATGAAAGCCGTAACGATCTTCTATAAGACCGGATTAATATATATCTATAGATCTATCTATTAATTGGTTGTTAAAATTGTAATTAGGTGATGTATAAAATACATATACCGTATTAAGATACTAAATCTAAGTCTAGCCTGTCTAGACCGGAGATAAAAAACAACAACAAAATGATGACAGACATCCTACCATCTGCTGAATGCTGTGTTGGACACTGCATGTTCCAATATGGCGTGAAATGCGCCCCTGTGAACATACATCCTAATATGGTTATGCTATTTAATTGTTACTGTTAGGTAGTAGTAGCAGTAAATGTTAGTCTCCAGAGACGTAGAGACCGTCTTTGTACCTACTAGTAGCAGGTCATAGTTGCTAACAACTCTGTGCTAGTAGTAGGTAATATTTCCTGGATCGGGTGGTGGAGTGCCATTTTCTAGGGGACATTGGTCCGATAGAGTTTGGTCTATACCCACGGTTATTTTACGATTGTTTAGGAAGTCCTGGATGTAGTTTATTATCTGACCTTTGAGTCCTATTTTTTTAAAGTTTTTGTATTAGCCCATCGTGCCATACCATGTAGAAAGCTTTAAAGAAGTCTAAGAAGATGCCTGTGGTATATTGTTTATTTAGTTGTCCTGTCTTAATATCTTGTTCTAGTCGGGCGAGGTTATCTAGAGTTGAGCGGCCAGGAGTGAAACCGCTTTGATCTGGGTTTATGATGTTATTTTGGGTTAAGTAATGTTGTAATCTATTTTTAGCCATTGATTCCATTACTTTACATAAGTTTGAAGTTAGGGATATTGGTCTATATGAGTTAGCTTGATTAGCTGGTTTATTAGGTTTAGGGATTGGTATGACTAGGGCCTGTTTCCAGGGAGTAGGAACCTGTCCGTTTAGGTAGATGAGATTGTATAGTTTGAGTAGTGCCTGGAGTAGTTTTAGGGGGAGTTTTTAAATTATTTGGTAAGAAGTTAGGTCTAATCCTGGGGCTGTGCCCTTTTTCCTGTTTCGGATTACGTAGAGGAGCTCCTCCATTGTGTAGGGTTGATTTATTTCTAGATTGTTATTGTTTGGTTCTTTTGTGGGTTTGTTTTCTGTTTTAAGTTTATCTTGGAATTTTTGACTGAAGTTGGTGTTACTGCTAACGGCCGAAAAGTGGTTGGCGAGATTATTTGCTTTTTGGGCGGGGTTGGTTGAGTTGTCAATGTTAGGGGTTTTTTTTATGTCGTTTTAAGCCTCTGATGGCGTGGATGATGTTGTTGTATCATTGTGTATCATTATATAACGGCACGATTGGCGAAAACGTCACCTCGCCTCAAGTGAGAACGGCTACTATTGCCTGCCGAAAACGGCACCTTATTTTTTTTTACTTTGGTAAAATAAATGAAATTAAACTTACATGGTCACTTGCAAACACAAGAAATTAGTTTACTTTAGAAATTAGCCTCTACTCCAACTAATTTCGCCTATACTTATTGTGAAAACATAACATGCCTTGAAGTAAAATAAATGAAATTAAACTCACATCGCCACTAACACCAATGATAGTGTAATGTTAAAACAAGTTTACATTAGAAATTAGCCCCCAACTCCCAATTTACTCGCCGACTCTGAATGTGAGGCGCAACTAACGTATTGTGAAAACATTATAAGCTTTGGAGTAAAATAAATGAAATTAAACTCACATCTTCTCTTAGAAACACCAATAATTGTGAAATGTCAAAACAAGTTTACATTAGAAATTAGCCCCCTGAGTCAGCTACTATCACAATGCTGGGTGGTACCTGGGCCGATATTGTAAACTGTGATGAAGATGAAAAGTGAAGAACAGTATATATGTGAATATATGTAGTTATCTGTGAACACAGGAAATAACATGTAAATACACCAAATAACATGTAAATAAATCATATATACTACTACATAAGTCGTTCTTATCGTTATTAAAAATAGAGCTGCCGTTTTCGCCCATCACATAGTATCCGTTTTCGCCAAATGCGGTGCCGTTTTGCTGAGGTGCTGTTTCAGCCTGCACCCTATTTTAAACCAGAAACCTACAACATAAACTGAAAATAAAATTGACCGCATCCGTGGTCTAGTGGATAGAAGGACGACCGGCGAGCGGAAAGTCGGTACTTCGATCACCGGCCGCGTCAAGCCAAAAGTTTAAAGATGGTACATGTTGTTACGCTTGTGTGGCGCTCGGTGTTAAAGAGATAGAACAAGGACTGGTCCGGGGGACTGTATCTGAGTGCGGTGGTACCCATGTTAAACAGCGCCATGGTATTTCAGTGGGCGAGAACAAGCAGCCACACACATATACACATGCATGCGAGTCATTGTGCAATAATCTTGCACCCCATTCCATCTCACCTCTCTTGCTCTCTGATGATCGACCTTTTTAATGAAATCTATATTTATTATGTATATAAATTAGTGTTACGCAAGAATAATGGGTATTGTGCGGGTGGTGAAAATCAGTAAAGGTTACAAAACAGTGACATAAAGGATGTATGGAACACTGATTGAGGTGGACACCGGGTAGTCTAAGTCACGTCGCGCCGTTGTGTCCCTGTTCCTATTAGATCCCCAGGATATTAAAAAAATGGTGTGTGTGTAAAATTTACCAAATTCATAATTTCACCAAAACTGATACGTAGTTGGTTTCATGTAGCAAAGTAATAGCTGCTTAGTTGAGATTTTGCCCACCACAGAGGGAAACCTTTGTCTCAAGTTAACGCTCCTGAAATACACACGGAAGTTTGGTGCCAAATTTAAGGTAATTTGTCATGCTTCCCAGTACTAGTATGGCACCGCATATCAAAACAGTTGAGGACTGGTAAGGTCAAATTATGTATTTGCTTGTCCATAGTCCTTGTTGTCGTATCAGGGCTTGGAACACAATCACGATTTTCTGTTCAATGTAAATAAATTTGGTTAGTGTACGTTTGTATTAGGACTCAACACACAGGTTACGGTTTTTTTGGTGACGTTTATTATCGTTTACCTTGATTGACCTTTGCATTTCGTCAATGCCCTTTAAATTCCCAAAAGCATTTTTGGTATCCGTCAACAGCATCTATTCTGAAACTGCCGTACTTGGGGGCTAACTTTGGTAGGAATGTTTCTTCTGATTGTGACATCATCTTTTGTAAGCCGAACACCTGGTGTCATCACTGATTTTCAGTGATCTTTTCATATAATTTTCACCGCAGTTTTGCATTTTGCGCCCATGGAATCGGTTATGTCGGATGATCGAAACCGGATGTTTATTGGCGTTGACGGTATGCATTATATGTATATTTAAATCATAAGGATTTTATTGTTAGTATTTAAATTTGAATTCACCTCTATTCTTAAGAACCAAAAGTCTTAGAAAACTTAACCTTTGTTCGTATAGTAAAAAAGCCATTGCCTCTTCTTTGATGTGTAAGAATGTTCTCAGTTCCTCTCAGTTATAGTGTTTGTCCCATCTGTCAAGCCAAGAAAGGAAGCGAAATTGTGAGTGAGTGCTTTTAGCAATATTCCAGCAATTTCACGCCGGGGGACACCAGAAATGGGCATCACACATTGTACCCATGTCGGGAATCGATCCCGGGTCCTCGGCGTGACGAGCGAACGCTTTAACCACTAGGCTACCCGACCGCACCGCGAAATAGTGTCTCACTGAATGCGATACGTAGTGAACTGAAAGATATACGACCCCAACTGGCAACAACTGTACATCCAGCGAAACCGGTGAAGATCCAGGTTAGAATATGTCTTGTAAGGTGAGGTGAAATTGGGTTTAACGTCGCGTCCAAGATTATTGCACTTATATAGCGACGTGCATGCACGTGTATGTGTGTGTGTGGCTGCTTGTACTAGTCCGGACTGATGCCGATTTATAGTGCTAGCTCACTGAGATACCATGCCGCAGTTTAACATGAATACCCCACTCAGACACAGTATACTGACTCCGAGCCGACCAGTCCTTGTTTTAGCCCCTTAATGCCGAGCGCCAGACAGGGTAACAACAAGTACAATCTTTTAACGTCTTTTTGTATGACGCGGCCCGGGATCGAACCCTGGACCTTCCGCTCTCCGGGCGGACGCTCTACCACTAGACCACGGAGGCGGTCGAATATGTCTTGTAAGAGGCGACAAACAAGGTCGGGTGGTCAGGCTCGCTGACTTGGCTGATGCATGTCATCGTATCTCATTTGCTTGGATCGATGCTCATATCAATTTCCGGATTGCCTGGTCCAGACTATTATTTACTGACCGCCGTCATATAGCTGGAATATTGCTGAGTGCAGCGTTGAACAAAAAAGCAAACACACAATCAGGGACAAGTGTTTCATCTGTAAAACACGTCAGATATTACTGAAAAATCTTTCTGCAATGTATTGACAACTTTAGCTTTGGTTATGTGTATGAATGTATGTAATTCTGTGTGTATGGGCGTGTGTTTGTATGTTGGTGCACGTGTCTGCGTCAGAGTGTGAAGATGTAACAGTAAGTATGTGATTAAGTGACTGAGTGAGTTGTGTTTAACGCCGCTTTTAACAGTATTCCAGTTATATCACGGCGTGTCAGCTTAATGTGGGAGGAAAGCCCGAAGTGATGCAGGTCTCAGACGTTTACGTTCGGTGAAACCCACGAGCACGGGTACGGTGCTGACAAACCTAGAACGGTAATCGGGGCGAACCGGGATTCGAACCCACAATCATAGGTTTCTGGCTCGCCCAAGGGATTCAACTCTGCACAGCGAGTCGCAGCGCCTTTGACCACTGGGCCACCCGTGCCCCCATTTGATTAAGTGGGTGTATTGAATGTAAATGTATATTTGCGCGCGCGCGTCAGCAGGGGTTTTGTGCCTGGGTGTATATCGTTATGTAGTGTGTGCGTGTGCGTGTGTGCGTGTGCGTTATTGTTTCCAGCGTGTGATATGCCCATATTATGTTTTACTTTTCATATTACTTAAGTATCCACTTGCAATCAATATTGTACAGAAAGTGAGTCTGCATTGCATATTTTATGTGATATATTAAATTTTGACCTTCATTTGACCTTTGCACTTCGATCATACTGAAAGCTGTAATTTCGTGTCGCCATTTTTTTCAAAATTCGAGGAAAACTTGTGGAGTAAATAGTGGAGCTCAACACATTTTTGCAATATTTTAAATTTTAACGGTGCTCCTGAAAATGAATGTCCTCATCTCCACAAAAACAACTGGACCAAGGAAGCTGAAACTCACCATGCTTGTTCCCACCATTGTTGACACATGAATTTGTTCAAGAGGTTCGAATCTGATTTTCAATATGTCCACCACTGGCTATCTTTGTTATTTAAAATCTTTACTACATACACCACGTGAGCCACTGTGCTGTGGCACTATTTTCCTCTTTTCTACTCGGAACTCTTTACCTCAAACTCGTGACAAATGTTTCTCAGTTTTGTTTAAGATAACGCACTTCAGAACTGTACTTACTTGTTGCATATTTATCATCATCTATGCAGAAATACTTGGATAGCAATGCTGACAGCAAGCAACTTGTCAAGTGTCGGTCTTTGTCGTTTTCATCTGTGGACTACCAACCTGAAGATCCAGGGTTAGAATGGATCTTCAGCAACCCACACGATGATGCTTGTTGTGAGAGGCAACTAACTGGATCAGGTGGTCAGGCTTGGTTGATGGATGTCATCGTATCCCAAATGCATGGATCGATGCTCATGATGTAAATTGTCTGGTCCAGACTCGATTATTGGCAGACCGCCATCATATGGTTGGAATATTTCTGAGTGCAGAGTTAAACAACAAACAAATAAGCTGCTGACAACACATAAAGGTGAGCTACATTGCTGTGGCACTGTTTCATCGCGAGTACAAGACAGGGCGTTAACAGAAAGGAGTAACTCTTTATTCAGTGAGAGTCTTGATAATCCTTTGAGTAAATTTCAGAGCTTTTCAATTAATTTTGTCTGAATTCAAAGTGCTTTAAGCCAATTAAGTATTTTTTTCAAGCAAGCCAGTCAGTTCTATTCTTTTTCAGACCTGTTTGGGATGCTATGGAACTCAACTCCCTAAAGATGATTGTGTATGATGATATTCATGGAAGGTGATGCATTTTTGTAAACAACCCAAATTTGTTCAAATAATGGGGACATACATAGCTTTCTTCCACATGTTACGAGACATAGAGTTAGAGTTAGTGAGTGATAATTACAGCTTGAGAATAATTGACTTTATGCCATCAAAGCAATTCACGCCCACTGAGTTTGGCTTTACACCGCTTTCAGCAATATTCCAGCAATATCATGGCGGGGGACCCCAGAAATGGGCTGCATACATTGTACCCATGTTGGGAATCGAACCCAGGCCTTCGATGTAATGAGCAAACACTTCAACCACTGGGCTACCCCACCGCACCATCCATGCTTAGAGCATCACCCAGGTGAGTAAATGTTTTTTATCCCATGGGTGCCAGACAAGGTTCATGACTAGTTATTGGTTCCACTGGATTAGATAGACATAAAACAGACTGCTCCATCTACATATTTACAAACACATCCAATAACCTTGATCATATTTATTTGTTTGTTTGTTTGTTTGTTTGTTTATGCTTCAAGTAAGTTGCAAGACATGGCAGGAGTGGTTTTCATAGCAATCTGCAATATTGAGCTGTATGACTGCAGCCTGTAAACAATCCATTCATGACCAGACAAACCAGTGATTGCTAGCAATGTCAAACATCCTTACAGAACAATGACAAATACTCAACCAAGTCATGGAGCCTGACCACCTAATCTGTTTAGTCGCATCTTGCCACAGGCATAGGTTGCTAAGGTCCTACCAAGAATCCCACAGGGTAATCGCCTCTGGTACATGATACAGTAACATTAATATATCAGGCTAACAAATACAGCATATTACAGTGATTGAACTCTCATTTACAAGATTAAATTGAGTGAGTGAGTGAGTGGTTCTGATTGAATGCAGCTTCAACCATTACTTCATTTAGGTCATACCATTTATACCAGAGAGGCGGTCAGGTAGCCTAGTGAGGTGAGGTGAGGTCAAATGGGGTTTAACGTCACGTCCAAGATTATTGCACTTATATAGCGACATGCATGTACGTGTGTGTGTTTGTGTGGCTGCTTGTACTAGTCCGGACTGATGCCGATTTATTGTGCTAGCTCACTGAGATACCATGCCACAGTTTAAGATGAATACCCCACTCAGACACAGTAAACTGACTCCGAGCCGACCAGTCCTTGTTTTAGCCCCTTAATGCCGAGCGCCAGACAAGGTAACAACAAGTTTAACGTCTTTTGGTATGACGCGGTCAGGGATCGAACCCCTGACCTTCTGCTCTCCAGGCGGACGCTCTACCACTAGACCACGGAGGTGGTCGGTTAGCCTAGTGGTTAGGGCATTTACTCGCCACGCTGAAGACCCGGGTCAGCTGGGAAGAAAGCCTTAAGTGATGCAGATCTTAGATCCTTGCCATGCATGTGAAACACGCAATCACAGGTATAATCAATCTAGGATCATAATCAGGAATATAAACCCACAAACACAGGATCCTAGCACACCAAAGGGACTCAACTTTGGAACTCCGAGTGTACTCTAAAATGTTGTCTGTTATGTCTAAATCATTAATCATAATCTGACATTTTTCAGCTGATATATTCATTCCTGAATATGTGGTTGCTTGATGTGGGTTTCTTGGCAACAGTTCAACATATTTCAAAATTTGCTTGCAACATAATCAGTTACAATGACTTTTACAGGGATTTTATCAATGAAATCTGAGGTAGAAGAACAGGTTTTTCTTCTATGAAAAGCTTTTGATTTGAAAAATGACAACAGCCAAGGTTGTGTCAGTTGTCAGGATTTCACTATGACATTTTTTATCTAACAGGCCAAAACGCTATTTAATTGTTAGCCAGTTTAGGATCTTTTAAATAAAATATTTAATGTAAGGACTGTGGGAAAAAGAATATTTTAATATTCTTGTGTCCACTGTATTTCTACATATTTCTATACCATATTTTTGGTAAAATTGTACACTTACTATGATGAGGAGATATCTAAATTCATTGGCGTTTCGCCAATCCAATTGATTTTTTTGTTGTCCATGAAGCCTTTCCCCTGGAATTACCAATATTCCAAACAACGCTGTGACAGCATACCTGAGTCAGGTCACTTAAAAAACACTTGACCTGTCACACAACTGATGATAAAAATTTACAGGTTATAAACAGAAATTTTGAAAGTAGTTGGAATGACATCATCAATCACTGTTATCAACTGGTCTGTTCTAATTTCCCAATATGATCTTGTACTTCCTCCTGTACCAAAATCCGTTCTTCTATCTCCTGCTTTACCACAAACTGTTCTTTACCTTCCTCCTGGACCAGAGTCTGTTTAACCTCCAGCTTTACCACAAACTGTTCTTTACCTTCCTCCTGTGCAAGAATCTGTTTGCCTTCCTCCGGTTTTACCACAAACTGTTCTTCTACCTCCTGTTTTACCACAAACTGTTCTTTACCTTCCTCCTGTGCCACAAACTGTTCTTCACCTTCCTCCTGGACCAGAGTCTGTTTAACCTCCAGTTTTGCCACAAACAGTTCTTCTACCTCCTGCTTTACCACAAACTGTTCTTTACCTTCCTCCTGTGCCACAACCTGTTCTATGACCTGTGGCATTACCACAAACTGTTCTTCACCTTCCTCCTGTGCCACAACTTGTTCTTTTTCCTGTGGCATTACCACAAACTGTTCTTTACCTTCCTCCTGCTTTACCACAATCTGTTCTTCTACCTGTGGCATTACCACAAACTGTTCTTTACCTTCCTCCTGCTTTACCACAATCTGTTCTTCTACCTGTGGTATTATCACAAACTGTTCTTTACCTTCCTCCTGCTTTACCACAAACTGTTCTTCTACCTCCGGCTTTATCCCAAACTGTTCTTCTACCTCCAGTTTTGCCACAAACAGTTCTTCTACATCCGGCTTCACCACAAACTGTTCTTCACCTTCCTCCTGTTCCATCATCTGTTCTTTCTTTACAACTATATGTTGTACTTCCTTCTGTGTAGCAGTCCTTTTCTGGGTACTTGAAATAAGACTTGATAGAGTTAGGCCCCTCTCTCTACCATCCCACCTTGGGATGTCTTCTGATTGCTCTACTTCAGCAGCTGGTGTAAAAGCCCTATGCCTTGAACTTGAAGGGATAGAACCCCTGCAAAAAACATTTAACGAAGGATCTATTTGTTTTCCTGCTTCAAACATTCTTCGGGCCACTTCTGAATGTGATGGTTTGCCCTCACTCGACTTTAATAGGGGTTCTTTTACAACTGTATACAATTTCTCTTTTGTCTGTTTTGCTTGTTCATATCTTCGAAGAGGAGTTAGAGCAGATTCTATTCTTGGTCTTCCCCTGTGTCTTTCCCTATTTGGGGTAGGGTCTTCGTTTCCATAAACCCTGCCTCCAATTATTTCTGGAATAAAGTAGTAAAATTTCATTACAGCCATTAAAAAATGTTATCTTACTCAACCGACAAACAAAAACCCACAGTATTTAACATGATAAAAAGATTCATAAATCTATCTCACAATGCATCATTAGCACTTAATGATTTTATAGTCCGAGATAACATGTCGCAGTTTAACATGAATACCCCACTCAGACAAAGTGTCCTTGTCATCCAGTCCTTGATTAGCCCCTTAATGCAAAGTGCCAGGCAGGGTAGCAACAAGTACCATGTTTTAATGGGATGACACTGCCAGGGATTAAAACCCCGGACCTTGCGCTCTCCAGGAAGGCGTTCTTCCACTTGACCATAGGGAGGGGCCTCCTTAATATGATTTTACAAGGGTTACAGGATGGTATGACCATGAATTCACTACAGAAGGAAATGGCTGTCACTTATCAAAATGAAATATTCAGCTTAACCAAATAATACTGTTTTCAAAGATAGGCAGAGTACTGCATACAGGCACACCTGCTGCACCAAAAAAATAATCTTCAGTAGTCCTACCCTTATACTGAATATAACAACAGTCAGGATAACATGTCCCCAAACCATCATGTTACCCAAACATTTCAAACTACAGTAAACTAAAGGTTATAATGAACTCAAATGGACCACTAATTTTAGTTCATTACAACGGTAGTTCGTTATAAGCATATATACGAGGGCTGCAACGAATACGAATATTTATTCACGAATACAATAAAAAGTAAGCAGTTGATGTATTATTTGTTGTATTCAGTGAAAAATAACAACATAAAGTATTTGACATGATTTGATAATTATTAATATACAGTATTATACATTCACATACTGCACTTATCCAGGTACTGGTATCTGCTCAAATACGACAATGACGAGTGACCACAATACTGTCAAATTAAATATATGAGTGTTGTCTTTAAAGAAATCTTTGAATGTTATATGTTCTTATGGATATTTGTAGGTACAGGGAATGTAAATGTACATGACTGCGTATTCATAAATATTCGATTCCAGTGACCACGAATAACGAATTCAATTCATGAATGTATACGGTTGGATTCACCAAATACGTGAGTGAATCGTAACAGCCCTAATATATACAACATCTTTTCAGGAAATGGCTGGGACCCAAAATTATGTTCGTAATATCCGTCAGTTTGTTATAAGCATGTTCGTTATAAACATATTTTTCTGTACTTGATTTCGTTTGTCTGTTGTCAATATTTCTCAACAATAAATATGAGTTAAAATACATCAATGAAAACTAATACTTGAAACTTGGTTTCTCCTTGTTCCACTGCTTCCCCTAGTCTGTTCTGCTACTTGCACTCCTCCAGGTGGTCTAACCTGTTTAAAGGTTATCTTCCTGGCACTTGAGACAGGAATTGTCGGAGTCAAATCTCTGGTTCTCTGTTTTCCACCACTTCTTGGACCCACTTCTCCAGCTAGTTTTACTGCTTTAATCTTGGTGCTCATAGGGATAGAACCCCTGACCATCTGCAGAGAAGGATCAGTTTCTCTTCCTGCTTCGAGGACTCTTCGGGCCACTTCAGGATCTGATTCAGTGTCTGGTCCAGTTATAATTGTGCAAGATGCTTCTTCATGTTGTTCCTCTTCTGACTGCTGTTCTTCCCCAGTGTACTCTGATATGGGTTCTTTTACAACAATTTTATACAGTGTATGTTTTGCTTGGTCATTTATCCGGTAAGGACTCTTTTTTTCCCCCGGACCTCTGGAAAGACAAGACTCATCAGGATACACATGTACCATTAGGACTCCCGACTGAAAAGGCTGGTCTCTCGTCTCACTCCTCCTCTTACACTCTGGTGGAACATCTGGCGTCAGGTGACAGGATCCGCTTCTTTTTCTCCCTGATCCTGAAGTTTGAAGAAATTGTTTCTCTGGACTGCTTTTTCCGCATTCTGCTTCTGTGTTTTGTGTTTCCAGTAAAGGAAGAACTGGGAAATTGAAATGTTGGATATCTCTGTGTGTCCCTTCATTCACTGTTCGTTTTCCTGCTTCAGGAGTTGACTCAGTATCTGGTTCAGTTTTAACTGAACAAGATGCTCTTTGACATCCTCCCTCTTCTGACTGTAATAGAGGTTCATATTTATACAGTTTCTCATTTGTTTGTTTCACTTGTCCATCTATTCGCTTTGGACTCTTTTTTTCAACATGTCTCCTGGGTTCTTTCTTTGGACAGCTCATTTCATTCTCCAATTCTGTTTCTTTCTTTGGCGTTTCCACTAATGGGGGAACTGGGAAATCTTTAAGTTGCCTACCTCTTCCTGCTCCTGTGTTCAGAAGAGATTGTTTCTTTGGATTGCTCTTATCAATATCTACTGTTTCTTCTTGTATTGTTTCTATTAAAAGAAATGGATATTCTTTGGGAGGTCGACCTCTTGCTATTCTGACAACAGCTTTATGTGAGTCATGTTCACAAGGTCTACCTCCTGCTCCTTCTGTAACAGTCATATGTGAGTCATGTTTACGAGGTCTCCCTCCTGCTCTTCCAGCAGCAGCCATATGTAAGTCCCGTTTACATGGTCTCCCTTTTCTTCTGCTTAGTAGACACCCCCTAAGATTCTTTGCCCTCTAAGTTTCTAAGGCTCTTCTGCAGAAGCCCCATGGCCTCAAATTTGGCCTGCTGTTTCTTCTCCTTTCATACAAGGTGTCCAGTTTACACCCAAAGAAATCTGCAAATGTGATGTTAAAAAATTACACATATATTCATAAGAACTTGGAAGAGTGAGTGAGTGAGTGAGTGAGTGAGTATGTTTTTAGGCCGCTTTTAGCAATATTCCAGCAATATCACGGCTGGGGACACCAGAAATGGGCTTCACACATTTTACCCATGTCGGGAATCGAACCCGGATCTTCGGCGTGACGAGCGAACGCTTTAACCACTAGGTTACCCGACCGCCCCGAACTTGGAAGAAGAGAATTAAAGATATTTCCATATAATAAAGAATGCCTTGTCTCTGGCATTATTTATTATAATTTCAGTTGCTTTTATATGAGGGCTCGGATGGGTAGCTTGGATAATCCACTGTATGAGACCTACAACGGGTAACTGGGTAGGGTCTGATATGGTACCAGGTGCCGGGTAGTCAATTTGAACTCGTCCCATTTCAAGAAGGTATAATATATTCTCACGTACCCCATTTTTGAACAGTTAAGACGACATTGCTGAAATTTTGAGGGATGGCTGATTGAAAACTTAAATTTTTGTTCATACCGGTAGGGGATGTCTTTAACAATGTATCTCACCCATATTCTTAGAAATAAAAGATCCATGATAAACAGTGACATCAACAATGTCCTGTCTGTAAACTTACACTGCACTCAAGGGGTTGTAGTCAAAACAGCCTCATGTCAGAACGGCCTCAAAAGGTAAAGTCAAAATAGCCATCACACCTGTCTTCAGGAAACTGCAAAAGAAGGCCTTCATCTACAAGCTGCAGTCCCTGAACCACTGCTTCGAATGCTGTTATGACTTTTTGGGGGGCCATTTTGACAATAGGTTGTTGCCTTTCTCACTATTTTCTGTGGTTGTTTTGACTTTACCTTTTGAGGCCATTTTGACCCGCTCCCTACTCAAATGACATCACCTTTTTTCGAACACCTGATTGGTTTGGTACTTCAGAAGGGTTTCCATGAACAGCCATGTTTGAGTGCACAGTCCTCAACATAATTTTTGCAGGTCAGATACTCAAATAGTAATTGAAAAAAGTTTGAAAACTATTCACAAATTATGAATGTTGTCAGAGTATAGTGTGTTTTACTCTTCCTTTTCCTGATCACAGTGAGTGAGTGAGTGAGTTGGGTTTAACGCTGCTTTTAACAGTATTCCAGTAATATCACGGCCTGTCAGTTTATTGTGGGAGGAAAGCCCGAAGTGATGCAGGTCTCAGACGTTTACCACTTCTGTGAAACCCATGAGCACGGGTATGGTGCTGACAACCTAGAAACATAATCGGGGCGAACCGGGATTCGAACCCATGATCATAGGTTTCTGGCATGTCCAAGAGATGCAACTCTGCACAGAGAATTGTGGCGCTTTAGACGACTGGGCCACCCGTGCCCCCTCATGATCACAGGCACCAATAGTCTGAATGATGAGGGGCTGTACGCTCTGATAGGGGAGGTGAAATTGGGTTTAACGTTGAGTCCAAGATTATTGCACTTATATAGCAATGTGTGTGTGTGTGTCTGCTCGTACTAGTCCGGACTGATGCCGATTTATAGTGCTAGCTCACTGAGGTACCATGCCGCAGTTTACCATGAATACCCCACTCAGGCACAGTATACTGACTCCAAGCCGACCAGTCCTTGTTTTAGCCACTTAATGCCGAGTGCCAGACAGGGTAACAAAAAGTACCATCGTTTAACATCTTTTGGTATGACGCAGCTGGGGATCGAACCCAGGACCTTCCACTCTGACACTAGCCCACAGTGGCGGTCTGGTTCTGATGAACCCAATGTTGACAGGCCGGAAGTGTGCTCTGTCATGTCAGCAGCTTTGATGATGTCACACCTCAGATCTCATTATAATGCAACAAATCACTAACAATATGACTGTTTGAAAACAGCTGTCTTTCAAAAACAGGCTGGGTACTTGGCGATGTATTTAATAAAGGCTAAATAATGGAATTTGTCGTAGTACATCTGAACAAATTTTCTTCTTCTAATAATTAACTCTTGTTCACGCAGATCCAGCTATTCATAGACCAGTGGTTTTAAATTCAGTGATATAACTTGCTATGTGAATGAGTGTGGTTTTACGCCGCTTTTAGTAATATTCCAGCAATATGACAGCAGGAGGACACCAGAAATGGTCTTCCCACATTGTACCCATGTGGCAAATCGAACCCGGCACGGGTCTTCAGTGTGACGAGCGAACGCTCCATCGCCCAACTTAGTATGTTGTGACAATGAGAGAATATAGATACAAGTGGTCATAAGTGGCTGTGGCAATGATAAAAAAACTCAGAAGATGTGCTGTATGTGCTATTTGATATCAGTGCAAATATCTGACTATCTACTACATAAATCGTTATTATCTTTATCATAAATATACGGTGCCGTTTTCGCTTGACCTTCCGTGGTCGTTTCGTAAAAACCGTGCCGTTTTGCTTAGATCGTTTTAGCCTTCGCGCAACCAAGCTAACCCAAGCGGAAGTTACGGATGCATACGCAGCCCTATCAATCTGTCATACAAAAGAAACCCATTCGTAATTACAAGTAGAAAAGCAATCAACTCCTTCCATATCGCTATTCTTACATTTTTCTTTCTCTGCATATGACACGTACTATTGGGAACGTTTGATTCACTGCTTGTCCTTTGTAAGTCGACACTCAAGCTCCTCACAGTGATAGCCGGCTCGCTATACTATGTTACCGAGTGTGTGACGATGGTGTCGCGCGCTGGGAAGGAGCTTGGCCTTCAGCAACCCATGTTTGCCGTAAAAGATAACTATGCTTGTCCGAAGAGGCGACTAACGGGATCGGGTGGCCAGACTTGCTTCTGACTTGATGGTTGATGCATGTCATCGTATCTCAATTGCGTGGATCGATGCTCATTTCAATCACTGGATTGTCTGGTCCAGACTCAATTGTTGACAGACTGTCGTCATATGGCTAGAAATTAGCTCAGTGTGGCATTTAACAACAAACAGAACAGGTGCTTTGTCTTGAAGCTTGTGTTTTCTCTTTTAACTCGCATAAAATGTTGCACATGTATGGGTATTGCTATTTTATTTGAAATGTCCAAATATCTACCTGGACCTTGTCACCAACCATTTATCCCCATCCTCACATTAACTAATCATTTTTTTACCTGGAAGGTGAAAAACTGGGGGAATTGCAGGAATAACTGAAGACCACTGCCATGACAACTATGTTATTATATTATGTATGAGTAACTTTTATGGCAGGACTACGATCTGTGGCAGATTTAGGGGTCAACTTTATTATGTCATCTAACAAAAAGAGTAGATTTCACACTCCACGTATTGGTGATTTAGCATAATAATGTAACCCTATTTTTTCTCCTAATAAGCAACCAGACTAACTTCTCAACAAATCTTTACATATTCTTTCTAAACCCCCCAAATTACATCACAGACCAGATTTTGTTGTGTACAATACTTCTTTAACTGAAAATCTTTCAATCAGGGATAAAAACGTTATATTGAATTAAAGCTTTGTGACATCCTATCAGTATGTACACCATCAGTTAGAACCTAGTCCTGTATCAAGTTTTCCTATGAATGTATTCTCAATTTCTGTGACAATTTACCACAAATATTCATTAAAGTGTTATTAAATACCTCACGACCATGTGTAGCTTCATGAATAAATGTTGGACGTTTGCTTTGTCTGCTTTTACAAGTCATGTCCTACACGAATATATGGACTGTTTCAGCAATAATCCATAATCCAAACTGTGTGTCCAAATAGTTCTGTGAGGCTAATTCTGTTTCTGTATACAATATATGGAAATATAACACAGAAGACACAATTGGATAATGTATGTGCATATCTGTGACTTCTTGTGGCCCACTTAATGTTGAACCTGTCTCTAACTTGAAGAATTGTAATCCTGTAAAACCTTGCATAGTATAAAAAATAATGAATATCAAAACTTTTGTGACAAATACAATTTTTCAGTCAGTGGATGAGAAAAGCTGACATTTAGAAAACAGACTTTTCTCATTTGCTCAATGAAATAGTATGTGTCTGAGACAAACTAAAGTTGTCAGTCTCACAATCCCTGGACCATAATATTTCCCCTCCCGCCCCACCTTATTGTAATGCAAAAGTTCTAAATGAAGCAAGTCCCCTAATTCTGAATTTCCCATCTCACTGGGGCTCCTTTTCAATTTGAATAGAGTAGTTCGTTTCTTTCAAAATGATATGTTGTCAGAGACTAAGCATTAAAATTTAGTCTGACATTTCTGACTTCGTTGCAAAGGCACAAAAGTCCATTCACCAAGTCCCAGACAAATTATTTTCCATTTGATTCCAATACCATGCAGCTGCAAGGAACTTCTAGCTTTGACAGAACCATTGCTGATATGTATGATAATAAATAAATAAAACAAACAGGCAGATATTTCACTTGAAGCTTTATTACTGGTGGACTTGCAGATTTTGTACAGGGCTGGCAACTATAGCAAAATTATTTGACATAAATTCAATTGAGACCTTCATGAAGAATGTCTTACATTGTTCATTATTTGGAAATCAGCAACATCACTAAAGTTCAAGTTGGTTATTCCCATGCAGATACCTAACTGACAACTTTCACTGCACATCCCATGGATAGCCAAAATGATACTTCATCTGTTGTTCCATTGCCTGTGAAGGTGTTGGACTCCATTCAGTCACTCTAGTGCATACATAAAACATTCTTCACACATTCGCTTCAACCACATCAGATGAAATATTGTATTACAAATGATTTTAAAATGGGATACACAATGATAGTAAGTACTCATGCTTGACAGAATCTTTCATCTGAAATCAAAAGCCTTAAAAGAAATACTCCATGAAAATTACACAAATATGTAGGACATGCAATAGCTTATTAATCAGGAATGATAAGATTGAGTGAGAGAGTGTTTCAACACCTCTTAAATAGTATTCAAGTTATATCACGGGCTGTCAGCTTGATGTTGGAGGAAAGCCAGAAGAAATGCAGGTCTCATATGTTTACAACTTTTGCGAAAACCTGAGCATGGGTATGGTGCTGACAAACCTAGAAACCCAGTCGGGACAAACCAGGATTCGAACTCATGTTCACTGGTTTCTGGTGTGCCAAAGGGACACAACTCTGCACATCAAATTGCAGCACCAAAGATGACTGTACCCCCGGGTACCCTCCCCCCTCCCAAAGTTTAAATCGAACACATCAACAAAGATGACTTGACATACAAATATCTTAGAAACACATTTCATTTTTAGCATGTCTCCTGACATCAGCTGAATTTTTTAATACTAAGGTGTTTTTAAAGTGCCTCAAAATTTAACGTCATATTTGACCATACATTTCATTTATTGTTGTTACTGTACCATACACAGAAAGGGAGGATATTTTTCTTCCCACTGAAAAAGTAACTTTATGAAAAAGGCTCTTGTGCTATTTACATAAAACATATTGGGATCACAATATCTTTCATAATGAAGCCCTCTTGGTGTCTTATACTTCCAGTTGCATCCAAGGCTCCAACATGTAAATCATTTGTGTTTCTACCTCTCTGAAAAATCTGGTAGGTCTCCAGGAAGTCATTTGATATCTATTTGGGAAAATGAAACCCAGCTGTGTGTACAATGGTATAGGCTTAATCATAATAGTGTTTATTAGTAATGTAAAAACCCACACAATTTAGGTCATTACCAATATGTCTAACATTCAGCTAAAATACACCATTAAAGATTGTGTCATCCAAAAAAAAAGAAAAAAAAGAAAGAACAAAAAAAGTAATCCTGTGATTGTTACAATTTGACACAAAAATATGTGTTGCTGTAAAGCTTGAGTGAATTATTGCATTCATTATTTTGTACCACTTCACCGTTTCCCCCTTTAAGAACACAATATTCCTGGCTGTCATCAGTGTAAATAAAACACTGAAGCAATGTTGGAAATTACCTTCTCCCACTAAATCTTTTCAAATGGACTTCTAAGGTTTTTGAAATTTTACTTTTTTTAAACTTTGATATCGAAGGCTGACTGCTACAATAATTCAATTTACTTGATTAAATTGAATGAAACAAATTAACACCATAAAAGAGCATGAATATTCAATTTCAACATAATCTCAAAAGTATTTGTGTCTGAATAAGACTTGTACACATACATTTACCCAAAACAAGTAAAACAGGTGTTCCTAAAACAGATAATTACATTTTGTAACAATAACAATTCTATTTACATTCAAAGCCAATTATCAGGAAAATAACAGGTCAATTGTCTGTGATGGATGCTATGATACAAGTGAAGCTGTGCATGTTCAGTTATTCACAGTAACTAGTTTGAATAACACAATAAACAAGTTTTTGAAAGGGAATATTAATACAAATAAGATCGAGCAAATGCAAGTTTTGAGATAATGTCTCGTTAGTGTTCAAAAGCATAATAAACTGAAGACAACACGTCAAACTTCTTTACAAATTATATGTGACTGACATCTCAAGACAACAGCAACTCACTGCCCACTTTTAACTACTGGTGCTACCATGTCTACTGGCTACATCTTCCATACTCAGGTATTTATTTCAGCTTTTTTTACATGGGCATTTAATCGGTTTGTGTTCATGTAGTGTTCTGTCTGCCAATGGAATTAAATAAAGGAACAGTTTCAGAGGTGAGCATTTGCTTGTAATGATATTACTGTTTTGTGTGTGTGCATGTGCGTGCACACACATATATACATACTGAAGATATCCACTTTGGGCAATGTCTTTACAAACTGGGCACTTAATTTCAAATGGAACATTTATACAGAAGCACATTACTTTTTTTTTCAATGTGTTCCTTCATTCTATTCCATCAGTGAACAATTGTTTTCCACACAAGAAAATCCAAAATACACATGTTATGGTGGTTTTAAATGACTGGACTAGACACTCTCTTTTGATCTACCATGGTCATAAAGAGGCTTGAAACTACCACTTTCGGTAAAATCAGTACACTGAATCATAGTTTAGCTTTTTACTGCTTGTACAGTCGTACAAGTCTAACGTTCACGTTAGAAATGAGAATATACAACAGGACACTCCTGTTCCTTCACCCCATAAGTGGCACACTGTTGTGTCCTCTCAATGGCCTAGATCAGATCACGTGTGTTTATTAGGATGTCCCCTGGTTCTCCCGACAAGTTAGTTGTTCCTCATCACATTTACACAAGCTGATGGCTTGGGTCAGTCACAGATGTAGACATCCAAGAACACAATCAATTTCATTTCATCGCCATAGCGATAAATTCATTTCTCCAGCAACATTCAGCCAACGGTAGTATCTTCTTTGATCACCATACTCCTGAAAAAGGAAAAGATGGTTCTGTTAGCATGAAATGAGACATAACCAGTAATACAATAGCTGCAAGATTTGCAGGTTAAGAAATATTTTAAGGAGTTTCATAACACTTGTTACTGTTCTGAAGATGATTGCAGCTATTCTGATGTAATGACTAAAGGAGGGTTGGTTCATTTTCTATCTAAAATGTCAACAAATGTGTTCAATATAGTAACACATATCCCATTGCCTGCAATGCCATTTGTCTCTATAACATTTGTGTCTGAAACAATAAAAAACACTAAAGACCTGAATTGCATGTTCAATCCAACAAGAATCTTGCTATTCCAATGCATCAAAACTCTTCACACAGATGCTTGCACAAACTGAGAAACTAGGGATGGGTATTGGAGGTTTAAAGTATCACAATATCTTAGGATGCACAAGGCAGTATTGCTATACGTATCACAATATATTGTATAATTCTGAAGTTTGGAATTCAGAAGCAATTTTAAACTCCAGTGTATGAAGTTCATAAAGGTAACAAACAAGATGCTGGTACAATGTAATGTTTACTGATTCAATAAATATGTATAGATCCACTCTCCAGGTATTTGGCAAGTGTATAACATTCATCACATGATAAAAATTGCTATTTGTAATCGCCTAATATACTGAGCATTAAGTGAGTGAGTGAATATTGCTTAACCCCGCATCAGCAATTTTGCAGCTATTCATGGCGAGCACTGAGTATTAAGAAATGATAGTGATATGTATCACTGAAAGAGAGAACATCAACTTACCAAAATACCATTAAAACACACAACCTTATGAGAAACAGTCCCAAAACAGATTTAGAGTAACTTGGAACAAAACAATTTTTCAAACAAAAGGACATTTTAAGAATTAATAGATCACTCATAAGCATATTGCTACTAACCTAGTTTTGCATTGTTGTGTATATAGTTGTAGCAGCATTTGGATCATCGGCTGTTGGCTGCATGGCAAATTGTACAGGACCATCTTGCTCGACAATAGCATGGGTAACTTCATTTGGATCGGCAGCCTGGACGATGATGATGGTTTCCTGACCTCCCTCAGTCTGGAGGGTAGTGAACGCCTGGCCCTGAAGCATCTGGGTGGCATCATTGACCACAGTGGCATAAGTGCCATCACCCACTGCAGTGTAAACTGTCGTAGTTCCATCCTCGCCATCTTCCCCTTCTTGGGTGAGGGTAATAGTCTGCTCCATGGCTGATGCCTCTTCTGGATCATCCGGCACCTCCTCCTCGATCTTCTTGATGTAAGCCTGCATGGCCTTGGCAGCTTCTCCGTGAGCAACATGTACTTTTCCGATGTGTTCCAGAAGGAGCTTTTTACGTTTGAAGGTCTCGTGACACATGTCACACATGTATGGGGAGAGCTTCTTGTGAACCAGCTGAATGTGAGACATAAGGTTGGATTTGTTGTTGAAACATCGTCCACAGTCATTGCATTTGTGAGGCTTCTCTCCAGTGTGGATAAGCATGTGACGATCCACATGGTATTTTTTCGTGAATCTTTTCTCGCAAACTGAGCAAATGAAAATCTTCTGATTTGGGGATTTCCAGCCTTCATGGACACGTTTTGTGTGACCAATCAAAGCTCCTAGCGTCTTGAACGCAGCTTTGCATGTATTGCAGAGATACTGTCTGGTATGGAGATGCATGCCCTTGATGTGAGTGTTCAGGTTGCCTCGGAATGCTGAGGTATAGTCACAGTGGGGACACTTGTAAGGCTTTCTCCCAGAATGAACTGTGCGCATGTGAGAGCTCATTCCTGTCTTAAGGACAACCTTTCCACAGATAGGACAAGGAATCTGCATTCGGTTCTGCTGGTGCAATTCCATGTGCCGTTTCATGTTCTTGGTGACTTTCCCACATTCTCCACAGGTTTCACCAGAGTCATCAACACCTTGAGTGGACACCTTCATGATCCTTTCTCTCCATTTAGCATTTCTCATTTCTTCATCGAAGTCAGGCTCATCTTTATGCTTACTCTTGATGTGCTTCACCAGGCCAATAAATGCTCGGTCGCAGAATGGACATTTCAAAGCTTCCTCCGTATTTCTCTTGATGGATTTTCTCCTTGGCTCAGTATCTTCAAACAAACTAATGTCATCTTCCCTCCTCCGTCTCCTCCTGGGACTTTCTTCATCTTCATCCATCAAAGGATCTGTTTCTGCATCTATATTAAGAGGGCCAAACTTTTTCTTCTTTAATCGTGGATCAGTTTGTGTTTGTACAGACCTTCTTCCCGGAGATTCATAAATTGTCTCAACCTCAACAAAGTGAGCAGTTATGGGAGTCTGTGTTGCCTGAGTTGAGGACTTAAGATGATCTTCGTCATATTCATCTTCGTCAATCTGATCAATGTCATATATGTCATTGGATGCTCCTGCAAGGTCATCAAAGTCTCTCCTGCCTCTCTCTGGTGTAATTGGAGTAGTGCCTGTTTCCACAGAATGCTGTCTTGGAGTTTGAACATGAACTGTTTCTGTATCTTGCATCCCTGTTCCTACAGACTGGCTTGTTTCATGTATCTCAGGAACTACCACAATACCTTCTTCTTCTTCCTCTTCCAATATCCCCTCCTCCTCCTCTTCTTCTTCTTCTAGTTCTTCTTCTATTTCTTCTTCTACTTCCATTTCCAAAGGTTCTTGCTTAACACTCTCCTGACCCTTTGCTTTCTTTCTTGCAGGAGTTGTTGGAGTTGCAACCTCAGTAGCCTCTGGTTCATCAGCATCTCTGGTTCTCTTTCTTCCACCCCTTCTTGGTGTTTCATCTGGTTCCTCCACTTCTGCAGATGGTGTTGGAGCCTTTTTCTGGGCACTTGATGGCGCAGAATCAGTTGATTTGGGTCTTCCTCTGCCTCTCTTCAAAGGAGTATCCTGTTGTTCATCTTCTTGAAGCATTTTTCGGGTGACATGAGCAGATTGCTCAGCAACTTGCTCTTTAGATGCCCGTCCTGATCTTCTTTGACTTCTTCCTTCCTCCACCTGTGGTTGGGTTTCCTCATCAGTTTCCACACCAGTGTCTGTAACAATCACTTGAACCAGCTCTTCCCTTCGGGGCCTTCCTCTGCTTCTTTTGGCAGGTACATCCTCTACATCATGAGGAATGATCTTTGTTAATAATTGAACAGATTTACTTTCATCTTCCCCTTGCTTTTTTCTGCCTCGTTTGGGGGTTTCCTCTTCCTCTTCAGGTTCTGGAGCAGTTTCCTTTTTTTGTCTACCCCTCTTTCCTTTACCTTCAGTCGGAGTATCCTTACTTGGTGTTTCAACTGCTTGAGTCTCTGTTGTATCTCTACGGGGTCTGCCTCTTCCTCTTCTTGGAGTTGAAGTTTCCTCTGTCTGTGCAGGTTCTTGGGACTTTTCTTGTGGGATTTCAATTTCTTGGGTTTCGGTTGTATCTTTTCGTGGTCTTCCTCTTCTCTTTGGAGTGGCTACCTCTTCAGCTGGTGGAGTTTCTGGCTCTGGTTCACTTTCTTTTACTTCTCTCTTTGGTCGACCTCTTCCTTTTTTCTCTGGTTCAGGTTCAACAGGTGTGTCTTCAGATTTTTGTCTTCCTCTGCGTCTTTTCTCTGGACTAGTAGTCTCTTCAGGAACATCATTTGCCTTAGGCTCCTCGACCTTTTTCGCAGGACGGCCTCTTCTTCTGGGTGTTGTTTCTTCAACTGTCTTCTCAGGAACAGCTTCTGGTTCTGCAACTTCTGTTTCTTTGGCTTCAGTTTCAGCTTCATCATCAACTGCTTGATTTTCATCAGCAATACCATCTTCAGTATCAATTTTCTGCGTTTCTGCATTTTGATCAATTTCTTGTATAGATGCTTTGGTCTGTGACTGCACCGTTTTCTCTAGTGTCTCTTGACCAGAGCTCTTTCCTTCAACAGACTGGTCATCCTTTGTTTCAACTAAAGCGCCATCTCCTTCCTGAAGAGGAACATATGTTTCTTTCACTATTGTTTCTTCTATAACTGGTTGGCGTTTGGAAACCTCCTCCTGACTTTCAGCTGTGAATGGTGTTTCCACCTCAGCCTCATCTTCGACTGCTTCTTCTTCTAAACTAATAATTCTAGTTTCGCCATCTTCCTCTTCTAATTCCTCTGTTTGAGCTCCCGTTTGGATAACAGTTTGCTCTGTTACTACTTGAGAGCCTGTAAACAAGTCCTGTTGACTAGATGAGGGGTTCTGGATAATGGTGATTGTGTCGGTATGTGGATCATGAATATACTGTCTTCCGGTTCCAGCTTCTGTGGTAACAATCTGAACCTGACCTTGATTCTCAACAATTTGAGCTCCCTCAGGTATAACCATCTGAACAACCTCACCTTGCTGCTGTTGATCTAATTGAAGGATAGCTTCAGCAGCAGCTTGGTTATCAAGGGAAGATCCACCCTGAATGATACTAACACTCCCATCTCCAGATGCCAAGGCTACGCTTGTGGCTGTGCCAAACGCTGCTTGTGCAGCTGCTCCTATAGCACTGGGCTGTGTGGTCTCTAGAATTATTTGCTGGGCTTCAGCTCCATTTTGGTCTACAATCATGAACTGTTGTGTTTCAGTCCCAGTGTCGCCCTGCATCAGCGTCTTGGGCATCTCTTGAGTTTGTAGGACAACTGCATCCATGAGCTGGGCACCATCACCATAGCCACCAGCATTGGTCTCCCCTTCCATCGGTTGTGGTTGATTTTCCATCCTCAACTGAAAATAAAAGAAGGATCAATTAGGCATCCATGCGTTGCAATTTGCTTCCTCCTACTTACAGAGGTCAATATTCGATTCATTTATGCCTTTCAAAATAAGGGTCAATCTAAATGTTGACCTGTGGCCAGTTAAAATTACAAAGAGCTTGCTGTAAACGTAGAGTAGATGGCCTGTCTGGCTAATCAAAATTTCACCCCTTCTCTTTTTAAGTCTTTTTTTTGTTCAATTTGATTATCTCGGTAGAATAACTGATTGCCATTTCGTAATGTGTACAACAACATCATTGTTTGCTTATCAGTGATATATAAGTTTCCTATATTAACAATTTGCTGCAGGCTTGGGGACAAATATGAGCCTCTAACAAGTAATGATAACACCCTGGCAGCACCCATATTCTGCCTATTTTCAGACCTTCACAACTTGCAGAAAAGATAGAGAACCTGACATTTTACAAGGGCTCATTTCAAGTCATGGATACAATTGCAGCCACAATATTTCTTGTAAATTTGATTCCCCCCTTTGACAGTGTCCTCTGCAAGTGACACTAGATATATTATAATGCCTTACAATACTTTCTCTAATACTAGGAAACCGTGAACCTGTACAAAGAATTTCGTTATTTTACCAGCATGAAAAGATGTAGAGAACGATGAGCAGTAGACAAGAAGTCTAAGACAATCTCTTTGCTGCTGAACTGAAAATGCCAAGCAACCAGATCACCTGTGATGTAGTAAGGAAATCCTCTACAACTCTTCATTTGAGGTAGGTCAAATGATGACCATCTTCCCGAGGCAAGGGAGACTATTAAAAGTACAGGTTCCTACCCTTTCCGAACTAGGTTGGAATTATGTAGTGGTATTTAAGATCGACTACTGAGCCTATGCATAGTCCAATAAAAATTGTGTAACAAATTCAACTTCCGGTTTGTTAACTTACATACAAATTTCAGTCGATTGCAGGATTTGCAAAGCATGTTACCATCAACATGCCGGCAAAAAAGATTTTCCACATCTTTTCATGTTTTTAATCAGGGTGCTCACATGATTTGATGCACTTCGCAAAGTAAGACCCGGTTTATTACAATGTAGATCTTGATTATAGATCCAATCATCTTCGCTGGGCGCGGCCAATGTAAGTTATATGAGAGGTAGAATCTGATTGGTCAATAGGAGAGACATAACTCATAATAGCCACTGGTGGTGCTACAATTAAACCACAAAATTCCAGCCTAGTTAGGAAAGGGAGGAAACTGGATTTTCACTGTCAGTTAACACCCTTGCCTCAGGAAGATGATGGAAAATTATTTCATATGCTTGTATCACAAAACATTACACCTATCTAACCCCACTATTGCAGATCTCTACTTACAAGATGAGATTTTTCAGAAATTCCAACCTAGTTTGGCAAGGGTCGAAACAGCCTAGGGAAGATGATTTAGACCAAGAACAAAACAGTGAAAGCTACAAACATTATTGAAATTCAAATCATTTTCACCTACTTATGGCTGCATTGCTACACATCAACATTTAGTTAAATCATATCTGTATTTATTCTCTCAGTACAGACAACACTACAGACCTAATATGGAGCACTAATAGAGAAGGGTTGAAATTCTAATAAAAGGCTGAGTTGTGGACAATACCATATCAATTCAAGAGAGGTTAAAAACGTTAAAAGTCAGGGGGTTGAAGATAACCTTTGCCCAAATGGCCTCATATACAGCCACTTTTATGAGTCAGACAAGCTCTCACAACACTGATTTTAATAATTGATTTATGAAAACGATACGCATGTAATTTGGAGAGTGTCAAAATGTAAGGAACCATCCTCAACTTATTACTTCACGGTTGTGTATACAGTATTTCCTTCTGTCACCTGTGAATACATACAACCATGGGGTGAAGTCTCTCCTTTCAACCCAAGAATTGGACAACAGCCTCGTAATAGCACGGGGGGGGGGGGCACATACAAGTACTCAGGCCAATGAGTGTTCAGTTTACATTGCACAAACAACAATGTTTCTTTCTTGTTCTTCTTGTACAACATGTGTCATAGCCATGTGGAATCTACTATCTTCCCTACACATTAGCCAACTAAAACTAGATACATGTCACCAATACACTGCACATTGGCCCTGTGTATTCACAGGTCTTAGAATGTTGTGTATGGTCAGGGATTGACTTAAGCCGCTTTCCCGCAATATTCTCACATAGTTGGCATAGATATTGCATCAACATTCAATCGCACAGATCTTTTAATAGTTTTATCTGCATCAACACTCATTTTCACCTACAAAAATGAAAATGTTGTATTACTTGAATTAATTTATCTACGGTACCTATAAATGTCAATAAAAAAACTTACATGCTAGTTTTTTCAATCATCAAATGTTGTCAATCAAAACAGCGATTTGCGTACTTGCAACATTGCATGCTATGTCTTCCTACTCCTATATAACTGCATGGTGCTTTGCATCAGCTGACAATGGTGGCATGCGCAACATTTTTCTTATCCCCGATGGGCAAAACGAGTGTTTGTTTTTACAAACTTAACACTTTGGTAGCGCACAAAAATCTTATTCTGTGATCTACAACTCCGAGTCATTAAACATATTTTTTTAAGACTTAAATCCTAGCAGAAATCAAAGACGTTGATCTACATGTATGTGCATCCGTGCACAAAATCAAGAGAAAAAAGACAATCACGGGTAAAGTTTCAAAACACGAGCAAATTTCGATTTGGGAATGACAGCAAAGCAAAAACTAAATGAATATACATACAACTCTTTCTCCATAATAATCTACAAATTGCAGATCAGAAACAATCGTATATTAGATGAGATTCGCTGAGCCGGTGTCAGCAGGGGTGGAAGAGTTTTCATGAACATACCCTCGTGCAAGAATGGCCACCGTGCTTGAATTTTGAACTATTTCGAGTGGCCAAACAGCAAGTTGGGTTTAGATTTTTTAGATTATGCTATGATACATTGGCTTCCAAATGTGTCCATAAAAATTGAAAACTGTGACTTAACCATTGAAATGTAACTCATAAACATCGTGAATGTCAACAGTCTTTTAAACTTCTGGTTACTCGTGAACATTTTCTGGCTGCTGCACATGGCAAACACACCGCCTTCTGTGTGAAATAAATGACTAAATTGTTGCTAATTAAACAAGAGGGTGAACCTAGAGCAATAGTCATTGCATAATGAACTGCAGGGGTAGAAACTAAGATATTTAGTCCACTAGTCCTTATAATGATAACATATTGCAAAACCCTTAAAAATGTCAAATTTCTACTAGTCCTTAGGATACCTTAACTATTGGCCAGTTTGGCAAGGACTACAGGACTAGTGCCAATTTCTAACGCCGGAACTGTCACTTCTAATTAATTGAAAAGTCCATATTGATAAGATTTCATTTGATACGGTCAGAGACCCTGCCTCTGATATGGTACACACTTCAGACCGATATGGTACACACTTCAGACCGATATGGTACACACTTCAGACCGAAATAAGATGGCAAAATTGACGAAAGCACTGGAATATAAATAATATATTTTTGGCCAACAAACTGTAATACCATTTACAACAGTCGCTATTTCATGTCATCACTCTAAATATATTGAATTACGATCTAAACATACATTGTCAAAATTTGATAACTGCAGATTGTTGTCTCCTGCATGCCAACAAAATGCAACAGCTGACAGTGGTAAACATGCCTACCGGTACTAAACGATCTATAATTGTCCTCGCAAATAATTTCCCATCAAGTCGACAACGAACAGAAATACAGAAATATAGTGTAATTTCTCCTAAAGTAGACAATGAAGAGAAATATAAGTCGAATGTAAATTTGTGTTATTAATAATGCTAATAATTATAAATACATGTATTTGCAGAGGAATAATTAATGTTCAAAAATAGGATACTCGAGGATATATCTATATAATCTAGTAATATTACTTGCAACATTATTTGAGTCACAAGTACCAAAAATCAAATACAGTTTCCCCTGTGTGAAGATGAACTAGGCTGGAATTCCTGGGCTCGATCGTAGCACCACCAGTGGCTATTACGAGTTATGTCCTTTCAATGCCTCTCCTATTGACCAATCAGATTCAACCTCTCATATCACTTGCATTTGCTTCTAACAAAACGGTGGCGCCCAGTCAAAACGATCTGATCGATAATCAAGATCTATATTGTGATAAAACGAGTCTTACATCATGAAGTGCATCAAATCACGTGAGCACCTTGATTAAAAACATGAAAAGATTTAGAAAATATCTGTTGACAACGAGTTAGCGATGCACATGCTTTGCAAATCCTGCAGTCGACCGAAATCTGAATGACACTTTACGAACCGGATTTCAATTTCGGTGCGCGATTTTGATTGGACTATGCACAGACTCGTTAGTCCAGCCAAAATGTAACTCCATAATACCAGCCTAGTTCGGCAAGGGTGGAAACTGGACTTTATAGTCAGTTAACTCACTTGCCTCGAGATGATGGTTTGTTTGGGAGCACTGAATGTTTACACAGAATCATGTAATTAAATTAAGTTGATGCTTGAAAGACATGCGACTTCTAATTTCCAAGTTCCAACACACTTCAAAAGGTTACAACTGATGTGAATTGAAAGCAAATAAGACTGTTCACATTGCTTTTGATTCTTCAAATTACAACATTTACATTTCTTACGAACACTTTCATTTTCACAACAAACTCGGCAACAAACTTCTTGACAACTCTGCAAGTGATAATAAATGTCCCATAGTTTGATAATAAATTTCACAAGACAAACAACTCTATATTTTCTTGCGTATAATATCAATAAATATTTTTTACAGAAAATACAGCGATGTTGAAAGGGATGCATAGTATCATATTTCATCATACACACAAACATCAAGTTTTGACTCCTTCCAATGACAAAATGCACAATATTTTATGTAAACAAATTAAATTGTTTTGCTGTATACCATTTAGTCCTGTGGTATTTTGTATTTATAGCTAAATAATGTATGAACTACAGTACTGCATACAACAATTCTGTATTTCTTATGCATTTTATATTATTGCTACATCTAATTAATTATAGTGAATTTTGTTTTCGGACCTCTTGGTTTCAATAAAAAAGGACTGCCAATACCAAATATAAACAGCTTTATTGATTGTTTGAATTCATCTTTAACTTGTGACCACTAAATACACTACTACTTTTCCAAAATATGCATCAGCACTTATATTTGATCATTACACAGTGAGTGAGTGAGTTGGAGTTAACGCCGCTTTTAACAGTATTCCAGTTATATCACGGCGTGTCAGCTCAATGTGGGAGGAAAGCCCGAAGTGATGCAGGTCTCAGACATTTACCACTACGGTGAAACCCACGAGCATGGGTATGGTGCTGACAAACCTAGAAACATAATTGGGGAGAACCGGGATTTGAACCCACAATCACAGGTTTCTGGCGTGCCCAAGGGACGCAACTCTGCACAGCAAATCGCGGCACCTTAGACGACTGGTCCACCCGTGCCCCCCCCCGATCATTACACAGGGCATCAGGTCAGTTTATTGTCATTCAAAATGGCCAATGTGTTGTTTTTTTAATCCAAATTTGGTAATGACACAGAACAAGAATAATTTCCTGACAATTTGTTTAATATCGTGAAAGTTTCCTATGACATTTGGCTCAAGCAAAAATCTTTGGTGAAATGAATTGCCCAAAATGTGATTATCTGTTTGTTTCTAAACTAATACTTTTATTGTTAATTTCCATTTCATAAATGAATGCATCAACATGATCAAATTGACATGAAAACAATCTGGTTGTAAATTTGACACAAAATGTCTAAGGCTACATATATTAATAATTTATGTCCTTTTTAAATGGTTGTCAAAACAACTTAGGCAAAGGAAACCTGTCATAATTAGCAAACAAATATTCGACAAATGAACAATAATGCATTGGATGAAACAATTGTATGAGAATCCCAAAAGAGATCACTGCTAATAACTGATGTTCTAATAAAATAAAATTCATCTATTATCTTTCATATTCATACTTATTGTATATATAAAAACAAAGGCCATAAATTTATTAGACATAGCCTAGGCCGAGTATTCCGAAAATAACTAAATATTTTGCTATTTAAATGTTAACAAAAATAGTTTTCCGTGTACTGTGAAACATTCTGTCCTTTTCATTACACTTGTATAAACCATGTCTCGTTTCTTCTATGATTTGTTCCTATATCGAAAAAGTCTTATTCTTTGCCAGTCTCAAACTACCGAATGCTGCAGCAAATCACTTCCTCTCTCGCCTCGCGCGCTGGATCTTGCGGATTCTAGTCACATGACGCTAATAAAGCCCGACCTTGAACCTTTCGCAATTATTAAATATATTACAATGTATCTCCCATTCATAATTTCCCAAATCATTATGTGAATAGTGCTGGGTGAGTTAATACCATTTAATCATCAAACGAAGGGACATTTGTTATGGATGATTCAGGGGCACCTACTCGCAATTTTATTCCCTTTGCCGGGAACACATGCGCGATACCAGGCCAGACACTCCGCCATTTGTCCCTTTGTTGTCGTTTAGCCAAAACGACAGATATTTGCGCTTTTCTGAAAGCTTCTACTTACAAAAAGGAACTTTGCAAGCAATTACTGACAATGGGGCATCAAAGAATAATGACATTATTTACTTATCCTAAAAAATAAGGGGGCTAACTTATGAAAATTGTCGCCCCTGGGTTTTCCAAGGGCAGTAACCGTGTCGCCATTTTGAAAACCACAACATATCGCACGGCAGTGGTTATCGCCCATAGTGCCTAGGTTATCTCACGTGTGCCATTCGATTTTGTTAGCTAACTTACCCAGTGAGTCTTGTCATTCCAGGACGGTTTCCGTGTAAATATGTTTCAACAGTCCAATTCGATAGAGCCCCGATTTGAAGGAAATTTATGCAGCAACACTCTAGGTCAGCATTTTTTCCCTTTAGCCGGCTTGGCTATGCCATTCCCACAATGCCTCAGCGCGGATTCGTTATACTTCGGTAAACTCCGTAAGCCTCTCTCACTATCGACAGCCATGGTTCACATGTTTGACGATCGGAAACTTCAGATCGAAAACCCAACGAACTACTCCATCATTTAACATAATAGACTATCATTTCGTTTGTACACAACTCATCTGTAGTGGAGAGAGAAAATTTATCATTGTTCCCGTGAGAGCAATGGACACAATATATTATATATGCATACATTTTATCCCTGAAGCAAATCTCTTCTCTGAAATATAAATATGTCTGTGTGGGCGTGATTTATTTATATTTTTATTCAAAGAAAATATTAGTGAATTATCTGTATTACACGTATAAAAAAGTACGATTTTAAGTTCATATTATTCTTTCACTTTCTATTCGACTGTAAATCAGGTTTTTTTATTCAAATATATTTTATTGGCAGGTCAATCTGTAAATCAGCTTTAGTGGTTCGATGGACTGAATTGTCTGACCCATACTCGATTATTCCATATTGCTGGAATATTGCTTGAGTGCGGTGTAAAACACCAAACACACAGAGCATTTAGACATTTACCCTCGATGTCATATTTCGATTGGGCCTATATCTAAACAAACAATACTTATAACCGCGCACACGCACGCACGCACGCACACACACACACACACTCACTCTCACACTCACACACACAAAAACACTCACTCACACACACACAAACACTCACTCACTCACTCTCTCTCTCTCTCTCTCTCTCTCTCTCTCTCTCTCTGACACACAATAACATTACGAGAAAAAGCACACGTGCATGGTGCAGTAACAAGTTCAATATCTCGATGACGTGACAAATATTCGGCAACATATTTTTGCAGAACTGAACTTATTTTCTTTCAGATCTCATGCAATATCTGTAATACAACCTACATTCAGTATCGTTGTTTGTATTTTGAACATGTTTGAGATCAATATAAGAATAATAATGTCTCATCAACGGTAAACAACAAGTCAATCTAATTCAACTAAAAAAATTCTGGTGGGATCCTTTTTAAATCTTAATGCGACTGATAACGAGTTCGGATCAAGAACATCCGATCACCTGTACTTGATTTTTTTAATTATTAATTCCCTGGGATAAAACTATTAGGCCGTACTTTTCCAATGCCACAGATGTTTCCAGTTAGATTTGGTATGTGGACAGCTATGCAAACTATTAAACAATATGTTAATATGTTGTTTCCCCCTCTCTTTGTCTTTGTCTAATGTTATCTGGAGCTGTCAGTTTAGCAAGTGGGACAATAATGCTAAATCTGTTGAAAGTGCTGGATCTTTAACAATGACATTAACGTGTTTCTTGATTCAAAATAGGTTTAAAATGCCAGAATAAATGGCTCCTTGTTCTTACATTGATAAGTATATTTTAAATCAATGGCAATTAATGGTATTTGTAAGTGGTATAAGTGGTTGATGGCAGTTTTTTAATAGTTCCAATCTGTCGACCCGGAAACAGCAATTTTATTTTTTTTAAACTAACGTATTTGGAACATCTGCATATTGGCATACAAGGACGACAACATACAACATACAGTATGCATGCTTTCAAAATTTGTTTTCTGGAGTGAGCAATCACAGTAACATGTTCTTTCACTGATTCGTAACTGCACTTTATAATCTATCTAGGCGATATACATAGGTGATATGATACAGTGATATAAAACACAGAATACAACGGGTCACCAAATTGGGATAAGGATTGTCTGAAGGCAACCAACAACTATCAGGCCGTACATCTGTGTAAGTTAACATAGAAAATTAGCCATGAGTTCGATTGTGTTAAATCGGTTTTATTGGATTACAAGTTTGCCATTGTTTAATGTCTTTCTTCATTAAAAATAGTTTAAAGTTCTCCACTGTGTATTAAACTATTTATTTTCTTTCTAAAATACGGACGAAAGTATACGATTGTGATAAATGGCGCTCATTTGAAGTAATTTGGTAACACAGACACATTCCCCTCACCAAACCCCTTTTTTTTTAAAATTTAACGTGTAACTCACATTCAGTTGAAAATACGATAATTGAAGGAGTGACATTCCCCAGTAAAACATTGAAAGTAACTTAAACCACTGCGATTGTAAAACTTAGATATTAAACAAAGCGCTCGTAAAATATGCGCTTTAGCACAGGTTTAGGAAGTTCTGGCACTCTATTGCCGTACGTATATCACGCTGCCCTGTCACGTGAACATGGTAATCCAAAATCCGGAAATCAGCCATGTATCCAATACATGTCGCCGTCTTAAGTTTTCTCCACGTTGAATATTGATTCTGATTAGATTGCTTGTCTTCGTCATTTGTCTCTACATTGGTTTCTTTTCATTGTTCTACCCTATGATCAGTATTTTCCCACTGTGATCCCCCAACGACCAATCTTGTACCAGTACAATCATGTTGGATCAAATGCTGATTTTGAACACTTGCTATGATTTATCTGCCCTAGGGCAGTTCTTGAACTTCCCCATATTTTTACCTGCCCCAGGGTTGATCTTGAACATCTCCATGGTTTACCTGCTCCAGATCTGATCTTGTACTTCACTATGGTTTACTTGTTCCAGATCTGATCTTGTACTTCACCATGGTTTATCTGTTCCAGATCTGATCTTGTACTTCACCATGGTTTACATGTCCCCGACCTGATCTTGTACTTTACCATGGTTTACTTGTTCCAGACCTGATCTTGTACTTCACCATGGTTTATCTGTTCCAGATCTGATCTTGTACTTCACCATGGTTTACATGTCCCCGACCTGATCTTGTACTTCAACATGGTTTACTTGTTCCAGATCTGATCTTGTACTTCACCATGGTTTACATGTTCAAAATCTGATCTTGTACTTCACCATGGTTTACCTGCTCCAGATCTGATCTTGTACTTCACCATGGTTTACCTGCTCCAGATCTGATCTTGTACTTCACTATGGTTTACTTGTTCCAGATCTGATCTTGTACTTCACCATGGTTTATCTGTTCCAGATCTGATCTTGTACTTCACCATGGTTTATCTGTTCCAGATCTGATTTTGTACTTCACCATGGTTTACATGTTCAAAATCTGATCTTGTACTTCACCATGGTTTACCTGCTCCAGATCTGATCTTGTACTTCACCAGGTTTACTTGTTCCAGATCTGATCTTGTACTTCACCATGGTTTACCCGTCCCCCACCTGATCTTGTACTTCACCAAGGTTTACCTGCTCCAGATCTGATCTTGTACATCACCATGATTTACATGTTCAAAATCTGATCTTGTACTTCACCATGGTTTACCTGCTCCAGATCGGATCTTGTAATTCAACATGGTTTACCTGCTCCAGATTTGATCTTGTACTTCACCATGGTGTACCTGCTCAAATCTGAACTTGTACTTCACCATGGTTTACCTGCTCCAGATAGGATCTTGTAATTCAACATGGTTTACCTGCTCTAGATTTGATCTTGTACTTCACTGTGGTTTACTTGCTCAAGATCTGATCTTGTGATCTTGTACATCACCATGATTTACATGTTCAAAATCTGAACTTGTACTTCATCATGGTTTACTTGCTCCAGATCTGATCTTGTACTTCACCATGGTGTACCTGCTCAAATCTGAACTTGTACTTCACCATGGTTTACCTGCTCCAGATCGGATCTTGTAATTCAACATGGTTTACCTGCTCCAGATTTGATCTTGTACTTCACTGTTGTTTACTTGCTCAAGATCTGATCTTGTGATCTTGTACATCACCATGGTTTACTTGTTCCAAATCTGATCTTGTACTTCCACATGGTTTACTTGTTCCAGATCTGATCTTGTACTTCACCATGGTTTACCTGCTCCAGATCTGATCTTGAACTTCATCATGGTTTACATGTCCCCGACCTGATCTTGTACTTCACCATGGTTTTCCTGCTCCAGATCTGATCTTGTACTTCAACATGCTTTACGTTTATTGCCTCCATGGTCTAGTGGTAGAGCGTCCGCCCGGAGACCGGAAGGTCTGGGGTTCGATCCCCGACCGCGTCATACCAAAAGACGTTAAAAGATGGTACTTGTTGTTACCCTGTCTGGCACTCGGCATTAAGGGACTAAAACAAGGACTGGTCGGTATACGGTGTCTGAGTGGGGTATTCATGTTAAACTGCGGCATGGTATCTCAGTGAGCTGGCACTATAGATCGGCATCAGTCCGGACTAGTACAAGCAGCCACAGCGTCAGACACACACACACACACACACACGTGCATGCACATCGCTATATAAGTGCAATAATCTTCGACGCGATGTTAAACCCCATTTCACCTCACCTCACCTTTACGTTTATCAGATCTGATCTTGTACTTCACCATGGTTCACCTGCTCAAATCTGATCTTGTACTTCACCATGGTTTACTTGTTCCAGATGTGATCTTGTACTTCACTGTGGTTTACATGTTCCAGATGTGATCTTGTACTTCACCATAGTTTACCTGTTCCAGATCTGATCTTGTACTTCACCATGGTTTACCTGTTCCAGATCTGATCTTGTACTTCACCATGCTTTTCTTGTTCCAGATGTGATACTGTACTTCACCATGGTTTACATGTCACTGGTCTGATCTTGTACTTTTCAATAGTTACCTGCTCCAGATGTGATACTGTACTTCACCATGGTTTACATGTCACTGGTCTGATCTTGTACTTCACAATAGTTTACCTGTTCCAGATGTGATATTGACTTCACCATGGTTTACATGTCACTGGTCTGATCTTGTACTTCACCATGGTTTACTTGTTCCAGATCTGATCTTGTACTTCACCATGGTTTACTTGTTCTAGATATGATCTTGTACTTCACCATGGTTTACATGTCACAGATGTGATATTGACTTCACCATGGTTTACATGTCACTGGTCTGATCTTGTACTTCACCATGGTTTACTTGTTCCAGATCTGATCTTATACTTCACAATGGTTTACCTGCCCAAGTCCTGATCTGGTGATGATTCTTCATGCTCATAGGTAAGTTTTGTCTGCTTTAAGAATCATTACACAAATCTTGAGAATGAGGTTGAAACATGAGTGATAATGGTGCAAATCTGCTAGTAATCTTCCAACAATCACTGCAAGGAATGAACCCATGAGCTGGGGTATTGACCAGCAATGCCTTTAACCACTCAGCTGACCTACTTCACAAAATGTTTAAATATATAACTGCAATAATGATAATTTCAATGTATGAATACATGTTAGTTTCCTCTCTTCATCTTTCAGATCAAGATGAGTACACAGTACACGTCAATGACACTCAAACGTGTTAGTGAACTGTAAGCTCAAAGGAGAGCAAAAATAACAAATCACAATGGAATGAGCTCTACATTTTTATTATCAAATAAAGGACAAAATACAATTTGTAGAAAACCTATGTCTAACTTGTGACTAATACCAGATAGGACATAACCATAGAATTACTGCAATACACAGTACACAAGACTATATTTGATAATACATAACCATGTTCTGCCTAAACCCATCAACTCCAAACATGAATATGTATTCTCAAACAATGAATCTCATTGTAGGAACTGCCATTTTAGGAGGGAGAGGACATGACAAAGACAATATAGCACAGGGAGGACAGACAGGAGATACAGCAAGGGGAGGCAACTCTTACTGCCTCAATAAATACATTGTAACAGTCCAAAGTGACTAAACTGTATTTTGAACATATTCTGAAACCTTTTCTCAAAGTAAATTTCTTTGAATGCCAAAGGTTTCAATGCAAGGGTTACCTAGAAAAGAAGTTCATAATTTCCATAGTGACAGTTCTGTTAAACGCGCACGCACACACACACACACAATGCTAAACATGCCTGTAAACTGCCATTGGCTTTTTTAAATTAAATACATTCTCCCTTATCAAACAAACTTATGTTCAGCTTTCACATGAACAGAAAATTACTTCATATTTCAACACATGGTTTATGTATGATCTGTATGAAAGACAGACTTGGCCACAGATGACTAGTGCCAATTTGACATTTAATATCCACATTAACCATACACAACGATGAGTCCCATGCTGCACACAAACACAGATCAAGGCACAAATACTGTTGTAACTTCACAAACATAAATTTCCTGTGCACCTTGTGGATGTATTACATTTTCTTGGAGCACGCACCCATTAAACAGTTAAAGATTCATGTTTCAATCATTTAGTATATAAAACATAGTTTTGAATTAGCCTTAATACTGTGAACAATTTTGGGGGATCTTGTATTTATGAAAATCACTGAATAAAATAAGAACAATGTGTCCATGTCAACTTGGCAAACCTACTAATATGAAGGATAATAACCACAACAATCACTTAATAATGTTCGCAGAATCTGTAACAAGGTCCATACATTTGTCTGACAAATTTCCATGACCTTTCCATGACCTTTCCAAAGCATATGTTAACATCACAACAAAATAACAAACTTTTGGAGGTGCTAACTCAGTATAACATGGAATTGCCAATGTTAAGTTTTATTTATATTCCTGTCACTGGTGTATGAACAGAAAACAATTACTGGTATAAAACTTCTTTTTTTTCATGACTTTACAAGAATTTCCTATTTTCAAACTATTCCAGGCCTGGTAAACTCAAACTAAAATTCCAAGACCTTTCTAGGATTTGATGACCCTTACAAACCCTGATATATCGACTCTCTATATTTTTATAAGTTGCACAGCAGCCTGTCAAATTACAAAACATATTTGGTGCCTTGACCAAAATCTGTGCTGCAAAAACATGGCACTACTCTGACATCGTAAAACAATGTCATTAATTTGATTTTAGCAGTGAAGTGCTGACCCTGTCTAAACATAAAATCCCCGTTTAACATGCACAATTCAAACTATGCCATATCCTTTAAAAACACTTACTGGTAATCAGAAATTATTCAATTATGGTGATACACACACAAGAGTTGTGTCTGATAAAATCACACTAACTTGACTTAAATCTTGGCAGTGAAAATGTAGTCGAGACAATCCAGTGTATCATAATTTGTTAGATAAATGTTCAGAGCAACATAGCAATATGTATGACAATGGTATAACCTTCTTTCAACAGTTGACATGTTTATGTTTTAAGAGCATGAAAATGTCATTAAGTAGATTTGGCAAGATATGTTAAAGGCAACATAACACATAAATGCTGGTCAGTGATTTCAAGTTCATTGACACTCAGAAAATAAAAAAGTAGAAAGTGTTAAGTCTTCAGTTCCTACAGAATCAGAAACCAGACCTAAATATACTACTGTAAAACAGGAATTTAATGCGACATGAAAATAATGCGAGCTCTTGATTTTAGACATAAATGCGCATTTCAAAAATGCGAGTGCCCATACCCTTTCCTAAAAATTTATGCGCTGGATTTATGTTCTGTGTTATTTTAATTAATGTAACTGACCACTACTCAACTTCACTTTGTGTAGGTGACTTTGTTATTTGAAAAATTAAGGCGCATAAAATTAATATTCTGTCACTCGCACTTTTCGCATTAATATTCTGCTCGCATTAATTTCCTGTTTTACAGTATATATGCCAGAAATGCAACCCATTATGTTATTTATGTAATGAATATTGACCTATACTACCAAATGAAATTAAGGATCACCCGATTCTTTCATATTACTATTGTTAATATGTCATCCCATAATAGATTAACTATAGTAATGTGAAAGAATCATAATTCTTAACCCTTTTTAGTAGTATATTTATTCATCAAATGCTATTTCAAATTCACTGTGACAAATGACAATAAAGGCTTGCAGCTAATCAGGATATGTGGGATCAAGATGGATTGTTGTATATCTACATGAACCCATGTATCCCGTAAAAATACTGGTTGCTTTGCGAAGAAAGTAGCCAATGAAAGTTCCAACCTAGTAAGTGAAACTGAATGTGATGTAATTGAACTACTTGAGGTGTAATGAACACTAACAGAGGTCAAACTTCCCATAATATTATAGCATGCCCTTCCCCAAACACTCCCAAATCTAGCTTATAAAACCATGTTGAGTCCGCACTGGACATAACAAAGTTAAATAGTGCAAACATCTAGCAACACTGAAACCTCAAATATAACTTGGTAAGCAGTTTAAGTCAGTGTGCATGTGACACTTGGGACACAACGACCTGAATGTGCATCTCTTGCAGTCTATTGCATTCAGATGGGACCATTTTGTGTCATTTGAAGGGATATCTGTAAGATCTTCAGCACAATACAATTAACCTGATAAGACTGATACAGGTTTTGAATAAAATATTTTGGCATAAAAGTGAGTTAAAGAAATAAAATTTAATGCCGACTATGCACAGTATTTTTTTCGATATATATTCTAAAAAAAACCCGAAAAAACAAAGAACATGAAAATATTTTGGGTCTAATTGGAAACTGCATTATTATCTTAGTATCTGGTGAGGAAATAACACTGCTATAATATGGGAACAGAAGACAGGACATAAGATTGAGAAACGGCATGTCACCAATCAATAACCACTCCACAGGTTCCACAGCCTCTGATGCTCACAAAAAATATTATGTCCTATGCACTTAAACACTTTGGTAATATATATATAGATATATACAAAATATGTACAGATGTTCAAAATAGAAGCAAAGCCTCAAAACAAGACTTGAGATTGCAACAAAATAAAGCAAGTTGTTCATAAAAGGCAACATTTTTCTGTATTTTTTTAAAGTTTTGTACTAAAACTTTCATATTTAATGAAAATACACAGATGCTGGACAAAACACATTGTTGTAATGATACAATGATAAACAGCTTTTGTAGCTTATAGCCATAAATTTTCATTGTTTTATCATGCTCATGATAGCCTTTTGTTATGCATATAATCAACAGAAAAATAAATCAGCACTTTTGTATGCAAACAGGACACTAGTAACCATGGTAACATACAAGACAAATCTTCAATGAGTTGAAAAGATAAACTTATATGAACAATTTTGTGACATGGAAGACGGATAATCATGATAATAACTTCAAATAGAATAATAATCATTATTGCCAATTAAATATTCTTAACACAAACACTGAATAAACATCATATTTTGGTTTTGCAGCAAACAACGAAAGGTAAATCTATTTGGCCACAGATAATTGTCAGACACTAGTTTCAGAAATTGAAAGTTGAATTTCAACCATAAACTGGATAAATTCTTGAGGATTTCAAACATTCTTGAACATTATTGGGATAAAAGAAACAGTGATACTATATTATTGTCAAACATGATTGTTCAAAATAACTAAAATTCATGAAGTTAGTTTGAGAGATAATCTGCACATTTGATGCAACTGGTTCTCCTGCAATTTTTTATGGTAACTGGCAGATTGCCATTTTATAGGAGTTTGTTTTTAGTTTGAAAGTACTTGCTACGAGGGTATCAAAGCTTACATTATTTATGCAAAAAGCCTGAAAAACCAATAGTATTAATGACTTGCCTTACAAGATATTTCCAAACCAACATTGTTCAATGGAAGACTCCACTAATGATGACCTTCAGAAACAAAAACTACTGGCCTTGAAAATGCAAAGACATAGTTCATAATGGTTCTACAGACTTCAACAGCAAATTAACAATCACTATCAATAGTAATAATTTTCTAATAAATATTAAACAAAAATAAAATTTTGATTTTAAAATTGAATGCAGTGTTATTAAGACAGGTTCATACGTATGAAATATATTGGCACTTTGACTCAAGAAATGTACAACAGCACAATATAATCTAGAATAAATTTACCAATAAGAACTTAATAGACAATTTGAATTCATTACAATCATTATGTTCATGCAAGGGAGTTAACTCCTCTAAAACACTCGCTCACTACATTAGACAATATTGCTCTCTTTAAGTATTATCCGTTTTATTACAATTCTTCCAAATACAGTATCATAAAAGATGACACATGCACCACGTGCATGCTAAGATATCAATAGAGTCAAATCTAGAAAACTAACAATATATCAAATTATTTCTGGTTTTACCAGATATGATGTAACCTTTCAGGTTTAGTGTTTTTGCTCAATCCAAAAGACCAACAACACAACCAATTATTCATTTCAAAACAATGCCTTCTGTATCTACAATATGGCCTCAAGGCTCCCATTGAGATAAGGATTAAGGTCTTCATTTCAACATATTTTCGATCATCAATAACAGACAGAGGGAGATACAATATTCCATATCACCATTCATCATCCATAGCAGACTAAGGACGAATATAGCACAATATTCCATATCACCATCATCATCCATAGCAGACAGAGAATGATATAGCACAATATTCTATGTCACCATCTTCACCCATAGCAGACAGGGAGATAGATATAGCATAATATTCTATATCACCATCATCATCCATAGCAGACAGAGGATGATATAGCACAATATTCTATATCACCATCATCATCTTCCATAGCAGATAGAGGTGGATACAGCACAATATTGTTTGTTTAGTCAACATTATGAAAGAACACATAACACTGTTTGACTTGCACAACAGACAGTTTTTTCCTACAAAAAAACTGAAGAAAAGCACTTCAATCACTGAATCCTATACCGACAATGTTCAGTTACAACAAGAAGTACCCTTTGACATATAGTTTCTAGAATAATGGTTCTCCTCCAGGTTGACCTCATGGAAGGACATAGCCACCAGTCCAGCGCTAACCATCGACAGATGCTACGGGGATCCTACAAATGAATTTCTTGCAATTTGATTGCTCTTATGAGGATGAAGGGTTTCGTTTGGCTGAAAAATATCTGTCAATGTTTTGGCTGAGTCATCAGCCTTGATGCAAATGCTCACTTCTTTGTTGTAGTCAAGCGGGCAAAAACCAGGATGGAATGCATATGCTCTACAAATGCAATGAGACGTAAACAATGTTGCCAAGGTCACAGTTCTGACCATTCATCAAGTGAGTCCAGCCACATCATGACACTGATGATATTGGGGCATGTGGGGACCCCATTTGAGTGAGGACCTTGTCCAGCCACTGTAGGGGACCATTTAAGTGAATTTCGATCCAACATGGGGTGCTGGTGACGTCCTGACGATGATACTCGGCACCCCAACCCTTTACAAAGCTCATCCTGATGGTGCACATCTTGGTCAACTCGTACACGGCCTCAAATCCGTGGTTGACGGATTGACTCAGAAGTGCTGCAAACTCCTGGTTATTGAAGATCTTCAAACTACAGCCAGGTGGGATCTTGCAGACAGTTGTTGGGTGGAAGCCATGGTGATAATTACAGTTCCTGCTTTGAACAAATATGCTGCTATCGCTCAGACATTCCGCAAACACCTCACCACCAACATAGTACAGGTGCACACCTGAAAAATATATGACATAACTGAGTGAGCATAGTTCTGCAAGATCTATTGGTCACTGCAGTCTCATAGTTATATCAAGCATGGGCACAAATGTCTGGCTTAGTGTGCAGTCTGTACCAAAACTGTTTTAGTTTACAAGCCTGAACTTATTTTTTTTGCATTGTTGTCATTAGATTTTAGTCTTAGTGTATGGACAAGTATTCAGGCTTTGGACTAGTGGTTAAACTTAAAGACTTCATATGTACTGATATGTATGAATTTGAGCAAGCAGACTTTACCAACTAACACGCTATCCATCATCGGCCCCACCACCAAGGAAAATCTCAATGCATTGACATACAGAGTGTGAGTCATCATTGTACTTGGTGGTAGTCTCTCAAAATAGTAGCGAACTAATTAGCTCACGAAGAACACTAATATGCACATGTTTGAATACATACACAGACACAAAATACATAAACCCAATGGTCAAATTTTATCCAATTTGGTTCCTATACATGTGTTAAATATGTTATAATTGTAATATCCACAAGATCCAAAGGTGAGCTGCAATTAATGATGAAAACAAAAATTGAAACTGTGTGATTATCATTATTCGCACATACACTTTTCTGGGCTTACTGACATTATCTAATTTTATTTGATAAATGTTTATTCATTTTCTTAAATTCAATACAAAAATATTTGATTTTTTTCCTATTTTGACATGTTTGATGCCTTCAAAACTGATGGTTTCAGCTTAACCCAATGAGTTCTATTGAAGAATTTTAAAACAAATTTGTTATCTTTGAACAATCAAAAGGAAAATTTTTCAGAAATAACTGAATGTTAAATCTCCTTATGGTCAGTGACACCTACATAAAAATCAAGCTGAATCCAACAAATGTGTTATAATCATATATAAACACCCTATGAGACATGCCAACCAAACACACATAATGATGCATCACATCTTACCTTTGCCAATGTGTCTACGAGTGTTCTCAATAGTGGAGTTTCTGTTGACGTTGGAGAGGAGTCCCAGGCAGAATCTGTCGGCATTGTTGGAGGGGTCTGTGAAGCCGTCCACGACGATGCTAGAGCGTGAGGCATGGAATGCTTCCCCCACTCTGTTGTTCAGCTCATAATACACGATGGAACACCAGTACTGCGGCTCTTGGTAGGTCACTGGCTGCAGATCTGTCAGGGGAACAACTTCACTTTATGTAATAACAAAGACATAATTTATTTCCACAATGATAAACGGTTATATCTCATCCATTAATCTATCAATAATTAACTCATGTCTTCAATTTACAATAGATGCATAGATAACATTTCATGACTTTACATATTTTAGTTTCCTGTAGACAATATTAATCACAGTTGGTATTCTTTTTAAAACATAAGACAAAGAGTGACTAAAGTTAGCACATGATCTATTTCCTTACCCAATTACAAACTCATTGTGTGATCATATATTTACATATATTTAATAAATAAACTGTTCAACACCAGCAGAATACTAAAGAAGGCCTGCACATTCATACACTGAAAATTCAACAGCAAATATCATCAGTCTGCCAGTGTCAAAAAAGAGCAAATAATTTGTTCAAAGTGGTTCAACATAAAAACAATGGCCCCAGTGTTTGACCTTATTGAATGTGTGAGAAGCACTTAAATTATCTTCATCATAACATTTTGGAAAACAATTCTCTTTAAGATTTTCTTCACAAAGGATCCTATGAGTGTTCTTATTGATATTAGTTGACGTAAAATGTCCTTTCCAAAATGAAATGTTTTCCTTATTTCTGCACGTCTTGCTTGAGATCCAATGTGCAACTTTTGAAGCAGTGCCATGTTTCCTCACAATGGAGTCCTTGTATTCTCCCACTCACCTATACCATGATCGTTTCTTATCAATGGTGGTTGGTTGGAGGGTCGAGCACATGGGCGTGGCTGAAGATGAAGGTGGGCGTGGTCTGAAATTGAGTTGCAGCAGTCATGTATTGGGTCAAATCATGGTGTCAAAGGCTGGATCAAAACTCAAGCTGCCTCATCAAAATCAGATAGGCAACAAAATATTACAACAATGAAAACAGATGTGTGTATCTCACCTGACCTATTTGATATTTTGTAAAAACCCTGTTAAGATAATTAACCTATTTTGTCAGTTGTATGCCATTACATGTTTCTTGACTAAAACTAAAAATGCTAACATTATGAGAGAAAAAAAATATTTTGAGTGTGCAGGCATATAGATTCCTTACTTACATAAACTGTTTGATGATAACTCTGGCGCAACGGATGGCAAAATTCCATAACATTATTTCACCAATATATCGAAACCATAATCCCCAAAAGTAAGAGTATATATAAATATTAATGATGAGGTGTTCAACATTACTTCTAATGGTGCTAATAGGTCAAGTGAGCATCCAAAGAACACAATGACAAAGTGTTTGGTGACTGAAGTTTTCCATGATCTATACTAAATGCTACGTCCTCGTTATAACAGTCTGTGCCTGAACATTTTGAGCCTGCTAGCCCAAATGTGGCTCTTATCATTTTCAGTATAACTCAGTGTTATCATTTGGACTTTTACCAGCTGAGCTTACAAGACCAAACAGATTTTTACTAGATTCAGGCTTCAGGCTAGTGATCAAAGTCACAGACTAAAGTATGGATTTCAAAATCACTTATGGAATGTGGCTATTCAACCTCCTTCCCGTTTTAGCAAATAAACCCCATAATTCAACGGGAAACTCTCATTGGTTTTTGTTAAATGAAATTAAACACCTAATGAGAAAAAAAAAATCACTCAAGGAGGGGGGAGAAAGGTTTACAATACAAGCAAAATATTTCACCACATTTCCTTCATGTATAAATGAATGTCAAAAAATAAGAAAAGTCCTCAAAAGACACCGCCATAAAAAACACAAATTGAACAAGTTGTTAAAGTTTTAAACTGCACAGTCATGATAAACAACATGATATATTCAATGCAACAAAAAGCAGTAATATCAAACTCTAACAAATTAATCATTAAAGCTATTAATCATGCAGAAAAAACCCAATCGTAATCTTCACATTTTTTCAGGTTCTCACAAAACTGTCCATGCAACTACTGCAAATAATCAACACCATTTTTCAAGTATACTTGTGTTTATGTTCTATGTACACATCCAAATGTCAAGCACAGCAAATGTAACATGTCTTGTAAACGAACAGGGACACAAAGGTCAGGCTAAGTAAACTGCGATATCAAATTTGCTTTTGGATTCCTAACAGAAAAAATGATGGAAAGCACAAAGTCAGAGGATTGCAGAGAGTAAAATTACTGCAATATGTGAAGATTAGTAGCCATTGTGGGAATAGGAAGACACAAACTAAATTTCAGGTTCACATTTTGCAAGGTCTAAACAGCAATGATAATTTGTTGTGTATATTTTGAATCAGAAGTTGAAAGCCAAAAAAGAACATACTTCCAACTGTTCTTAGTTAGCGTCTCAGAACAACTGATAAGAGCCTTTATTTGTACCTGTATATTAGGAAATACACTCAATTTTTGTAAATCAAGGTCCTAAAACTATTTGAATCCACATTTTCACTGACCTTATTGTATTAATCCCATCGCAATACTGTACTTGATATCAAACTGTAAAGTGTTCTTTTAAAAATATCAAGTATTTTTCCCTTGTGTTATACTTTGATGAAGTGTTTGAGAAGCATGTTTATATTAACTGCACAAATCTAATATATCCATCATCCTACACATTTTAAGGGTATTGGCAGAAATTTTGAAGTGTGTGAAAAATGTTTTCATAATAGCCACACAAACTTAATATCATCCCCAAAAACACTTTTCTGGATCAGAATAAAGGGTGCAAGTAATGTATTTCTACAGAAATACAATGGATGCATCTTTAATTACCTTTTCTAAAACAGGTGCATCCGCCTTCAACACTCTTAATCCCCATTTCTAAGTGCACCGTATGAACAAAAACACAGGCACATGTGATTATGTCACCTAGCGATGAAGATCATATATCAACAATTTTAAGGATGTTTAAACTTTGGAGAATATCTATCCCACTTGAGCATTTCCGATGTTTCTCAGTACACAGGGTGAACGTGTGAGTGTGATTTTGCCACTAGGCAATGCAGATGAGTGCACTCTGCCTCCTGATCTTACACTTGGGTGATTCAGGCCAGGCTGTGTGAAATGGCCTCGTCACTTTGTGAGTAGCACTGTGTTTATTTACAGATGGTTGGGGCAGATTAAACACACCGATACCTTGCACATTTTAAACGCCTCTCTAGAACTCTCTATTCATCCATGATGCACATACTTCAGAATCAGTGTACAAAGCAGCTGTAATTCATTTTCATCCTCTCAAATTCAAATCAAAATAAGATATGTAGATATTACTTGATTTTTAATAAGGAAATATCAAAGACATTCCATGGCAAATCAGGTTTAGTCATGTGGAAAGTATAATCAGAATTCAGTCTGGAAAACATACTCAATATACAAAATATTTCAGGAAAGTAATTCTAACTTGGACGTCATACACTATGATAGTCGCTGGAAGTTTGCCATACAGTATGGAAACAATCTTTCTTGAAATTATCAGACCATTTGGATGAGATTGGTCTTTGCTGAGAGGATGAGGAATGATCCAATGTGATTTCCATACCTCATCATTTCAATAACAACAAATCTCATCCAAATGTTCTGATAATTTCACTATAACTGACAAGCCTAAGTGTTCAAATAACTGATTACCATGGAAACTGGCATTTGTTTTCCCCCAAACTTGAAAGTTTCACATGTCTGGACTGCAAGTTGTTAAATATGTGATTACAATGTAAAATAGAGTAAATGTTGGCTGAATCTTGTTAGATTACCTGAAACTACAGAGGGTTACATTGCTGTTGTAATCATATTAGTCACATCACAATTCTGACAAACAACAAAAATAACAATGACAAAATCATAGAAACTGTAGACTTGTGAAGAATTGAACCCAGGTATTTTGCATGAACTCATGCTTAAAAAACCTGGCTCTCCAATGGCATAACTAAGCATGTCAAGTCTGATTACAGTACTCCAGTAGTACTGCAGCCATTTCTTCAATGGGGAATGGGATTCAATGTGGGGAATCAAAACTTGACACAACGGCAATAACATCAGGCTAACATAGAGCCACATGAGTGAGCAAGTGAATGATGTTTGAGTGAATGAATGTTGTCTTTTTGCCACGGTTGACAATGTTACAACCATGTCAGAGCAGTTTGAGATTGGACCACACAAACCAGTCTGAGTGTTTGATAGCCTGAGGGATGCTGCCAGAGTTAATAAAGGAACTACCACTTTCAATAACAAGTAACAAAGGATAAGGAACAGACTAAAATCAACTGTTGTTACCCTACACATTCTACTGCCAACTGTTCAATGGGGCAATGACAAATATAGGAACGGACAGTATCAAGCTTTTTGTTTGACAAATGAGGAAAATACATGTCAATCTTTACAAACTAAGTTACAAATTTGTGCAATGATTCATGTGCTTACCATTTCAAACTGTGTGACAACAGGTTGATTCTGTGAAATTCACATGATACCATACTTAGGCAGTTTTTCTGCACAAGTCCAGTTTCATCCTTGCCAAACTAGGCTGAAATTATGGAGTTCTATTTTGGCTGGACTAATGAGTCTATGCATAGTCTAATCAAAATAGCGAAGCGAAATCAACATCCGGTTCGTAAACTGCTGTGTAGATTTCTGTCTTTGCAGGATTTGCAAAGCATGTGTACCATCAAGTTAGAGTCAACATATATTTTCCAAATATTTTCATGTTTCTAATCAAGGTGCTCAAGGTGATTTGATGCACTTCGCGAAGTAAGACAAACAGATCTTGATTGTCGATCAGATCATCTTGACTGAGCGCCGCCATATTATATGAAGCAAATGCAAGTGATATGAGAGGTGGAATCTGATTGGTCAATAGGGAGGACACAGAAGGAACACAACTCGTAATAGCCGCAGGTGGCACAATGATTGAGCCTAGAAATTCCAGTCAAGTTCAGCAAAGGTGGAAACTGGACTTTCACAGTCAAGTAACTCCCTTGCCTAAGGAAGATGCAGTAGTGTTGAAAGTCATTTACAGCAGTAGACAAAAAGAACTTTCTCAACAACTTGTACCTATGTGGGGAACAAATCATTGTTAGAAAGCAAGAAAGACCGTGAGCAAATTCTGACATCATGACAAAGGTCAGTTCATAAAGAAAACAAGGTTCAACCTGAACTAGAAAAACAAAAAAGCAATCTTTGTGTCACAACCATCATAGCTCTGATTATATATCTGATTCATGACTGTAGCTGAGTGCAATGTCAAGTTCCAGATCAAATCGTACAAGAGTCATTGCTAACCAGGTGGAGGATCCTGATTATTGTACATCAGCACTAGTTAGGATCGGTTGACCATTATATTACTACAAGCATGCCTTTGCTTAGTGTGCTCACCTGGGTTTCCCATGCTGGTGTCCATGGGTTGATGTCCAGAAGATGGGTTGTTGCCTTGGTTCAGCCCCATGTTGTTCTGGTTGCTGTCATCAGAGGGCTGGTAGGCCGGTGGGGGCGTGTCAGCTGTAACAAACAGAAAATAGTTTATTCTAATGCAATCTCATTAAAATCAGATCTTAGTTCTCTCTACCGCTAAACAAATATCTGAGGACATACCATTACGGGTCACGTCAGACCGACCTTGTGCGAACTTTGACCGACCAATGGAATGACTAATCAGAAGGCAGCTTTCTCGTGCGTTACGGCACTTATTTCAAATTAGTGACTACGCTTTGAAACATGTTTTGACATATTCTCGATTACAAATTTGAAACCTGAACAAAAGAACATTCTGGAATGGCTAATAGATGGTCTAGATTGTATGGATTCAGTTGTTAAACCTGAAACTATCGTTCGGAATACCCCGTGTTAAAGTTTTCGAGGATGCATGAGTAGAAATCACATTCCAACTGTCACTTTCATAATCTGGTAAGCGACGCTCTGATTGGTTGGATGATACGTTGTTCTGACGTGACCCCTAATGGGATGTCATCAGATCTTTGTTTAGAGGTAGCGAGAACTAACGTCTGTTTTTTGATGAGATTGATTCTAATGTGATATCTTTCCAAATTTCAATACTGACAAAAGAACAACCAAGATATCATCATCATCTTTGAATATATCAGTTTATGAAGGGTAAAATTATTTTAAGAAAAAAATTACTGGTAGTTAAAATGTGGTTACATCACAGAAGACAAGACGGGTGGTTGGGAAGCCTATTGTTGAAGCATTTGCTCTTCACACTGAAGACCTGGGTTCAATTCCCCAAATGGGTACAATATGTGAAACCAATTGTTGGTGTCCCCAGCTGTCATTGTGCTGGAATATTGCTGCTAAATGCGTCACAAAAGTATACTCACTTACTAATAAGGCAAGGTTATTTTGTCATTGTTCAAACTGATCGTTTCTGCTTGAGCAGTGTATACCGAATCATCAATGACAAATATTAGAAGTGCATGTTTGCCTATGTTTGAATAAGAACTCTTTAATGTCAGCACAATGTACCGGTGAGCTCAGAAATATATGTGCATGTGAATCATATATAATATTTCAGTTGACGTTTGAAATAAAAAAAATAATTTTAAAGTGGAACCAGGTTTGAGATATTGTATGAATGTGAACATCAAAGTTTGAGATAGATGAATAATTTTAATGATGAATATATAAGGAGATGTTTCGGACAAAAGGTTTGGTTCGAGGTAGGCATCACAATCTAGAGTGAGGAGTTTGAGATTGAGGGAGTCTACTGGTTCCTATTCTGATAAGTTCATTATGGGTAAAAAGGTTCTCAGTACCAGACAAATTTTACAGTAGTGCTTCATGGGAAACACTATTAACTATATTCAGAAATTTCATAACTGTTGGACATGAATTTAACATACAGGTGGATTTAGTTCAAGCAGTCACGATTGACTGAATCACTTCAAGGAACGTAACAATGGTGGTCCATCATTATGTGCTGTGAAGACATCATGGGCAAGAAAGACAGGAATGAAGAATTGAAAAATATTTGTCACATGTTTTGTATCTGTATATTGAAACTGATGATCTTGAACCAGAAGTTTTTACCCCTTCAGGATCGAGATAGGTATCTACTGTATTACCTGGCAATCCAAAAGGACTTCCTGGGCCAGAGCTTGGCGGTGACTGTGGCTGCTGTTGGAAGGGGTAGGTAACATTGTGGGGCATCGATGGCTCAGACACCTGCTGGAACGGGGCAAGGGCCCCATGGGCAGGAAATTCACTGTAGCGGGGTACCAAAACAGGTGGCAATACTGAAACAGAAGACAGCGGATGTTTAATGAACATGTCATCCAACAATTGCTACAATACCTAACATGTCCAGGGGTATTAATTCACTCACTCTAGTCACTAGTAATCATAATGATACAGTTTGTGTCAAACACTTTTGAGTCTACTAACTGAAATTTACTCTTGGCATCATGTTCCGTAGATTGTAATCTCATAATATGGAATATTATTAGTTGAGCTCACTAGATGGAAGAGAATTTTACTTGACTTGTACTTCAGATTAGTGGCTAAGTTGCAGACTGATAATACATTGTATATATGTAAGAAACACTCTCCAAGATTACAAATAAAATTGAAACGATTATGAATTTGATTCGGACCATGGGATCAGTGCAAATTTCTCATGCCAGTCTGACCTTAAACACTTGTCAAAAGCACAAACCTAGTAAGTTTAGCAAAAAATAGTCCATAAAATAACACTAAATATACTGAAACTGATGCTAATAGACTCGTTTGTGTCAAGTAGACTCAATAGCTTTTGACACAGACTTTGATGCTGTGTTCAACACACAGAAAGTTTTAAATTCTATATTTGGAAGTTTTGATGAAGCAATTTTTTAATTTCACAACCCCCCCAATCTTCACATCCAGTGAATTATGCAAGTTAATCCTGTTGTTACACTATCCTGTAATAAAAAGTATTCCTTTTCAATCTTGACATGATTCGTTATTTACCGGTACATGAATCTTATTTATTGTATTCAAATTCTCAGCGAAATAGTGTGTAAACTGATGGGCAGATCACACCAGCTCACCATTAATTATAGCAAACATGATCACATTACCGTTATTCATGCCTTGAAAAAAACCTTAGTGGTCAGAGAATGAATACACATTATATCATAAATGACATCCTTATTAATTGTCATTTGTGTTGTAGTGTGACTATTCTAACAAAGCAAAAAGTGAGCAGGGCTCACTAATACCATCAACTTTGGGATATTTCTAAGTTCAAAACATGAAAAAATCAATATTTTCGCAGATCAAACTTTTAACTGCACATCTTCTATTGGTATAGAAACTGTACCCTAAATTGGAAAAGAATCCACAAAGTACTTCTCATTTTACTGGTCACATAAGTGAGACGTTAAAACAATTGTAAGTTCAAAACCCGAAAAAAAATCTTATTGTTTCAGAAAATCCACATATTAAATTCAAACTTTGCACTGCACCTCTCCTATCCATATGGAAAGTGTTCCCCAAATTTGAAAAGAATTAATGTAGAAGTTGTCAAGTAACAGGTCGCACAAATGTTGAAGTTAAAAAGTAATAATTCTAAGTTCAAAACACGTAAAAATTCACATTTTCTCAGAAAATGCATATATCAAAATCAAACATTGCAATGCAGCTCTTCTATTAGTATGGAAAATGCTCACTAAATTTGAAAAGAATCCATGCAGTAGTTTTCTAGTTACATAGTATTGATCACAAAAACATTCAAGTAAAAAATTGAAAAATAGCTGTATTTTTTCTTCTGAAAATCCAAATATTGAAATCAAACTTCGCACTGTACCTGTCCTATTGGTATAAAAAGTGTTCACTAAGTTTGAACAAATTCTATGTAGTAGTTTTCAAGTTATAGGTCGCATATAAAAATGGCCTTGGACAGACAGACACAAATCCTTGGTATAACTATCTATCCTTGCCCTTTTAAGGTCGGGGTATAATAAATATATGGTATGTCAATATATAGTGTTTTTGTGTGTGATTGAAATAGCAAATTAAATTCCATTTTCAAATAAGAAATGGCTGAGCAATGGCAATAAACTTTTTTTCCAATATGGTTGCCATCGTAGCAGCATCAAAAATCAGATTTGAACCTCTTTAACAAATGAGTGTCATCATTTTTGGAAACAAGTATACAAAGCTTTAGCTCCATATTTCCAGTGGTTTCTGAGGAAAAGTCCTCCCAACTATAAATCATAAATAAATTATTATCTGAGAGAGAGAGAGAGAGAGAGAGAGAGAGAGAGAGAGAGAGAGAGAGAGAAAAAAAAGGGCTATGAGTGCAAGCACCTGCAGCAGAAATGTTTGTAGTCAGTGCAGGAACTCATGCACCTGTTAGGTCAAGCTAGGTCCCCACGTTCTGATGCAGACAGTACATCATTGGTTAATAATAGTAGAAAAGAGCCTTGTCTTCAGGTTATATATAAGTGTTGTTGAACTAAAGATAATCTTTCTTTGTCACGGGATATGGGCTAAAATTTAAGTTCTCTGGTGAAAGTATATTCTGACTCTTTACGTTGATAAACATTTATGTTTTCAATTAAATTGTGAAGCTTACATGTTTTATAAATCTATTGGAATCCTACATTCTGCTTATCTCAAAATCAATTTGCAACATTTTTAAATTCATAATAAATTCAATCTTGTCCTTTTATCAAACATATGGAAGAAAATTAGCAACAGATAATACATTTTACTGAGTAAATAGCACTCACATACTGTAAACATTTATCCATTTGGTTAAGCAAATGTTGACATACAGACCATTCAGTTCCACATTTTCTAATTCCAAATTCATTTGTAGGTTTACAATTCTCCCATTTGAGTTAACTGAAGCATGCAGGTCTTGTAAATAAGTCAATAAATCTTCTTCAAAACATGGACCACCCACATAAAGCAGTCAAAATGGTGGTCGGGCTTCCATGTCATTTTCATGACTGCACTTACAGCTAATCCTCAGCGTAAGTAAGCTATGATAAGTCAAGGCAGGGTGTCGCCTACAGAAGACCTTCAGTGACCAGGTAGCTGGCTGAAGCCATTCTAAAACCTACACTGATTATCAGAGATATATATAGAAACACTAACAGACAGAGCCCATACAAGAACCAAAATGAAAGACGCAATGCTTGAGGCCGGTTTATTTACTCAACTGTTGGTATCACATGTCCATTTAATCATTAGACATGCCACAGAAGATCATTGTTCAGTGATGTACAATGTACAAAGTAGTCTCCCCCAGTACACCAAAATTTCCGCATTTGATTTCCACAGAAAACATATTTATAGGTTTCCACAGAAAACATATTTATAGGAAGTGAGTGCAACATGTATACCTCATCATTTTTGCTTGCCAGTCAGGCTACTTATATCCCGGTTCAACTTGACCTACGTAGATGCAGCAAGCATCAACCGAGATCGGGCTAACAGGATGGCAACTATTGGTATATTAGTCCTGCCAACGACAAGTCATTTGACAAAATTTCAACAAGAAATATACGCGAAAATGAATAGAAGTGTCTAGTGAGTATGGTTTATAAGTAACTTTTACACCCCTTCAACTGTATTATATATTGTGGTCCTATTATGATGGTTGACACAAACTGGTATCCAGGTACCCAAAGAATACCATCTGAGGGGAAATCATTCTTGAATCTGGTGCTTGAACGTTGTCTGTTTGTTGTTTAATACTGCACTCGGCAATACTCCAGTTATATGACAGAGGTCTGTATCATGATTGAGAGCATGAGCATCAACCAGTCAGCAAGCCTGACCTCCCAATCCCGTAAGTCGCCTCTTACTATAAGCATAGTCTAAGGCTGTAGAAATTTACTCATTTATGTCTAGTCGTTATGATTATAATATATGTATTAATTTAATCATTTCTACTTCTATGAATATCCTAACAACTGAAAATATCATGGGCTCTAGGACTAGTGCCAGTTTTTCTATAATCTTGCTTTTGTACTGACAACTGACAATTGAGAGATAGATGTCAGTGACAGGCACGACTTGTCACTTTGCTTGATCAAAGAGAGAAGATAACAGCAGTGATTCTGAAACACCTGTGTAAGTGGCTTCAATGAAGCTGACAGATCAACATGACAGATGCCATCTCATGTTGGTAGGTCAATATCAGACAGTTGTTGTTGATAGTTATACAACATCTCCATTGTATATCTCACACTTGGTCACATGTGAAATATAATCATACTGACAGTATACACAGCTATTCCAATAGTGTCATGATATAGATTGTAAAAAAGTCAACAATCCATGTTAATCACGCTACATTCCTTTTTTTAGTTGGATACGTTAAATTGGAACTAAGAATTGAAAAAACCCAACTGACTTTGCTAATTGAAGTAGTTTTCAAGTTATAGGTCGTACAAATGTTGAATTAAATGTTTTTTTCTAAGTTCACAACATGAAAAACATTTTTTTCAGAAAATCCACATATTCTTTTGTACAGAAAATGTTCGCTAAAATTTGAAAAGAATCTATGCAGTAGTGTTTAGGTTATAGGTTACAAAAATGTTTCAGTAAAACAATTCAAAGTCAAAAAATGAAAAAAGCTGTAGTTTTTCAGAATATCCAAATAATGAATCAAACCTCGCACTGCACCTCTCCTCCATTTATAAAAAGTGTTCACCAAGTTTGAAAAGAATATGTGGTAGTTTTCAAGTCATGGGTCCAACAAAAATATGTCCTTGGGAGGACGAACAGATGGAATTCCTTGGTATAACAACATATATCCGCCTGTTAGGTCGGGGTATAATAATCAATTCAAAACTGCATAAATGTAAGCAGGGAAACAAAAAACAAGGAAAAAAGTGTATTATTTAATTTCCCAATTACCTACTTCTTCAAATTCATTACTCTAGACTAATGACTGGGAACAGTCACCTTAAGGACGACATGGCAGCACATCACATTAAGAGATTTATTGAACACACACCATAAATAATAGTTTTCAGCAAATTTAATGACTGGTGTGGTGCCAGAAAGACTTGCATACATTCTTCCTCAAGCTTCTCAACCTTTGATCCTACTGATGCATTACTGCATAATTGTCATCAGACTCTTCCTAAATGCCCAAAGGCAAAATAGGAGTGTCAAGGTAAAAGAAATGCTTTCTGCTTGAAGCTACGATTAAGTCCAATAAATGTTGTTATATACCTACATGGTTTATGAGTACAGTCCTCTACACATATATCTTGCTGGTGCCATCAAAATTGTA